ACTGGCCAGTCGAGCTCGAGCGTGAGGACAGAGCACAAAGAAGGGTGACGAAGCCATCAGCATTCACGAAGCGCATGCGGTTGCTGCTGATCTTTTGTAAACAATCCTCATTCATACCGACTTGAAACGCAACGATGTACTTAGCAACTAGGGGAAACATGGCTCTCCAGGCCGAGAGTTTTGGCGCCGCGCTGCTTTACCGCCGGACTTAACAAGTTCGGGCTTGTTGTCGGGGATCACAATGTGTCGGGAACATGTCGCGAGTCCCGACCGAAACGCCCGAATACCTCGCAAGCGAGCTCAGGTTTTGTCGTCGCAACTCAACTTGAGTTGTGGCAGAACTCGATCTAGGAATCGATCGAGTTCCTGATTCCTTGTGTGACGTTCGAGTCTGGGTTGGATGACTCGGGGCTCGGTGTCGTCGATCGTCGAGGCCGATGTCACGGACCGATGAGTCGGGCCTCGTGGCCTCGTGGCCTCGTGGCGCTCGGTGTTCTCGTTCAGGCCCCATTGCTGCCCGCTCACTATGCTCGCTGCTCCAACCCCCCATGACAAGCGCAAAGCTAACGGCGCAGGGCTCTCCAAATCACAATGTCCGGCGCCAAGGTGCCGCACGACGAAGTATGGCCGATCTACGAGCGTCTCATCGACTTCGAGGCCGTGATGCCGTTCAACTTCAAGTGTCGCGCAAGCGTGGTCGCGGGCGGAAACCCCGAGAACACGGCTCCGGCCGTGGACCCGGAGAACGCTCCGTTGACATTACAGCAGCACGCGCTGGCGAGCGCGATGAGCGCGGTCATCCTCTCGATCCTTAGGCCATACACAGACCAGGCGACTGCGTTCTCGGCCCTGTTGCGCAGGTGCAACATGATGATTGCGACGTCGCTGAGTCTGTTCTCCGTCATGCCCGAAGTGGCAAAGACACACTGGTTCATGCGGTAGTCCGTGACATTCTCCGGTCCGAGTGTGGAGTCGGCATATGATGGCTTGGCTGGTACCGTCACACTGAGACCCTTGTTCCCCAACCTGCTCTGCGTTCCCATGACTCCATAACGCATGTGTTCACGTAGGGGCAGGTCGTGCGGACAACTCGAGACACAAATTCTCTGCCAAGTCTCTATCATCGAACACGTGGAGACCCTTGCAAGCCAGGCGGACGCCAACGCTGCTCGTGAGCGTGCACGTGTCCAGGCGGAGCAGAAACGTCGCAGGAAGCCTCGCCGCTGTCGGAAGTGCAATATGACTGGCCACGATCGTCGGAATTGCCCGCGCTTACAAGGCGAACGCCGTCCTACTCAACCTGATGTTGTTGTCGAGGTCATGGACGATGAGGAATCCGGCCTAGAGTCCTTAGATTACGAGGAATTGATCGATTTAACCGGCAGACAGTAAGAAAAGACCCGTACCTTTCCAATGAATCAAGTTTGAACGCTCTAGTTGCAGTGGTAGTTGAGCACGCCGTCGCCGAAGCCGAGATCAACTCCGAAGGATGGAGGAGACCGAGTTCCAGCGTTTGCCGACGCCGCTCCGGCGTTTCGGCATTTGATACATAGAGAGCGGAAGCTAATGATGTGGCTGTGCCTGACCGTGCCTGGAATTACTCGGCGTTGCAGTATTAGGGAAAAGTCTGTAGCGGAATATAGTAACGCCCCCTTTTGACGATGCAGTAGTCTCGGTTCCTGGATAAAGGTTGTCCCTGTGTGCCTTGATAAAGGTTGGTGAGGACCGGGAGGGCTGGGCACGCTTGGGCGGACAGGGCATGTGACTCAGCCAGAGGGTGGTGTTTCGGATGACGTCAGGAGAGCTCTTGCCCAGCATCTTTTGGAGTCCTGCAGAGTTCGCCTAGGATGGAAAAAGCTACAAGTGACAGGGGATGATCGAGTAAGGCACAGCACGCAACGCACGCAGAGGGGGCGTGCACCGGCGTCTGCTTTCTGATCAATGCATCCCAGGCTTGGCTGGCGGACTCGCGGACCGAAGGCTTACAGTGTTGCCGAGCACAGCACGCAGCGTACAGCCCTCTTCTCCTCGATACGTGAGGTCCGCGCTGCCCCCGGTCCTTACTCTGGTAGACTTCCAGCGGAACATCGAAACGAGCACTACATGTCAGCCAGCAACTGCTGACGCCAGGCTGACCGCCTCTCTCGCCCGTCCCAGCCAGTCGTCGGATTTAGCACACCCCTCTCAACCCCGAGCACTGAGCGAACCCCCGAATGAACATACCCCCGAAATCCTCAGCACCACATGCACCTGCGTACGCCCAGCTCCACTTCGCTTGCACATGTCCGACATCTGGAGGAGTGCTCATGCGACAACAAGGCTAAGCGAGCTCAGGTCGCAGAAGCGCGCTACGGGCAAGCGCGCAAGCGTGCGTCCATCGGCGCCCGCAAACCTCAGCGTGCGGGGAACTAGACGTGCCTCAAATAATGGGCTCGATACGCAACCACCTGCGGTGTTCTAATCTGGTCAATAATGTCTCACCCCCTCTGTCCCTCTCACACCCTTCTCCTTCACCCTGTCCCGACCGTGAGCCGTGAGCCGTGCACCTTGCACGAAATGCACGAAACGAGCTCGTGCAAGCGCGGATGAGCGGATGAAGCGGATGGGACGAGGCGACGTGGCTGAATCCGTGCAGTGCTGAATGCGAGATCTCCACCCAGCAAGCCTCGGGCCCGAAGCCCGGTGCCCTGGTCCGCCCTGGTCCGCCGAGCGAGCGAGCGAGCGAGCGAGTGAACAACAGCGTGAGCAAAGGGAGGTGCTCGCTTAGTCCCTGTGCTGCAGCACACAGCTTGTTGCTTGTATCCACGCCGTCGCACGGCGTAGAATAGAGATCTGCGCAAGGGTCCGAGTGCAACCCTCCAGGGCTACAGGGATGGAAGATCAGGCAGAGGAGAGCACTCAGGCAGAACTTGAACGGAGGGGCACGTGGCATCTTCGCCATTTCGTGCTCGCTACGTGCTGCGCTCAGTCTCGGCTGGGCGTTAAGGTTATGCCGAGCCGAGTGTTCTTCACACACAACACAAGCATTAAGCATTGCTCGACCGAATGTAGTTGTAGTGCGCCGCACGTCGTGAGGTCGCGAGGTGGTCGGATATCGGACCGTCCGAATGTGCAGACGGCGTACGTCTGTCTCGGAGATTTCTCGCATAAACTGGGCGAACAAGTCAAGAGGCGTACGCTTCGCGCTGCACGCGGCACGCTGGCTGACATGTCATCCGGCCCATTGTGTGGCTGCGAGATTCGCCAGATCTCGTATTTGTCCCAGATTCGACGCCAGGCGTACGCCAGCTGGACGCCATCGGCGTCCGTCTAATCTGTCGAATCGTCCTGTTGGGCGGTGATCTATCATGCGGCGTACACGGCGTGTCATGCCTGCCCGATGCACGCACACGCGGCACGGTAGATTTATTGCAATCCACGAGATGCGCGCGAAGCAAGCGATGCCGCTCGCACGGCTGATCCTTCATACCGAGGAGCGTGAAGGAGTACAGAGAAGTGAGGGTGGCGGCTTCGCGACTACGGAGCATGTGCCACCACGAGGCACGCAGATCTTGGCGGATGGGCTAGATATGATTCCCGCAGAGGGGATCTCGCGATCTCGCAGCCGTGTCCATTCGGGTCTGTTTGAGGCGTATTCGGACCTGCCTGTTTGCGGCTTCTAGCCCCTAGGCTGATGTCGTGGGTGCGGTGACTTGGCGATCTGGAGACCATCTGAGTGCGAAGATCTATGCGGGCACTTGTGACAGTTGGTGGTAGATCCACCAACTTTGCTGCCTTCTTGGGTGCGGGTTGTTCGGCTCGCCGTGCGTGCATCCGTGGCACTGGGTGGAGTGGCAGACGGAGCTTTTGTAGACGATGTCTGAATTGGTACTTGGAGTCGTTTCGAGGAGCGGATGTGTCGATTGCTGAAGAAGGCGGGGGTAACCGAGAATACTCCAATGCTTACAGCAGGATCATTCCCGGTTAGCCGTTGCGCTCTCTATCTCTTTGCGTTGCCCGTCAGTCAACCGCAACCGAAGTCCGCGAGTAATACTACAGAACCCAAGGCACCGAGGAGGCGGCCATCATTGCACGGTTAATTTAGGCGTTCGGGGACAGAGACCCAGCTGTTGGGTTCGCTGAATCTCCTCCGTGCGCTGGCCGCCTGCTCCCGGTACGAGGCAGGCCGTATGCGAAGCCGCATCGGGCAGGACTGCGCGTGTCAGTGGCATGTCCTTTGTATCGCCTCCGCCTTCAACGGTAGTACAACGAGACGACGATTGGCAGGCAAGCCAAGTTGGTGTAACTGCCGGGCTCCGTCGTTCACGATCGATGCAGATGTTCATTAGTGCTCCCGGTCTTGCAAGAGGCCAGTGCACCATTCAGGTGTAGGTGTTGAGCCGCTCAGTGCCTTCCCTCCAGCGACACGCAGAGAGACGGCGTGTGGCCGCAGCCATCGACACACACCTACAGCAGCTGTAGCTTTCTCTTTATGAGCCAAATTATGCCCATGCGACACGACAAATCCTCATTTCTTTGTGCCCTCGAAAATACCAGCAGAATGCACTCGAGAGAACGGTGTCTGTCCAGTGAGCAGGAAGCAGTGCCCAGGCGTCCCCGCGAACAATTCTGCCTAGGGATATGCGAGCGACCGGCCACAGAGATGTCCCAAAGGTACCAGGTCGCTCGATGGAGTTAGAGCTGGGACCACTGATATGTCTCCGATACTCCCAGGATACAGTCTCTTCATGCCAACTGAACCCGAGGCTCCCGTGATAATATCGAGCAGACATTGCACGTGTGCAGGCTTTCGCGAGGACATGGCGTATGTGCCACCAGTTCCCATCCAGGACATACCCTCTGATCGGACCCAGTGGCTTAGGGGAGCTGATGTGTCACGAATCACAGTATCATGCCTGACTAACAGTTACCAGAGCCAGGATAACCATACGAGCCACTCGTCAAAGTGAACTGGCGCAACAGGTCGACAGATTCACATTGATGACACTCAATCTCTGCAGCAATACGTATCATGGCTTCACTTTTTCACCACGCACGGCGAGACACCCATTAAGAGAAACTCTATAACTCCTCGCACAGATCCTAACGCCCCTAACCATGCATACCTGTAGCCCTACGATGCCAAGCACAGGATGTATGTCAAACTTTGCGGACTGTCGGCTCGCCACACTCACAAACGACAAGCGGGGCCCCGCGATGGCGGGACCAAAGCAGCCGCAGCCATCCGCCTACATTACGTCGTCATTCTGGACGGTGCGTCACCTCCACCACCCGTTCTTTGATTTTCGACCATATCTGACCACAGCACACCGAACAAGAAGCAGTCTGCACCGCACGCAATGGAGGCGCTTCAGGTCGGGCTGTCGATAGCCCGCTCGAAGTTGTCCGAGCGTCTGCAGCACTGGCACGACAAGCTGAGCGCCAAGCTGCCGCGGCGGCTCACCCGAGATCTACTGCTCGGCCTCGTCCTCGGCATCGCGCTCTCGCTGACGTCTACGCGCGTCGCGATGCTGATCCAGAACTGGCGCCAGCGGCGGGCGAAGCAGCGCGCGATCCAGCGCATGCCCCCGCGTCCCATTCAGGTACGCTCGGACGAGATTGTCGCCGGCGTTCCCGGCTTGATCGGGAACACGCCGCTCGTACGTATCGGCAGTCTGTCGAATGCGCTCGGCGTCGAGATTCTCGGCAAGTGCGAGTTCCTCAACCCGGGAGGAAGCGTCAAGGACCGCGTTGCGCTCAAGATGATCGAGGACGCTGAGGCGCGCGGCCTCCTGCGCCCGCATACAGGCAGCGTGCTCTTCGAGGGCACTGTGGGCTCGACCGGCATCAGCCTCGCAACAGTGGGCAAGGCGAAGGGGTACGGCGCACACATCTGCATGCCCTCCGACGTGGCTAGTGACAAGGTCGACGTACTCGAGCGCCTGGGCGCCGAGGTCGAGCGCGTGCCGCCCGTCAGTATTGTGGACCAGAACCAGTTTGTGAACCTCGCCAAACGCCGCGCGCACGAGTTTGGCGGCACCGATCTCGACACACACGGCACGCCCGGCGTGCTCGTCTCCTCGCAAGCGACCGATGAGGACGTGCACGGCCCCGACTCCAGGCTGCACAGGCACAACGTCGACTCGAAGCCTAGGGGCTTCTTCGCGGACCAGTTTGAGAACGAGTCCAACTTCCAGGCCCACTATAAGGGCACGGGGCCCGAGATTGCGCGCCAGACCGGAGGACACGTTGACGCCTTTGTCTCTGGCGCCGGTACGGGTGGCACGCTCGCCGGCACGGGGCGGTATCTGAAGAAGGAGTGCCCGAACGTCAAGGTCGTCCTTGCCGATCCGGAGGGGAGCGGGCTCTTCAACAAGGTCAAGTACGGCGTCATGTACGCCCCGCAGGAGAGCGAGGGCACGAAGCGGCGCTACCAGGTCGACACGGTCGTGGAGGGTATTGGGATCAACCGCATCACGCGCAACTTCATGGCCGGCGAGGGTATCGTCGACGATGCGTTCAGGTATGTCGCCTTGCCCACGCTCATTCACGGCTTTGAGTGCAAGCTGACGACCCAGGGTCACGGACGAAGAAGCCGTCGCCATGTCGCGCTACCTCGTCGAGCACGACGGCTTGTTCCTCGGCTCGTCGAGCGCGTGCAACCTCGTTGCGGCCGTCAGGCTCGCCAAGACGATGCCCAAGGGCAGCCGGATCGTGACGATTCTGTGCGACTCGGGCGCCCGCCACCAGACCAAGTTCTGGTCGGACAAGTACCTGAAGGACCACGATATCAAGATTGACCCGAGCATTATTGATAGGCTGCTCGCTGAGAAGCCGAGGAGGAGGAGCAGCGCGGCCAAGAAGACGCTGACGGTTAACCATTAGGGAGGCCAGGGGAGGGTGCATGGCATCTATGTAGTTACACTGTATGTATGGGACTGAGCAGAGAGCAGAGCAGCGGAGCATGCACGCAGATGTATCGCTGACCAAGATGGCACACGGCGTCGATGCTGCAAATGCTGACGTGAGAGGTGACATCTGTGCCTGAAAGCTGATTATCACCGGAGTAGTGTGTGCAATGAGTCATATCTAAGATACTGATAACAGCGCGACAGTTCGGAGCGGGATAGGAGAAGCCAGTCCCCGTTGCCGCCGGGCCATGGGCCATGGGCCATGGAGCACGGACATGGGCTGTGTGTGTGCAGAGTGGACAATGGAAAGAAGCACGGACAGAACCCGCTGGCTAGGTCCGGTCGCGCGGTTGCAACATGGTTGTGGAGGCCCATAGCATCAGCATAGCCCGGGTGACATGGTGGACGGGATGAGCGGCCGATAAGCCGATGATAGGGTTAACCGGAATACAGATTGCGTTGGATTGGATACTTTTGGCGGGCATGGCGGGTGCAACGCCGAGTGTGGGCGGCAGTGGCCCAATACCCGCTCACATGCTCGTTGTGTGTAGTGTCTAGTGCCGCCCGTTACCCAGCATTTACGGTTATGGCGTGCAGTGAGCAGTGGTGTCGTGCACTGTACAACACGCTGAGGAATTTCCAAGGAATCTCCCCATACGGTGAGTGGAGGGGGTTGTGGAAGTTATGGTGCGTGTGATTGGACGATGGACACTGACATGACGGGCTCAGCGATCGTTGGAAAAGTGGGAATTTGGATTTTCCAACGATTACAGACGGGCTCAGACTTTATATCCAAGGATCTCCACCCAGTGTCCAACAATCTTGTCCCCGATCATCCGGACTTGGATTACGGGCTGACGGACTTGGACACTCTGTTGGACATGCTCGACTCACCACGAACACCTCTTTATGCATCCCTGCCCACCGCATCCCCCCCTCTTCTCTCTCTTCAATCTCATCTCATCTCATCTCATCTTCACTTGTGCTCATCACAGCTTTGGCCGTTGCATTGCTCGAAAAGGAGCGACACGGCGACGACGACTGGTTCGAGAGAGAATCCAACCTCCACACCCGGCCCCTGTTGTGCCCCGGTTTCCCCGCTTAGATCGCTACCCGCGTACCCATTACAGAGGCGGCTGCTACCCACGCTTCCGATAGCCTCACTCCCTCCCCCGGCCTAGCCTCCTTATCGTGACTATTTTTTCTCAGTCACCTCCTTCTTCCCTCCCCCAACCACCACTCTTCCCCCTCCCTCTGACATAACCATGTCGCTCGCGCACCTGTCGCGTCGCGCTATCCGCGCCCCCCTGCGCGTCCAGTCCGCGATCCGCTCTCGCCCCTTCACCGCCGGAGCCATCCTGCTCCGCCCGTCCGCGAGCCAGCCTGTAAACCACTCGACGACCGCGACCCAGCCCCACCCCTTCCCCCCTTCCAAGTCCTACACCCCCGAGACCACCAGCATCTTCACTCCCCTTGACACTTTCCTCCCCCGCCATGTCGGTCCCCGCGACAGCGACCGCGAGGAGATGCTCAAGGCCCTCGGCTACAAGGACATGGACGAGTTCATTCGCGCCACGATCCCCGACGACGTTCGCATCAAGGAGTTCACCTCGAGCGACATCAAGCCGTACTCGGAGCTCGAGCTGCGTCGCCGCCAGGAGGAGATTGCTTCCATGAACAAGCCCATGAAGTCGTACATCGGTATGGGCTACCACAACGCCATCGTGCCCCCCGTCATCCAGCGCAACGTCTTTGAGAACCCCGGCTGGTACACCTCGTACACCCCCTACTCGGCTGAGCAGTCGCAGGGCCGTCTCGAGTCGCTCGTCAACTTCCAGACCGTTGCCATCCAGCTCACTGGTCTCCCCATTGCCAACGCCTCGCTCCTCGACGAGGCTACCGCTGCCGCTGAGGGCATGGCTATGTGCGCCGCCCAGGTTCCCAAGAACAAGTTCCAGAAGGGCAAGAACGTTTTCCTCGTCTCCCCCACCATTGCTCCCCAGACCCTCGCCGTTCTCGAGACCCGTGCTCCCGGCTTCGGCATTGAGCTCAAGATCGCCGAGAGCAACGACGCCGTCGCCGCCGAGGTTGACAAGCTTGGCGACAAGCTCATCGGAGCTCTCCTCCCCTACCCCGACGTCAACGGTGAGATCACCAACTGGGAGGACGTCACCAAGAAGGTCAAGGGCCACGGCGCCAAGGTCGTTGTCGCCTCTGACCTCCTCGCCCTCACCATGCTCAAGCCCCCTGGAGAGTGGGGTGCCGACATTGTCTGCGGCAACACCCAGCGCTTCGGTGTTCCCCTCGGCTACGGTGGTCCCCACGCTGCCTTCTTCGCGTGCGCCGACGACCTGAAGCGCAAGATCCCCGGCCGTATCGTCGGTCTCTCCAAGGACGCCTCGGGCGCCCCCGCCTACCGTCTCGCGCTCCAGACCCGTGAGCAGCACATTCGTCGTGAGAAGGCCACCTCCAACGTCTGTACCGCCCAGGCTCTCCTCGCCAACATGGCCGCCATGTACGCCGTCTACCACGGCCCCGAGGGTCTCCGCCGCATTGCCGGCAAGGTCCACGGCCTCACCCGCGTTCTCGCCGAGGCGCTTACTCAGCTTGGCTTCACCATCAAGAACAAGCAGTTCTTCGACACCCTCACCATCGACACCAAGTCGGCCGGCGTCACCGCCGACCAGGTCCACAAGGCGTCCGTCGAGGCCGGCATCAACTTCCGCCCCATTGACGAGAACACGATCGGTATCACCCTCGACGAGTCTGTCGGTCCCCTCGACCTGACTGACATTGTCAACGTCTTCTTCCGCGTCAAGGGCGAGAAGACTGTCGACCCCTCGTTCGTCGACGAGCTCTCGCGCAAGCTCGACCTTTCGGCTGAGGCTGCCCTCAAGACCCCCATCAAGTCTGACCTCGCTCGCTCCACTCCCTTCCTGCAGCAGGCTGTCTTCAACTCGCACCACTCCGAGACCGACATGCTCCGCTACATGATGTCGCTCCAGGAGAAGGACTACTCGCTCGTCCACGGCATGATCCCCCTCGGCTCGTGCACGATGAAGCTCAACTCGACTACCTCGATGGTTCCCCTCTCGTGGAAGGAGTTTGGCGGAATCCACCCCTTCGCCCCCGTCGAGCAGGCTGAGGGCTACCAGACCATGCTCAAGGAGATTGAGCACGACCTTTCGCTCGTCACTGGCTACGACGCGACCTCGTTCCAGCCCAACTCGGGTGCCTCGGGCGAGTACGCCGGTCTCAAGGTCATTGAGGCGTACCACAACTCGCGTGGCGAGGGCCACCGTGACGTCTGTCTCATCCCCCTTTCGGCCCACGGCACCAACCCCGCCTCGGCTGCCATGATTGGCTACAAGGTCGTCCCCATCAAGGCGCTCGACGACGGCTCGCTTGACCTCAAGGACCTCAAGGAGAAGGCCGACAAGCACAAGGACAACCTTGCCGCCTTTATGGTCACCTACCCCTCGACCTTCGGTACCTTCGACGAGGGTATTGAGGAGGCGTGCAAGATTGTCCACGACAACGGCGGCCAGGTCTACGTCGACGGTGCCAACTGCAACTCGCTCGTTGGTCTTACCTCGCTCGGCCGTGTTGGCGGTGACGTCTCGCACACCAACCTGCACAAGACCTTCTCGATCCCCCACGGTGGTGGTGGCCCCGGTGTCGGCCCCATCTCGGTCAAGAAGCACCTCGCTCCCTTCCTCCCCGGCCACCCCATCGTCCCCACTGGCGGTGACAAGGCTATCTCTGCCGTCTCTGCTGCTCCCTGGGGCTCTGCTTCGATCAACCTCATCTCGTGGTCGTACATCAAGATGCTCGGCGGCGCCGGCCTCACCGAGGTCTCCAAGATGGCCCTCCTGAACGCCAACTACATTGCTGAGCGCCTCAAGCCCTACTACAACATCCGCTTCACGAACAAGAACGGCCGTGTCGCGCACGAGTGTCTCCTCGACCTGCAGGAGTTTGAGTCCAAGGCCGGCCTCCGCGTGCCCGACTTCTCGAAGCGTCTGCAGGACTACTCGTTCCACCCCCCGACGGCTCAGTGGCCCATCAACACGTGTTTCCTCATCGAGCCCACCGAGTCGGAGCCCAAGCACGAGCTCGACCGTCTCGTCGACGCCCTCATCTCGATCCGCAAGGAGGTCGACGAGATCGTCGACGGCAAGCAGCCCAAGGACGACAACGTCTTCAAGAACGCCCCCCACCCCCTCTCCGTCATCACTGCCGAGGAGTGGACCCGCCCCTACACCCGTACCAAGGCCGCGTACCCCGTCGCCACCCTCAAGCGCTCCAAGTTCTGGCCCGCCGTCGGCCGTGTCGACGACGCTGCTGGTGATCTCAACCTAATCTGCGAGTGTGGCTCGGTCGAAAATTTTGTGGATGAGGAGTAAACAGCGCGCTGAAGGCAACTTAGAAGTGCAGAGGAGGAAGAGCGGAAGAAGAGGCCATCTCGAGAACCATTCATCTGGGACGCAACCAACAACCGCCACATCCAACCTCCACATCCAACCTCCACCTCCACCACACAAAACAATCAACAATCTGGTATACCCGCTCTGCTTCTCCATGCAGCAGCAGCACCCTCATCTAGTCATTACAATGTGCATGTGCAATTCAACTTTGCAATATATTAGTGTCACCAATAGTCTCTCTGTTAGGTTTTCTCGGTAGAAAGAAGAATTATGGAAAATGGTCTTCAACAACATGTCAGGCGAGCAGGGGCACTAGTGCCGCAGACTCGGGTGCTCGTGGGAATGTACTGATCTAGTTGGCCCGAGCTCTGATCCAGGCTACCCGTCTCGACACAAAGTCCATACAAGGTAGTCAGCAAGAAATAGCCGTACTGGCAGTACTCGTGAAAAGATGTTACATGTTCTAAGAGTTACGTCTAGAGCTCCTCGTCCTCGTCCGCCCCCATCTGCGCCAGGAAGTTTGCAAAGTCGCTCTCCTTCCTGGCCTCGTCCATCTGCATATCCCCTCGGGCCAGTTCCTCGGGGAACTCCGGGTCGGCCATGCGCTGCTGCCTCTCGGCCTGCTTCAGCGCGGCCTTCTTCTTCTTCCGCTTCTCGAGCTTCTGCTTCTTGCTAGCAGGTACCGGGATCGCGTCCATCTCGGCGCGGAAGCCTTCGTCCACGTCCATTCCGAGCAGTCCGCCCGTGAGCTCGAGTTCGAGCTTTTCCGCGGCCTGACGCTTCTTCTTCTCCCGCTTTGCTAGCTGCTTCGCCCGCTTGCGGTCCAGCACGTCGCTGTTCGCGCCGAGGGTGGCCAGCTCCTCGGGGGCGAAGAGGCGGGAGGGGTCGGCTACGCCGCGGGAAGGCACCGGCATGAATGCGCCGCCGGCGGTGGGGTGAGAAGCAGCAGGAAGAGCGGAGGTCGAAGCGACGGGAGAGCCCAGGGATACGTCCGAGTCCGAGTCTGACTCGTCGTCGCTGTCCATCGCCATGCGCATGCGTTTCTGGACCGCGGGTTGCGGCGCCGCGACAGCTGCCGGGGCAGGGGCCGGTGCGGGCTCCTCGTCGGGGATGAAACCGCTGAGTTTGTCAGTTATATTGCGACATATGTTTAACTCACTCCTCCTCAATCTCCTCTTCGCCATTACCCTGCCACTCGGCGTCGTCGCCAATGTTGTCGAACAGCCCCTCAATCGTGAACGCCTCGCTGAGCTGCGTGAGCACCTTGGCGGACCCGACGGCCTCGCCCTCGTCCATGGACACATCGGCTCCCTCGCGCTGCGGCTGGGCCTGCGGCATCGAAGACGCATGCACGGCAGGCGGTTTCGTGAAGTAGGGGATCTTGCCCGAGTTCCAGTCCCGCAGGACACTGACCGCGCTCCCGATCAGGTCGGGGATGCCGCCCTTGCCGAGGCGGCCGCGCGTGAGCGCAATCTTGATGAGGAAGTCGCGCACGTCGTCGAAGGGCGGCACGTTGTAGAGCTTCTGCAGGGTTGCCGGGTCTGTCCGCTGCAGAATCACCTCGACGGGAGACACGGGGTCGTCGATGATCTCGGCCTTGACGCAGTTACGCAGCATGAGCTCGGCCTGCTTCTGCCGGCCTTGCTCGCCCTCATACTCCCGCCCAATGTCCTCGAGCACTACACCGGGGCAGTCCAGAATCTTCACACCCTTGTCCAGCACGACCTCCTGCACCAGGCGCGTCTTGCCCGGCATGGCCGCGACACCGCACGCCCTGGACCTCTTCAGGGAGTTGATCAGAGACGACTTGCCCACGTTCGGGTATCCCACCACGCCGACCGTGAGCGCGCTATGCGGCGTAGTGAGCGCGTACTGTTTCAGCAGATTCAGCAGGGCGGGGGCACCAAGCGACGAGCTCGTCTGCGGCAGTTCGGCGAGCTTGCGCTTCTCACCGACCTGCTGCGCGGGCGCGGCGAGCGGGACCGCGTTCTGGGACAGGTGCTGCCTCTGCCCCTGCGTCGAGGACTTGAACGGCATGGTCGGGAACGAATGCCTCAAATGCCTCAGCCACAGCTCCAGGTTCTCCCGCGGCACCAGGTCGATCTTGTTCACGACCGCCAGGAGCTTCTTGCCCTGCGCGTCGCGCTTGCGCACCTCGTCCTCGACCCACTTGGAGCGCGTGCCCTCTGGGTCGCGCGCGTCGAGGACTTGGATGATCACATCGGCGCGCTCGATAACCTTGCGCAGCTCGCGCATAAAGGCTTTGGCGGAAGAGTCGCGCACCGTGAGCGAGGAGTCGATCGGGGTCGCGTCAACGGACACGGCCTCCGAGAACGAGTCGCCCGCATGCGTCGCGGCGCCGGCGAGAGCGGCAATCGAACGAGCACCAACGGGCGCGGGCTGGATGTCAGCTCATTTTAGACAAGGCAGCTCACCTTGCCCTTCGTGTAGGGCGCGGCCTGCGCGCGCTTGTCCCGCAGCGCAGTCAGCTTGGGCACGCCGCCGTCCTTCTTCTTCAGCGCCGTCGGGAGCGCGTACACCTTGCCCTTTCCTCCTTTCTTTGCTGCGGGGGTCAGCTGAGTCTTTCATAGCAAACACAGCTTTCCGGGATACTCACAGGCTTTCGGCATGCTGGTTGTTGTGCACTTTGCACGGATGATGATGTCAAGCGATCGTGGAAAGATTTTGGACCCTCCACTTCACCTCTGTGCTACGCACGCAGGTGGACGCCCGACTTTTGCCACCGAACATGCGTGAAGCGCGGACTACTACCATTACTCCGTCAAAAGTGGAGGTTGAGCGAGTTCATGTTCGGTGCTCCGTTTCTTTCGTCATCCTGCGATTTCCACGCTCACTCTCTGCACATCTGCGTACCATGTCGCTCCTTCGCTCCTCCCGTGTTGCTAGCGGCTCGCTCCGCACCGCCACCCGCGGCTTCACCTCCTCCGCCATCCGCAGGGACCACTTCCTGAACGCGTCCGACTCCGAGTTCAAGGCTCGTTGCGTCGATGACAAGTCGGACAAGCCTGTCCTCGTTGACTTCTATGCTACGTGAGTTGTTTGCAGACGAAACCAGCTGGAGTGGGCTTCCTCAGCTGACACACACAGCTGGTGCCAGCCGTGCCGCGTTCTGACCCCGCTGCTGAAGGAGGTCACCGAGCCGGGAAGCGGATACGACCTGATGACGATCAACGTCGACGACCACCCCGACCTCGCGGGTCAGTTCAAGGTGCGTATTGGCGGGGGGTTGGTCTCCTCCTGATTTTACTCGTATGAGGGGGGAGCCGCCTTAGGCTTAACTGAAGCAGTTGAGAGGTAGTGTCTTGAAACTAACTCCAGATCAACTCGATCCCGACCGTCATTGCGTTCAAGAACGGACAGGTCAAGAACAAGTTCCGTGAGTGCTCTCTAGCTATCGCGTCGTCAAGGAGCTAACAGACAGTTGGCTTCCGCCCCATGGGAGACATCAAGAAGTTCCTTGCCACTCTTGACAAATAGACATAAGCATATGAAGTGTACGAATGCCATGACTGAAGCTTGATTAAGACCATGAGGTTGTGAAGCTGTTGCGAGTGCAGGGAGCAGCCGCCGCAGACATTCGGAGAGCATGAAGAGCTGCTCCATGTAGCGAAGAGGAGCATGAGAACGCACCGGAAAGCGGAGATCGGGGAGACATCACAACGTAATTTGGCGTCTAGCCGTCGAGGCTTATCGCTATCTCGATTTCACCATTTCGGTAGTCACCTCCACCTCTCCATCTCCCACCGCACCATGGCGTAAGGCCCCCACTGACAGCTAACTCACTGACGAAGCCGCAGGATCAAGGCGCTCCTGATCGACCTGAACGGCACGCTGCACGTCGGCAAGGAGCTGACTCCGCGTGCTGCGCAGGCCGTGGACCGTCTCCGCAAAGCCAAGATCCCCTTTGTGTTCTGGTAAATGACGATGTCGTGAGTGCAGCTGACACACAGCTCGAACAACACGAAGGAGTCAGAGCCGCGCCTCCTGAAGAAGTTGGGGGCTATGGGTCTGTCGGCGACGCAGGACGAGCTCATCACGAGTATCGGCGCGTGCCGTGCGCTATGCGAGAAGAGGGGACTTCGGTACGTCCTCTTTGCTCCTCTTCCCACTGACAACAGTCCATACCTGTTACTCTCGCCCGAAGCAGCCGAGGAGTTCGCCAACGTCCCCACATCCCCACCATACGATGCGGTCGTGATCGGCCTGCACCCCCCGTCCTTCGCTTACGAGCCGCTGAACACGGCCTTCCGCGTGCTCACGGGCGAGCCGCTGCGCGACGCCCAGCCCGCAGACAGGAAGCCCGTGCTCATCGCGCCCCACACGGCCGCATACCTCCAGGCCCCGGCCGAGGGGCCGTTCCCCGCCGGCCTGTCGCTGGGTATTGGCGCGTATGTCGCTGCATTGGAGACAGCGGCGAACACACAGGCCGAGGTGGTGGGGAAGCCGACGCGGGCGTTCTTCGAGCTCGCACTTGAGAAACTTGGTCTGCAGAAAGACGTGGAAAAGGGCGAGGTGGCCATTGTCGGGGACGATGTCAAGAATGACCTCGGCGCTGGCGCGAGAGAGTTGGGCCTGCAGAGGGTGCTTGGTAAGTCCAAGGCGTCCAGGGCGGGGACTGATACCACCAGTAAAGACGGGCAAGTACCGGCCCGGCGACGAGGACGGCGCTCAGCCCGATCGGGTGCACGAGACATTCGCCGATTTCGTCGATGCGCTCCTCCAGGAGCATGCATAGGTAGGCCCAGGGGGTGTATGCATGTGACCATCTGCGTGCCAGTGCGGCGGGACTCTCGGCCCGCAGGAATGCATCTGTGCATGCGCGTGCATGCGCGCGCGCAGTGGGTCGTCGCATCTGACCGATACGGACTGTCCGGCTCCGGCCCCCCAATCACGGCTCAACCAACATGCCAAGAACGGGGCGCGAGGGAACGCCGCGGCGTCCAAAAGTTCAGAAATCGTCGGCTCCCCCTGGTGTCCTTTGTGCTTGTCAGCTTGTTCAGAGCAATGGAGAATGCCAAGATGCATGCAAGTGGTATACAGTGATTTGCTTTTGTGAGGGAGGGGAATATAGGAGACTTATTGCGCTGATGTTGCTGGTGGTGTTCATGACGACGAGGCGGGGGCGGCTGCAGGCTCCGGGGACGGGTTCTTGGTGAACTTGTCCTCGAGGCGGAGCTGCTCGCCATTGTCTGCGATGAGCTTGTAGCGCACAATCCGCCACGGGGCAGACTGCTGCGGCCGGATGCTCGTGAAGTAGACCGTTCCGTCGCCCTTGTCGCCGTGCATGCGGAATTTGAGGTCGATGCGGCCCTGCATCAGGTTGATCTGCGGTCATGTCAGTACTTGGGCCTTTGTTTCGGACATGGCCAAACTCACGCCGCCATCAATCCACGGCTCGCCGAAACCTGCGTAACGTCAGTTGAACGTTCCTGCGATCTTCATTATTATACCCACCCCACCAGTTGTCAGCCAGACGGATGTGGTCGCCGAGGATCGCCTGGACGTCCGGCGAGTTGCGGAGCTGGAAGGTGACCTGGCGAACGACGGAAGACGAGAGACGCTCATTGTTGGTCGCATAGAGAACAAAGAGCCCCCACGCGCCGACACCGAGGGCGGCGAGGGCGACGTCTGCTGATTAGTGCCTGCTACCGTAGCTCGTCACCGCTTGTCACCGTTCGTGCGGCATCTAACGGCACCGCGAGGAAATTACGCACAGAGGGGTATCCGGTTCTGCGGAGCGTCAGTCATCTCGTCAGTCATCGCCTAGCTCACCTTGACTCGCGGGAGTTCGCGCGAGGGACGCGTGTAGACAGCTCGCGGCCTGCTAGGCCCGGTGAAGCTCTGTCCTTCCTCGACCTTCTTGGGTGCCACGACCCGCGCTTTCGGCTTGCGGTCGGAGGGGGGCATGCCGCGCATGCTCGGGCGCAGGTGGATCTCGCGCGGGGCAGCCTTGCCATCAAAGACTGTCGGCTCGACGGGGGCGCGGGGCGGCGGACGGCGCGGAGGCTCGCTGGAGCCCGCATTCAGCGATCCAGACGCCGAGGGGAAAGAGACGGTCGCGTAGGGGCGGACGACGCGGAGCCGTGCCGAGGGGAGGAGGAGGCGGGTGATCATTGTCGAGTGTCGGAGAGGGGACAGATTGATGGCCGCTGTGCTGCACTGTTCTTGGTGTGAGTGGTGAAGGGTTGAAGGACGGCGGTGTGCGGTTGGACTTGGTTGCCTGGGTGGGGGTTTTATGGAAGCCGAATCTTGGGACTGGATACGGAGGCGGAGCGGAGGCTGCGAGCAGGGGGCAAGGGGGGGAAGACGGGCTGGGCCTCGACAAACAGCCAGCCAGTGGCACGTGCCTATGAGCACTCACAGGTGGGGCACCACTTTGGCGAGCCCCTAACCCGACTGAACCGAGAGTCCGAATCCTTGGCTGCTCCTCTCCTGAAACGCGTTCCAGAGCTTATGCGCTCCACATCCGGTAGCTGGTCCATGCATGCATAACTACCTTTGGTAACTGTCACCGTCCCATTGTTCATCAACGCTCGTTGTTCGCCGTCCCCAAGACAACGGGGCGGTCTCCGGCGGCCCGGCGGAACCGAACACAACAATCCATGACGGAATGACGGAATTTTATTACGTGTGCCCCGGTGGCAATTTCTGATACCAAAAGTTCAAGATCGCGCTTGGCCGCAGGATTGCGTTCACCGCTGCTGTTTACGAGCGACAACTACAACCCCGTCCACATCGTCGACACAGCAGTATGGGCAAGCGCAGAAGAAAAAACCGCACCCACCTCAAGGGTCCCCAGCCGGGAGAGGAGGCTGACAAGGTCCCCAAGTCGTTCGTCATCAAGGTACGTTGACCGCCAGCTGGCCAGCGCTCGCATAGCTAACAACAGTCCGGCAATGTAACGAAATCAGTAGGAGCGCTAGTGCGAGACGTGCGAAAGGTCATGGAGCCGAACACGGCAACGAGACTGAAGGAGCGTCCCGGTGCCAGGCTCCGTGACTACCTTACGATTGCCCCGACGCTTGGTGTGACGCACCTGATGGCGTTCACTCTCACCGACGCCGCCAACGTCCACCTCCGTGTCGCCCGTCTTCCCCAGGGACCGACACTGACGTTCCGTGTGCTGCGCTACAGTCTGATGAAGTGAGTACAAGCTAACTCTTCTGTGATCGCAGCTAACCTCTCCAGGGACATTGTCAACGCTGCTCACGTCATGCGCAACCTCGGCGGCAAGTCGCCCGGTGGCGAGTACCGCAACCCGCCCCTGCTCGTCCTGAACGGCTTCCAGCAGCCTGCCGACGGCCAGCCCATGCCCCAGCTCAAGCTGATGAGCACGATGTTCCAGGGCCTGTTCCCGCCGATCCAGGTCGAGAAGAGCGCGCTTCCGACGTTCCGACGAGTGCTGCTCATCTCGTACAACCACAGCACGGGTCCTGATCTCCATGCGCCACTTCACGATCACGGTGCGCCCGCAAGGCGTTTCGCGCCGTGTGCGCAAGCTGCTGAACCCGGGCTCGAAGCGTGCACCCGACCTCGCGAACCAGGACGACATTGCCGACTACCTCCTTCGCCGGGCTGACCGCGCGGGCTCAGCGAGCACGGACGGGTACGACTCGATGTCGGAGAGCGAGGCGTCCGAGGCTGAGAGCGACACGAACGCAGTCGAGCTGCCCGAGGACTACGTCGGGCGGGGGAACAAGAAGGGCGAGCGGAAGGCTGTGCGTCTCGTCGAGACGGGGCCGCGACTGGAGCTCAAGCTCGTCAAGATTGTCGAGGGTCTCGTGGGCTCGAAGCGCGGCGAGGGCCAGACCGTCTACCACGCCATCGAGACGAGGACGAAGGAGCAGGAGTCCAAGCTGCAGCGCGCGCACGACGAGCGCAAGAAGCTCAAGGAGAAGCGCAAGGCCGAGCAGGCCGCGAATGTCGCGCGCAAGAAGGCCGAGAAGGCCGCCAGGAAGGGCGGCAAGGCCGAGGAGGACGAGGAGGACGACGAGAGCGAGCCCGACGTCGACGGCCTCAGCGACTATGGATCCGACGAGGACCCCGAGGCGGCCCTCCAGAGGCGGCGGGCACGCTTCGCCGAGGAGAAGGATGAGGAGGACGACGACGAGTTCGACTACGAGGACCGCGCCGCCGACGAGGACGAGGATCTCGATAACTGGGACGAGGACGTTGCCGCCGGCGACGTGTCGGATGAGGAGGAGAGCGACGATGAGAGCGAGGACGAGGCGCCGCCGCCCAAGAAGCGCGCCGGCAAGCGTTAACGAGTGTTACACGCATTTTCTGCAATTTTTACACATTATGCATGTCATCTTTAGAGATCCAAGAATAGTAGAGAAGAATCAGACACCGAGGAAGGGCAGCCCAGAGCCGACTCGTGCTTTGTAGTCGACGTACTCCCTGCCAAAGAAGCGGGTTAGGTGGATCTCCTCGTCCCTAATGCGCGAGCGGAAGAAGCGGCCGAGGACGACAATGAAGCCGATTGTGCTCACAATGTTGGAGAGAAGGAGCTGCGTCGCGACGGCCCAGTAGAAGAACCCTACGTAGGATGGGTGCCTCACAAGACTAAGTTAGCTCAGAACACTGGCTGTACGAAGCTCACGAGTAGACTCCATGCGTGATGAGAGTGTGGTCCTCGAGCTTGACGGTCTTGACAATGTGCGAAAAGCTCTTGTTCGCGTGGACCATGGCGAGTGATCGGAACGACTGTCCAGCGACAAGAAGGCCGACGACTGTGGAGAGTTAACGATAGAAGTGACACTGCAGCTCACTGAGACCCAAAACCCATGGCGAGGCGACGACAGAGTTGAACTTTGCCGGCCAGAAGTAGGACGAGAGGAAGTACTCGGCGAGACCGACCAGATGCGCAATGTGGTACTCATTCGTATTGTTCAGGAGGAAGGCTGGAGGTCAGCTGTCCTTCGTCGTCCCAGCTACACATCGATACTCACCATCCACGGACAGCTTCTGGAAGTTCCAGCCTGCGGTCGTCCAGAACTCAAGAATGTGGAAAGTCGCCCAAGCTGTCAGGTAGATGCCGAGTTGCGGACGGGCCCACGTCCAGTTGGCCTCGCCGAGCCAGCGCAGAAGGGGCTGGAAGGCGCACGTCGCAGCTATTCCGGCAGCGGCTCCGAGGGCGACGGAAATGACCGAAGCGGCGAGCGGTGTGTTCGGGATGGTCTCCTTGGCTTCGTAGTGACCAGACTTTGGCATGTGAAGACCCGACTGCGCAGCTGTCCGCGCAGGCGTGGTCTGACCTGAGGACACGCCCGAGTCCGAGTTCGAGGCGATGATACGTGCTCGGATCTCGGCGAGCTGCTCGCCGGAGATGGGCCCAGAGACGCGCGTGGTCCCGTTCGTCGCCATTTTTGAGTCGTTCACTGACGCTTTGTGAACTGTGCAGTTGAGAGATGAAGGGGGGTTGAGGAAAGACAAAGAGTCTTCCTTTCTTGTCGCCATCGCATCGTCTTTTGTTCATCGAGAGGAAGGGATCAGCAACGCGGGGTCTCCAACTTGATTACTCCACGTGGCCAAACTGCCTCCGTTTTTAAGCGCCGGCGCACACTTGTGTTTGCCATCCACTCAGCTCACCGCCGCAACGCCGTCGACCGCGCCGTATTCCGCGTGCATCCGCCCTCCAGCACACCCAGTTACGCCAGCATCAACGGGAGACGCTCGACTACTACGACCTGCGCGAAAAAACTGCGGTGAAAGAGGCCGCCGATCGCCCGTGATGGACGGAGGCGTCGAGGTGCGTTCTGTCCCTACCGTTTTCGGGGTTTCAGTCTCATGCGGTGCAATTTGCTTCTGAGATCCTCGAGTGGGGTGCACGTCGACTAACACTTGCAGACTTATCAGCTGTCCGGAGCTGTACACGATGTCTTGTCGTCAAAGGAGAAGTTGGTAGCGTGAGTGACGCTTCGGTTGTTTGGCCGATCTGGTGGCTGACATTAATCAAGGGACACGGTGGACGAGCACGGCAAAGCACTGAGATCTCTGTACGGGATGCTGAAGCGGAAACGGGACGAGGGATCAGACCTCCCAGACATGGACAACATGGAGGAGGTGCTTGAGCCCGGGGTTGCAGAGGCGTTCGATGGATGGAAGGACGAGTATAGGCTCGAGGCTGGACCGTCCCGGATAGCATCACTCTCGCTCCCATCAGTGCCGCCTCCATCACCGCCGAAGGGTGTCATCGCTTTCCCGGACGAAGCGCCCGTTGAGCCTGCGCCGGTGCCTGAAGTATCTGCAAACGTTGGTGTTTCGACCAGGAGCAGCCGATCAAGCTCACGAGTGGGCACACCGGCACTGAACGTCTCGTCACCGAGGCAGACTCGCTCATCTCGACCGTCGTCACCGAAGCCACCACCGCAGGCGACTGTTTCGTTGAACGACATTCTGCCGCGTCGGACACCAGGGGCTTTGGACGGTTCGCTTGACGTCCCGCCGTGGGAGCCAGTGGACAACTACAGCCCCGCAGAGGAACCTCAGCCGAACCAGACCATGAAGGTGCTGATGCCTCTGGAGAACGACTACGCCTCTCAGATCCCTCGGCTCCCGGCCTTCCCTCCCGGTGTCCACCGTCATCGCAAAGGCAACAAGGGCGACTCGGGGCGGATCGACTCGTTCAAGCTCAGTCTCATGTACAACCTCAACCCGCTCAGCAACGGAGTGTCACGATCGCCCAAGTGTGTACTTACCTCGGATTGGAGAGTCGCACAGGCTGAGCTTCGTCTTATTCGTACCATGGAGAGGATAGAGGCGAAGAAGGCTAGTGGCCGCTGGAGTCTGAGACAGCCCAAGAAGCACCGTGGGCCGCCGGTCCCCAAGTCTCACTGGGACTGGTTGCTGGACGAGATGGTATGTCTCACAGCTCGATCCGTTACTGACGACGCAGGAATGGATGCAAGTCGACTTCTCAGAAGAGCTGCGATGGAAGCGGGTCGTCGCCCGTGAGATTGCATACCAAATTGTTGAGTGGCACCTCGCCTCCCCCGAAGAGAAGGCCGAGCTCATGGTGGGAGGGCGAGGCTGGGGTTCAGCGAGGAACGATCCTGTTCCCGGACGACCAGCACCCTTAGAAGCGGATAAGACCGCGGAGGACGACGTGGAGATGCTCGTCGGGCAGGAGGACGCAGAGATGGCCGAGGCGGAAGCTGAGGCTGACCGCATCGACCCGTCTGGTGCCGACGTGCTCGATGACATTGAGAACAAGGAGAAGGCGGAAGCGAAGGAGGACGAGCCCCACGTTAAGATCGAGGCGGACGATGACTCCGGATCGAAAGACGCTGAGGGTGAAGAGGACGCGGACGGAGAGGAGGATGCGGACGGTGAAGCCGATGCCGATGGCGAAGTCGATGCGGACGGAGAAGAGGACGCCGATGGCGAGGCCGATGCCGACGGGGAGGCTGACGCTGAGGGTGAGGACGAGGGCTTCGGTCTTGAAGACATCGCCAATGCAGCCAACGAGACGCCCGCCGACAAGGCTGAGGAGAAGCCCGACGTTGAGGGTACCGTTCTGCCCAATGGCCTCGTCCTCAGCAAGCGCTTCTCAACCGTAGAAGAGCTTGCGACAGCTCGCCGACCACTCCTCTATATGCCCGCCGAAGCGCCCACGGCCGATCTCTCTACTCTCCCGTCACTCGCCGCCAAGAAGGAGGGCCCTGCTTCGCCGCCCGTTGAAGAAGACCCGCCATCTCTACAGGAGCTCTTCCCCGACCTCGCTCTCTACGGTGGACCGCAGCCGCCTTCAGCTGAGGATACGAAGATTCACAAGCGAAGCGACGAGAGCCACACTCGTATGGCCCACACCACTCGCCTGCTGGATGTTCGACCTGTCTTCGTTTCTCATCTGCAGCCGGCAAAGAATCACTTCGACAAGGACGGAGACTGGGACCTGCGTGAGGGACCTTGGTACGAGGACGCGAAGGGAGCGGCGGACATTGCGCCGGAAGTGGTCACTTCCATCTCTACTTTCTTCAGTGGCCGCGGCGTTCGGCCTCTCAACTTGCAGCCCTACAACCCTCAGCCTAAACCTGAGAACACGCGACCTGAACCGACGTGGGCGCCGGAAGAGGACAAGATCCTGCTGCGTCTGGTCACTACGTACCCCTACAACTGGCAGCTGATCGCGGACGCTTTCAACTCTGAGCGCGTCACGATTCCCTCGGACCGCAGGACGGCCTATGATTGCTACGATCGCTGGAACACAACTTGGGGGCCCGCGAAGAACCAGCCGAAGCCCGCAGAGACTCCCGCGGCGACGGGGGCGGCCGGCGCTGTCGGAGCTGCTACAGCGCCAGCTTCAGCCGCCGCTTCCGGCGCTGCCACAGCGGCCGCAACTCCTGGAGCCACCAAGGCCACGCCTGGATCTGCCACTCCCGCAGCCGGTACGCCGGCTGCCAACGGCGCCGCGCCCCCAGCTCAGCCGATGGAGCCGCCGCCTCCTCCCGGACTGTCCAAGCGGGAAGCTCGAGCTGCAAAGATGCAACGCTACGAGGGCTCGACCAAGAAGGCGATCCGTCATCAGGCGCTCTACGACGCCATTCGTAGGCTCTCTCGTCGGCGTGACAACAAGGGCAAGGAGAACCTGAAGGACCAGGAGCCTCGCGAGATCACAGTGCATGAGAGCCACTCAACGATCGCCAACCCCAACGGTCAACCTCCGACACCCTTCGAACTAGTCGAGGCCAAGTACCAGCGTGATCTTCGCATTCACGAGGCACAGCAGCAGCGTCGCCTCCTCGCCGAACAGCATCGCCAGCAGCAGCTGCGACAGCAACAGGCTGCACTTCTGCAACAGCAGCAGCAAGGTCAGCTATTGCAGCAGCAACAGGGCCAGGCTCGACCGCCTGCGGCCGCTGTCCCTGGAGCCGCCGCCACTCCAAACGTCGCTGCGAACACGCCTCGTATCGGACCTAACGGTCAGCCGATCAACATGGCGCCTAGCCAACAGCAAATTCTTAATGCTGTTGCCGCTGCCACCGCTGTCAACGGACGCGCTGGTCAGATTAACGGTGCGACACCGACTCAGAACGGCACGCGGCCGCCGCAGGTTGCCCTCACGCAGCAGCAGCAAATTCAGCTTCTGCAGGCTCAGCAGGCTGCAGCAGCGCAACGTCAGCAGCAGGCTCAGGCGCAGGCTGTCCAGCAAGCGCAAGCTCAGGCTCAAGCGCAAGCCCAGGCGCAGGCTCAGGCTCAGGCTCAGGCGCAAGCACATGCTCAGGCTGCTGCTCGAGCAAGCGTTCAGAGCACGCCGCAGCCGCAGCCCGCGACCCTCGCCTCCCCGTATGCCTCCGCCAACTCGGAGGTGGCGAATGGCACGGTCGGTGGTAACGCCTCGCCTGTTGTCCATGCTTCGCCTCAGCAGGTTCAGGCTCAGCAGCAACAGCAGCAGCTCACCCAGGCCCAGGCTCAGCTGCAGGCTGCTCAAGCCGCCCAGCAGGCTGCACAGGCGCAGGCTCAGGCTCAAGCCGTCCAGCAAGCGCAGGCTGCGCAGGCCGCTGCCATGGGCCGCGTGGCCTCTGGCGTGCCGATGCAGATGCAGCAGCAGATGAGGCCACCACAGGCATCCCCCTCGCTGCCGAACCAGATGACGCCTGCTCAGCAGCAGCAATTCCAGCAGATCATCGCCACTCTCACCGCTCAAGGCCAGCAGCCGACGCCGGAGAACATTCGCGCCGTCCACCTGCAGATGATCCGCAATGCGCAGGCCCAACAGGCGGCGCAGCAAGCCGCCGCCGCACAGGCTGTTCAGCAGCAGCAGGCCGTCCAGGCTGCCCAGCAGGCGGCGCAGGCTCAGGCGCAAGCCCAGGCACAAGCGTTGGCTGCCGCAGCCAGTCAGCAGGGCACGCCGCAGATGGGCGTCGCACAATTACAGGTCGGAACAGTAAGTTCTCTAACCTAAGCCGAAGAGTAAGCTGACCAGCAGCCGAACGCGTTCGCCAGAAGTCCTAGTGTTTCTAGTCAGATGAGCAGAAGCCCCAAGCCTCCTGGAGCATAAGTTGTTAGATTCTTTTCGGTTGTACTACGATGCACACATAATCATGCACTTGAGCGGCACGATCGAACCACGATCACCTGCACTGATGAGGTCAGGCAGAACTCTGCCCACCTGGAAATTCGGGAAAATGTGAGCAGTAATGCAGAGATGGTATAATGCTAGGTGGGTTCCTCTAATCGTCCGTTCGCCGTTCGGACTTCCGTCTACAGGTTCTTGTTGTTCAGGGGCTCACGAGCCTCCTGCTTCCATCGTCGGGTGATCTGCGAGTAACAGTTGGGGCACATGTTGTGCGCGAGCTTGACGGTGCCGCACGCCTCGCAGTGGGAGAAGTCTGCTGTCAGCTACGAGATCTGACTGAGTACGTAGCTGTGCTACGACTCCTCTTCAATGGACAGAGTGATGACTCCCCATCCCCTTCGTAGCCTGGCAGCGATTTGTGAAAGAAGACAGTCTTTTGCAACTTGAAAGATCACACGACACTACGTCGTATGCTCTAGCAAACGTCGCGTACACAGCTCCGGGAGTTTCCAAACTCACTGGTCTTGTTCTTCGGGTGCTTGTTAGCACTTCGCATGCTTTTCCTGGAGTGCGTAACCTTGCGCTTGGGGACAGCGAGGACGATCGGGGGAAGGAGCTCGAGAAGGGACGACAGACCGCCCATGACACCGGCAGCAAGGCGGCCGAGGACAGGGAAGCCGCCGACGGCAACGGCCGCCGGGGCGAAGGCGAGGGCGGAGGTGAGGCGCGGTCGCAGCGAAAACAGGGGGCGGGCGATGGCGGACATGGTGCGTGGATTGCTTTTAAGGAGTAGAGGCTGCACTTGCGTTCTCGGCACTCAATGTCGAGAAGACGATCTCGTTTGGACTTTTCAGGCGGAACCTATTTGACACCCTCACTTAGCAACATCTCCCTTTCACCTCTCACCTGGCCATGAAGCAACTACTTTCACCAGGTCATCTCGAAGACATGCTTGGGCAGCTCGACAGCATTCTTGGCTGACCCAGTTGGCTGAACCGTATCAGACTAGGTACAGAAGTTCACAGGCCACTCGAAGTAACGAATCGTCCGCTCGGTCATCGCTCTGGCGACCCCTGGCGACGTCCTTTACGGAGTGGGTTTGAAGCTAACAGCTGACTGTACCTTACGCGTGACAGTGACGCTGTACCCGCTTTATGTTGACGAGGACATGTACCAACGTTCGTTTGCAGCTACTCACCATCGAATATCTCACTTATAGAATGTCCGATGACGAAGTGACAGAGGTCCTCCTTAAGCGCCGCGACGACCACCAACAAACCATAACGAGAAATGTGGACTGCGATGCTCCAGGCCCGCAACAGTCGGCCCACTTGGCGAGGTCTCGTCTTATAGACGGGCTGATAGAGGACCTGGAGAAGTTCATCGTGGACGACACCGTTGTCTGCTCCGTCGCAATGACGGCGGACTGGGCCGATGTCGTTATAGACGACCCCCGGGGCCTGAATGGCAGCGTGACTCTCTCGCACATGGCTCAAACGGAGAAGGACGGCCATCACACATATACGGGAAGGAACCGTGAGATACTCGACAAGTGCTACGCGAATCCAGAGATGTTCATTCAGGCGAAGAGCGGTAAATCGTAGGTGGTGACACACAGGCAACAACTTATGGGCAGCTCTGCTCACGCGAGCCCGTACTCGTCTCCCGAAGGATGGACAAAATATGTTGCGACCTTTAACGTGTCGCCTAAGGCGCCAGGTCCGCATAGTAGAGGCTCAGTAGTGGGGGACCTGCTCATGGGCTTCGTGGCGGAGCTAAAAAGGGTGAAGGACATAGGTGTTGTCGTCAGCGCTACATATAACAAGCAGACTGCTGTGATCACTGTAGACGCGCCGAATGGTTTGTAGTTACTGGGATGTAGTGTCGTGAACGGCAGCCAGTCGGGGATACACGTAAGGTTGACGGTAATGTCACCATGTGCGACCTCCGTCGGTCACGTTCCTGACATGCCTGACAACACGGTTACGACGAGCACTTCACAAGGAGGATGCACCTATTTCTGTTCCCCTAACCATCTCGAACATGCCGTTCAGCGAGCCCACAGAGGTATTGCTCAAGCGCGGTGAGGCTCACGAGCAAATATTCACTTGGAACCTCGCCTTCGATGCCCCTGGTTCATCACAAGCTGCGACCCTGGCGCACGAGGGCGAGACACTCGTCGATGCTGTTATCAGAGAGTTGGAAGGATACATCAAGGATGACACGTTTGTGAACTCTGTCGCAATGTCAGCCGATACTGCGACCATCACAATCAACGACGAGCGGGGCATTGACGGGAGCGGAACCCTCGCGCAGATGGCTTTCGAGGAGAAACAAGGCTATGTCACGTACAAGGGTAAAGATCGAGAGATCTTAGATGAGTACCGCAAGAACCTGGATGCATTCAATCAGGTCCACGGCGGTGACCGGTAAGTGCGATTGCGAACTTCAAATGTCTGTGCTGACCGGCAGTGGCAAGTCGCCCGAACAACATCCCTCACCACATCCACATCAGATGAAAAGGTACATCGCAACGTACAACGTATCGCCAAGTGCCCCCAAACCCCACAACCAGGGCTTCGAATGCGGGAGCACCCATGATCTCAGAGGTTTCGTACGAGAGCTCAAGCGAGTGAAGGATAACGGCGTCGTTGTCAGCGCGATGTTCAACGGTGATACCGCCGTAATCGCTGTTGACGCGCCGAACGGTCTGTAGCCACTATGAACACTATCAAAGTGCGTTGCAGGAGCTTGTGAAGGCTTCCCCGTGATCCACGTAAGGTTGACGAAGCGTCCCATGTGCAACCCCACATCGGTCTCGTTCCTGACAACCCAGCCTGGTATGGACTTCCATACTATCCTCAACAGTCCATGGACATGCAAGCGGGGTGCATGCTCCCTCTTTTTTCACCATCGTACCCAAGATGTCGATCAGCGAGACCACCGCCACCCTCCTCAAACGCCGTGACGTCCAAGGACAGATCATCACCTGGAACCTCGACGACGATGCCCCGGGTGCACGCCAGATCGCACACGGCCCTGGCCCAGACGTAGGCGAGGAGCTGATCGACGCCGTCATTGAGGCTCTGGAAGACTATATAATGGAAGACACCATGGTGCAATCCCTGGCAATGTCCACCGATTGGGCGACAATCGTTATCGACGATTTCCGGGGTATGTTCGGAAGTCATACGTTGAAGATGATGGCAAATGAGGACAAGGCAGGTCGACCCTTATCTCAACCAAGTGATCGAGAGACATTGGACGAGTGCTACAAAAACCCGCAACTGTTCGACCAACCCAAGAGTGGAAGATGGTGAGTTCATGCAGGAGCTCGTGAGCTGATAGCCAGTTCTGAATCCACTGGGCCACCCGACGACCCGCCTCAAGCAAACCCGAACGAGCTCAAAGGGTATATCGCAACATACAATGTGTCTCCTGGAGCGCCTGGACCGCATAGCCGTGGGATCGAAGTCGACAACTTATGGAATCTCCGAGCTCTTGTGGCAGAGCTGAAGAATGTCAAGGACAAGGGAGTCATCGTGAGCGTTATGTATAACTGCGAGACCGCCATTATCACCGTAGACGCGCCGAACGGTCTGTGATCGAGTTGGAGAGGCTCGCGATCCTGTGACTTTCCTCGTTCGGCCTCTTATCTCCATCAGCTTCAGCGAGTCCTACCCGCCTCCTGTTTGATGTGCCGATATACGGAGAGATGCCAGTTGATGCATGATTGCCTATGATGAAAATACAATTGCCTACGCCTTCTCAACCCTGTCCCACTCGCCAACCTTACCAGCCATGACGTCCTCGTCCGAGATCTGCGACAGCCTGTGAAGTTCTCTCCTGACGAAGTGGACGACGGACTCGAGCTGCTCGATGAACTCGAGCTCGTTAACGGTCGGCTCAACGGCCGGGCTGGGCGGCGTCACGCCCCGGCTGGCAAAGAGGTTGCGCCAGACCCAGCTCGCGAGCTCCGAGTCGGCGCGAGCCTGATCGGCCGGGTCCTCCGAGATACCGAGACCAAGGACGTAGTCCAGGCCCGTTCCGGCGCCCTTCCACTGCTCGCCCATCTCCTCCATATACTTGCGCACGACACGCTCGCGCTCCGTGCGGCCAAGAACGAGGCGCATCTGCGACTCGGCGAGGTCGAAGAAGTGCGACAGGAGCTCGGTCGGATAGCTCTCGTGCGCAGGCTTTCGGAGCTGGATAGGGGATCCCATCGCAGGTCCGTCCTTCTCGACATCGACGGGAGCGTCAGGGTTGGTGCGGATGGCACGCAGGCGGGTCACCAGAAGCAGGACGTAGAGCAGGTGGAGCTGGAAGAATGACTGGTAAGTCGGGGGCAGCTTGCAAGCTGATGTCAGCGATGCTCAGATGGGGAGGCGCACGTCTCAGAGACTTCTCTGCCTGTTTCGTGCCCTCGGCTCACGAAAATGCCCGAAGCCGTTCCGAAGAAATCACTCACCATTGTACCAGAAATCCCGGTCCCTGTCGACAGCGTCGACAATCTCCTTCATCATATTCCTTGTCTCACGAATCGCTGTCGTCGCCTGGCTGTTGTAGCCCATCGCACGGGCGAGGCCCTTGACGACGTTCTTCGTGCCCTCCGAGTACTCCCTCGGGGCCTCGTCGGGCTTCGGCGGGTTGAAGGGGTCAACGTACACCGGGAACTGCGGCTTGCCCTGCATGACAACAGGAGCAGAGGAGATGGGCTCCTCGGCCTTCTTGTACATCACGGGCGAAGACGACATGCAGCGAACGACCGGCGCGGCGGCGGAACGAGCCGGGAGACGGCTTGCCGAAGCGAGGGTACGAGAGGCGAAGCGGAGCGACATGGCGGACGGTCCAGGCGCTGAGGTAGACCGATCGAGGAAAAGTTACTGCTCTGTAGCAGGCCGATAATCAGGCTCGTCGGGGGCCCTCTGGTGTTCGAGAGGTGTGACTGTGATGTCAAAGGTCATTGAGCATGCCGAAATGAACCTACCGCGAGAAGTGAGACCGGCTCGAACTTTTGGCTCCGCACGCCTAATTCGCGACAACTCAATCCCCGCACAGTAGGCCTAACGCAACGAGCACCGGTGCCTGAAAGGGAAACGCGCGACGCGCGTGAACGCGCAATGTCGGTTGCATCAACAACAAATCAACGCTCACACCCCTTGCAACTAACCCAGCCAGCTGGCATGGACCTCGCAACAGTCAAAGCCAAAGTCAAGTCATGGGAGAGGGCATTTCGTGCAGAACATGCACGTGAGCCGACCAAGGAAGATGTAAAGAGGGATCCCACCGACATCGGTAAGTGAAATGTTATTGCGGCTATCTAACGAGCAGCCGAGCTATATTCCATGTATCGGAAGCTCTCAAAAGGGACGGCGTCCAGCAGAGAAGTCACCAAGTCCAAGCCCAAACGCTGTACTGATGCCGTCGATAAGCCCGCGCCGGCGAACGACTTTGCGACTCCTAGCAAGTCACGTACCAACTCCGCTCTCCATCTTAGTCCCACCACACCGACTCCGCGTCGATTATTCGGCAACGCCGATGCAGGACCGTCGAAGCGTGCAGCGGCTCCCGTGACACCAGGAAGAGACCACAAGCGACAGAAGTCTGGATACACTGGCCCTGTCCAGGACCCGAACCCTTTCCGGACCCCTCAGAAAGCGCCACTACCTGCAGCATCACCTTTCAGCGTGAAGATCGATACCGAGTCCCAGTTCATTCACGCCGGATCCCCACGTCGGCTTCGTGAGGTCTTGGAGGCGAACTCACTCAAGAAGACGCGTGAAAGGGATGAGACGCCACGAACGAAAGCTCGCAAGCGGTTGGCCGGGGAGATGGACGACTCGCCTTTCCGTGTCCGTAAGAGACGCGGGGAGGGTAGGAAGGCTGCTTCTGCTGCAGAGGACAAGGAGAACGGTGCGGGTCCCGATGCTGGTGACGACGACGATGACGATGAAATTGGAGAGACTCCGATCAAGGGTGCAGCCTTTAGCCTTCTGGACGATGCGACATCAAAGCCGAGAGACCTGCTGCCGATCTTCCAGAAAGCTAGGACCGTTGCCGCAGTTTCTACAAGGCCGACACCCCGCCGGCCGTCGCCATCCCCTGCCCCACCGGACAGAGACTTGGAGAGCCCAACGCCAGGCGTTTCTGCTCCTGCCGACGATTCCGACCCTGCGCCTCAACCCGAATCTTCCCCGGGGCATGCGCACGGTACCCAAACAGCATCCCCCAGGTCCACTCGTGCTCGAGGTCGCGTCGTCGTTCTGGGAGAGGAAGACGAGTGGGACCCAGAATCTGATAGGCGTGTCGTCAAGATCACGGGGACTCGACGTCCAACTGTCCGCGGGCCTTGGAGTGACGACGAGTTTGGAGACCACCCTGGCTTGTCACAAGTGGATGACGAAGACGAGGAAGCTGAAGACGACGGACCCTGGGACGACGATGACGACGGACTCGCCGAGACGCGATCACTGGCTTCCCTCAGCCTCAGGTCGCCGGCTATGCGCAAGGGCGAGAGGTTGGCTGACCTTCGCGTGCGGGCTCTCCTGGATCCGACATCGGCGGCGGCCACCGCTCTGAGAGCTCTGAACAAGGGTCAGGATGTGTACGTGTCAGGCGAAGGCGTTGTTGGAGACGACGAAGAGAACATTGAAGGCATCATAGAGATTGGGGAGGGCGACGACGACTGGGAGAGCGACCCGGAGGGGTGGAAGGCTGTTGTCAGCGAAGAGGAGTGGTAATGTATGTATCATATTGTTGCATCATTGGTACGAAGCGCTTCTCTGCTGAAGCGTGTAAGGCAACCGACGTCTGGAAGATGACCCAGCGCGTCGGTCCCTCGGTCCGTCCATCCGCAGTCACATGCACCCTGTCCAGATTGCAACGACCGATAAGCATGCTCGTTCTATGCTAGTTGCGTTATCTCACAGATACGTAGTCCTCTCCCGTCCGCTCCATCTCCGGTGCATGCACGACAAAGCATTGCTCGAAAACCTAGGACACCGCAATGTCGGACAGCGGGCAACATTGCCCTAAATCTGCCGGACAAGCCGGGCCGGGTTTAACGACAGCATGTGGGCCCACCCTGTTCCCAGTCTTCGCACCTGATGCACAGCGCCCAAGAACAGCTGATGAACCAAGAAGCCGTATCCCTTCACAGGCCAGTTTTAGCATTTCTGGGCTCCTCCTGGGTCCTGGAACTTGCCGGGAGATACCGAGTCGATCCTTTTTCTGCGTTTAGCGTATAACTTTATCGCACCACAAGGGCGGGCGAGCGGCAAACCATGCCCACTCACTCCACAATGCTATAAAGCGGCAAAGGATGCACTCGCGTGACCGTCTTTCCCGCATTCATTACTCAGACTCACAATGCGCTGGGGGAGCAAGAGATTTGACGAGACCGTCGATGTCGACGTCGTGTCCGTTGACCCGCAAGCGCAGCTTCAGGCTCAGCTCGACCCGCAGGGCAAGGGGCTCGAGGTCAAGAAGAGCGCAGCGGAGCGCAGGTTCCTGCTCAAGCTCGACATCTTCCTTCTCACGTATGGCTGTCTCTCGCAGGTCATCAAGTACCTCGACCAGACCAACATCAACACGGCCTATGTCAGTGGGATGAGCGAGGCGCTCAACTTCCATGGCAACGAGCTCAACTACTTTGCCACCTGGTTCAATGTCGGATGTAAGCTGAGAATTTCATGGTCTTACGCTAACGGCAGACTGCATCTTCTTGATCCCCTCGCAGATCTTCATCACATACTTCCGGCCGTCGCTGTGGCTCCCAGGCCTCGAGCTGCTATGGGGCATCTTCACCGGCTGCATCGCCGCTTGCAAGACGGCTTCTCCGATCTACGGTCTGCGTGCTCTTATCGGAGTCGCCGAATCCTCGTCGTACCCTGGAACGGTTACGCTGCTAAGTGAGTGTGGCTGCTGGAGGAAGCTGACAGCAAAGTGGCGTGGTACACGCCTCTTGAGATGGCCAAGCGCATCGGCTTCTACCATTCGTGCCAGGCCGTCGGCTCCATGCTTTCGGGCGCTTTACAGACGGCTATCCACGAGAGCCTCGAGGGCAAGCACGGCATCGCGGGCTGGCAGTGGACGTTCATCATCAATTGCATCATGACAATCTGCCTGGCTCTGATCGGTCCGCTCATGATCCCGGACTTCCCTGAGAAGCCAAACCCGCTCGCCTTCTGGCTCACGGCGGAGGACAAGCAAATCGCTCAGATGCGTCTCGAGCGCTTCCGCCGTGTCGACATCAACCCGATCAACGCCAAGGCGTTCTGGCGCACAATCAAAAACCCCGCGCTGTACATGATCATCTACATTTACGTTGGCATGCTCATCGGTGTCTCGGGCATCAACTACTTCCAGCTCTGGCTCAAGAGTCTCAAGAACCCCGACGGATCGCCTGTTTGGGGTATCTCGCAGCTGAACGCTATCCCCATGGGCGGATATGCTATGCAGATGGCAGGCATTTGGGCGATTGCCCTTGCGAGTGACTATTTCAAAACGCGTTGGGTCGTCCTCATCGCGATCTGTCTCATCGGTATTCCCAGCTGCATCATCATGACGGTTTGGAACGTCCCCATCGGTGCCAAGTACTATGCCTGTGAGTGAACCTCATGGTCCTCAGCTGACGCCAGACTTTATCCTGTACATCTGCCAGTCGCACGGCCCGCCTCTCTGGGCCTGGGTGTCCGATATGCTCCCGATCGACGCTGAGCAGCGTGCACTCACCATCTCCTTCGCGATCACGATGTACTACGCGATCAACAGTTGGTCAAACGTCCTGATCTTCCCTGCGAGTCAGGCGCCGCACTACAAGCACGGCTGGCCGGTATGTCTCGCCCTCTGGATCACGAGCATCATGGTCATTTGCGCGCTGCGTTTGTATGATCTTAAGGTTATCCGCCCGCGCAATCACAGGCAGGTACAGCTGGCGATGGAGGACGAGGGAGTGTTTGTCGACTCGACGCACAAGCTGGACGAGGAGGAGGACGCTCTCCGCAAGTATGGAGGTGAGAGCGGAACGCAAGCTGCGGAGGAGGCCGGTGTGCCCGTTCTGAAGTAACTCTTAAGGTATGGTAGCTTCTGGCGATGCAAGGTTCTATCTTATCTTCTCGACCCTGACTGGGATAGCAGTCGGTCTGGTAAGCTCGCCAGGATTCAGATGCGATCTTGGATCTGGGATATGGTCAAACATTCCGTCACCTCGCTTGCGAGGATGGGGACCCCGCGCGAGATCGCATATCTCGGTCCCGTCAGTCACCGATCCGGCATGCCAAGCGGACGCATGCCATCGCTCTTTCCTTGCATCCGACCGCCTGATCGCTACTTCGAAATGGCGTTCAGTGCATCGCGCGGGTAAACCTCTGTTCTGTGTGCCTGGACCTGTGCAACCAGGTCACGCATCTGCGGTCGTCTACCTCGGCCTACCGGCAATCCCCGAGCCCACCGCCGATGGCCGAGGGACTCGTTGCAGCGCTATATCTACTATCCGGCCGGCTCAGAGCTATCAACATCGGCAACATGATTACAGCTCGCACTGCCGCCCTCGGCGCCGCCGCCGCATCGGCCATTCCCCTCATCGACGTCATCCGGCTGAAGAAGACATACCCACTGCGCGACGGCCCGGCAGATGCGCCATGGCCCAAGATTGTCGGCCACCCGAACGAGGTCGCGACGCACGTCCGCATCCCCCGTGACGTCAACGCGCGCGAGGCGTTTGTCAACGCCTTCTACCAGAACTGGACCCTGCGTTTCCTCGGCGACCTCTGCCAGCGCTTCCACCTTGAGCCCGCCCCCCTGCCCGGATACACGAGCCAGGGCACTGCGACCCTCCCCGCCTCCTATGGACATGGCATGTGGCCCGTCCTCGCTCGCACGCCCGATAGCACTATGGTCTGGTGGCAAGCTGACAAACCCGGCAAGGGAGGCGCGCAACTCCTCTCCGCCAAGAGAGGTCAGGGGGACGATGTCGAGATTGCGTTCGGTGGCGCTGAGACGCCGGACCTCACTGTCGACGCTGTTGGACGGGCGATCGAGAGGGTGCACTTTGTGTACATGCAATATCTTATTGACAGAGCGAAGAGGCGATTGGCGAAGGAGTACAAGCAGTAGTTGGATCGTTATGTATCGCGTTTAGGCATTCCTGAGGCCTGGTGTTGACGTATACAGCTATCAATTCTCGCTTGAGGTTGTTGCCTGGGTGTTATCCTTACAGCGCCCCTTTGCGGCCGACGTCTCGGGTTCGTATGGACTAAAACCTTCCTTACCTTCACTTCCCTGCACATTCTCAGCTGACGCGGGCGCAAATCTCGCTATCCCAGCATGCGTTTATGTTGCGTCTACCTTCGCATCATTACAACTGGATTTGTTTCGGTGCCCGCGAACCCGATTCACCCAATCTTTCTCCACTCCGATCTACCTGGAAGCTCGTCTCCCTCACGTCATTCTTCACCGAACTAACGTAGGCAGCTGAAAGTGCAGAACGCAGGTTCTTGCGTGTTCCTGTCCGCGCCGGTGTCAGGTCTTCCCTCGCTGCTTCGGGTCCTAGATCCAGCCGGGAAAATGGGTCGTGATGCTGCTGCCGCGCAAACCCCTGTCGTAGCCGCATGGGGAACCGTCTGGCACCTAGAAAGCGAGCTGGACGTTAGAGATCAATCTGGCTTTCTGCATCAATTTCTCCGGGCTCGGTACCACCGTTGCAGGAGGAAGGTAACAATGGACTCCTTCTTCGACTTTCATGTCACATGGCATGTGAACGAGCGTCATTCAGCAAGCTTTGGGCCACATAGATGCAGCTTCGCTATTGACACGCTGATATGCTGTGACCGTCTCAGAAAGAGCTTGCGCTCCTGAAAGGTTAACATGAAGACTTGTACCACTTCATCTGCCACTTTGATGCCTCCAGACCGCGCCCGCTCCAAACGGCCTACACGAGACGACAGGAAGCAGGAGCGACGGTCCCAGAGCCCAAGCCATTCACATGAGCGAGTGAGCGAGACTGCCCGCTTGTAAACGCCGTTTGCCCTAACGCGGTGCTCGACATCGGATCTGACCCACAAATAAAAAGTCGATCAAACGCGGAGATGGGCGCAGGTGCCAGTACTTAAGACACGCAGAGGGCGCAATTCACGTAGAGGATGTGGCTCAGCGGTAGAAGCGGCGGATTGCAATTTGCAACCATCCGTAGGTCCCCGGTTCGATCCCGGGCATTCTCTCGTTTTTGGATGCGCGTCAAGCGTGCATAGCTTGCTCCGTGCGATTCCCTTTTGCTTGCGGACCGAAGTAGCCGAGAGTGGCAGGGTCAAGGGCGCCAAGTGACACACACGGCAACTGATTGTTACCTTGTCCACCAGCTGAATCTGACGTTATTCCGAGTATTACACGATCGGCACATCGTCGGCACAACGCCTCGCTTAGATTGCTTCCCGTGGTCAGAGTTTCGATTGACCGCGCTTAATTGCCAGCGACACTGTTATCGGAGCGCCGTTTCAGGCTACCACGCTGCCGCGCTGCCGGGATGCCACGGATCCTCCGGGCCCTCCGTCAACCGACCACACCCTCACAGCACCAACGTGACGTAGCCGCGACGCACGATGGATGCTCCGTCCCTCCGAGCCTCCACCATGCACGCCCTGCACGAGCGCCCTGCTTAGTAGCCGTACTAACCGCACCAACCGCTGGGCTCGCTGGGCGCAAGCCAGCGACGCGAGTGAGTGGGTCGGGTCAACCACCCGAGTGCCCAGCCCATACACGGTATGGTTCGCTGGCTCGGGCTCACCGATCACGGTCGCGGGTCGCGGGTACACCGGGTGCTGGCGCGCCGGAAGTCGTGAGCACGCCAGAACGCCAGTGTACCGGGGATCCGGAACTCGAGCTTCCATGTTGCATTATCCGTGCCCGCAATGAAGCGCAGGGCCGGGTCATGTCTGGGTACTCAGGAGGTTGGGAGGCTGGCTGCACTTCCGTTCTGCCGACAGACAAACCAAGCATCTGGCCAGCCAGGTACGGCACGCACGATAGGGAAGGGAGAGGGGCAGCATGGCAGCGGCAGCACTTCTAGTACTTGCTAGTTATCATGATTTCAGGCACTTACCCGAGTTTGCGATATTCCGATCATCGCCGATGCCTCCCGCTGCCCCGCACTCTGCAAGTGCTGCACTCACTCTACCATTCGACCACTCCGCAACCCCCGGAGCACTTCCGTCGCCCGCCCGCGGTGCCCACGGTGCACCGCCAGCCCGTACGTCGGCGGCGCCCTCCCCCATGCATGCCCCGGCACCCCCGGTTATGACCCCCGTCCTAGTCCACCCGAGCCGCCCGTCGGTGAAGCCACTGCCTAGTCGATCCGAACGCCATCGGGACCCCAGACGCCGCGTTCTGGGGCTGATAGCGAGCGAGACAGACCTGTCAGTCATGTCGAGGACGAACCGGTCAATCATCAGCTCCGAGGCCATCTCGGCGACGCCTGGTGTCGTCGTCATGAGCGCGGACATCCAAGCCTGCCTTCTACTTTGCTCGTCAGCTCCTCGGCGCGCTCGCGCGCATGTTAAGCCCCGGCCCTGCACTCCTTTAACATCTAAACCTGCTGCATTTTAAGTTTTCGTGGACTAACTACAACCTAGGAGCGGGCGCGTTGGGGTCCGCGATTCAAGCCGACTTGTCGACCTTGGCGACGTACGAGATGAGGTCGCAAACACGGCGCGAGTATCCGTACTCGTTATCGTCTGCTTAGTGAGCGGGGACGCGCGCGCGCGGGGCCATGGGGCCATGGAAAGAGAAGAAGAGATGAAGAAAAGAAGAAGAGAAGTGGTGGATGGGTGGATGAGCGGTGGTGGTGGTGGTGGAGGGTGGTGGCGGTGGTGGAGGGTGGAGGATGGATGGTGAGCGTGGCCTATCCCGGATCCGGCTGGATCCACGACGGCGACGGCGCTAGGACAGAGTACTCACACCAGGAGATGAGCTTAACGAAGTTGGGGTTAAGCGAGATACCGGCCTTGGCGTCGAAGATGGACGACTCGGTCGAGCCAAGGAAGTCAGTGGAGACGACCTCCTCGTCGGTGTAGCCGAGGATGCCCTTGAGCTCCTTGGACTCGGAAGCAGTCTTGATGGTCTGCTTGAGCTCGTCGTACGAAGCGCCCTTCTCGAGGCGGACGACGAGGTCGACAACGGAGACGTCCGAGGTGGGGATACGGAAGGACATGCCGGTGAGCTTGCCGTTGAGCGAGGGGATGACCTTGCCGACGGCCTTGGCGGCACCAGTCGACGAGGGGATGATGTTGGCGGAAGCGCCACGGCCTCCACGCCAGTCCTTGTGCGAAGGACCGTCGACGGTCTTCTGGGTGGCAGTGGTAGCGTGGACGGTGGTCATGAGACCCTCAATGATGGTGTACTTGTCGTGGACGACCTTGGCGAGGGGAGCGAGACAGTTGGTGGTGCACGAAGCGTTGGAGATGACCTTGTACTCGGGCTTGTAGGCCTCAAGGTTGACACCGCAGACGAACATGGGGGCGTCGGCAGAGGGGGCCGAGATGATGACCTTCTTGGCACCGCCCTTCAGGTGAGCAGAGGCCTTCTCCTCGGTGGTGAAGACACCGGTGGACTCGACGATGTACTCGGCGCCGTCCTTGCCCCAGGGGATGTTGGCGGGGTCACGCTCGCCGTGGACGGCGATGGCCTTGCCGTTGATGACGAGCTTGCCGTCCTTGGCCTCGACGGTGCCCTTGAAGCGGCCGTGGGTCGAGTCGTACTTGAACATGTAGACCATGTAGTCGAGGTCGATGAAGGGGTCGTTGATCGAGACGACATCGAGGTCACCGTGCTCGATGGCGTTGCGGAGGACGATACGTCCGATACGACCTAGGACGTTGTTAGCACCATGTCGAGCTCCGAGGCCGAAAAAGTCCATGTGAACGTGAAGCGACATATAGCCGAGCCACATCGACGAGGAAGGCTCGGGTTGATGGCGTCCGCGAAGGGATAGGGCTACTCACCGAAACCGTTGATACCAACGTTGACCATGATTGCTAGTTTTGGAGGAGGGGTAGGAGAAGTGAAGAGAGAGGGTGAGAGTGATGGAGAAAGAGGAAGAGAGGAAGCGGAATGGGGTGCTTATAAATGATCCGGGGGGCGGCAGGGGGGTGCAGGCTGGAGGTGGTGTGAACTGGGGGTAGGATTAAGCCGGAGGATCGAGGGAGGGGCAGGCGGAGGAAGTGACCGGAGTGGATGGACACTGGGCGGGGAGTGCGTGCGGGTGTGCGGGCGTGTGGGTGTGCAATGCCACGCTCCTGGGTGTGTGAGTCCTGCCTGCCTGGCCGGCACCCGTCGCGTCATAACCAGGATGTGGACGCTGACTGCTCTCAGCTCTCAGGCCAGGCACCGCATCCTCACCCTCTGACGTTGCCCCCCCTCCAAGCGGACCCTCCGCTCAACCCTTCCCCCACAGACGACCGTCCGATCCCCCGATTGGTCTGCATTTACGCCCTTTTCCTTATTATTGACGTGGACTTTTCTCTCCAATGCCATTGCCGCCGGCTCCCCACACGCCGCGGCACAGACAACGCCGCCTCCCCTTGGCTCAAAGCCTGTTATCTACTCACCGCAATCCCCGTGTCGAATCACTTGCATCTCTCACTCCCACTTCCCAAACCCCTGCCCTAATCCAGCACCTCTCTCCTCAGGAATGCTGGACCATGGCCGGGAAGGCCTGATAGAGCGGTCGGATCGATCGATCCGATCCGCTTTGCGAGTCAGCCAGATCTTTGTCATGTGTAAGTCGTGGGCGGAGGTCTGTGTGATGTGTGGTTCGTGACAAAGCGGCGTTCAGTGTGTCACAGCTGCATGTCGCAGCTCGTAACTCGTCATTGGATTGCATTCCTTGGAATAAGCAGTGACGTCTTTATCTGCCTGGTACGCCTTCGACGTAGTCCGCCCTACCTGATGAAATAATTCTGAAAACTGCCGCACCCAGTTCGCCAACTTCGGCCACATGAGCCTACGACTGCGCCTAACAGCGTTCCCACGTGCAAGGGCTGTTTGCAAGCCTATGCTCACTCCTAGGTCTGTCGACGGGAGGCTGTGTGGCTTGGCTCGGCGTCGTTTGGTGGGCCAGAACGGCAGACCCGGCTCACTCATGGGCTACCGCCTGGAGCCCTAAACAGAACCAGTCAGGGACGGACATTCAGCATGCGAACGCGCCAAAGGGCGGCAATTCAGGTTCTCAGTATACACAGACCATTGATGCCCGTACTCTTGTCGCCTAACTTGGCCGTGGAAGTTCCTGCTGTTCTAATTGTGTTCCTGCGAACACGACTGACATGTGGTGCTGACCGAAGGATCGCGGACGCGCGCACAGATGGTGGAGGCACAGGCGCTGGTTCCTGGGTTCCGTTGCGGTGCGGTCAGCCTTGCCGGACCCTTGAATGATGCCACCCTTGCTCAACACCCCCTAAACCAGCCCTTACCACAGGAATCTGGCGCTAACAGCAGCGAAATCGCTCAACGACAGCCAAGGACGAACAGGAGGCAGACAGGAAGTTCCAAGACCCCGTAATGCTGATCCCCTAACGCCAGGCGCCTCTAGCCATGGTCTGAATTCAGAAGGCCGGACCCTGCATTCACCAGCTCGCAGTCTACTGGTGCTGCTCTCAATGAGTAAACATGGGCGCTAAATGTTGAGGCTGAGGCTTGCAAGGGCTTGGCCAGACGTCTGCACATCTTGGCCTTGGCCGCGAAAGCTTTCGCACACTTGTGCATGGCGTGTATCGCGAGCGAGATACGAGATTAGACATGGCATACGTTTTGGTTCTTGACATCGCTTCACAACTCACTGACCACGGACGATTCACGCGCCGCCGAGGAGGACAACAGTAGGCCGCGATGAAGTTGCTGCGAAGAGCCATCTGTGCGCCGCATTCGTCAGGAGAACAAGTGAGTCTTTTGTGTTTGTTTTGGCGGACCTCGCATGACGTCGTCCTGTCTTCCTCCTATCGTCCATCACCGCAGACAATCCGTGCTGACGATCGCAGTTCCCCACGACTTACGATGCAAACGGTAATGTGTGCCCGTCAATGACGGAGAGCGACAAGATCACGGTTGGCGTCGGATTGGCGGTGTGTGAGTCTCAGAACAGTCGAGTGGCAGGTAGGCAGGCTGGCGGTGGCTGACATAAGGCGCGTTGATTCTAATCACGATCGCCGCTATCTGGGGCATCAACTACACGCGCGAGAAGCTCGCCAAGGAAAAGGACGAATCCTCGGCCCGTGCGTCGCTGCAACCCATGGTCCGGCTCGATCACAAGAGCTACTTGTCTCCTCCTGGATCGCAGCCCTCCTCGCAACCACCGTCTCAGCCGTCTTCCTCCAGCAGCCACTCGGACCATGCGCATTACTCGATTGTGGAGGACTACAGCGGCTCCGAGCGTACTCGACCTGACCAATTTGTGCCTCCCCGCCAGCCTCCTGCACTCTCGTCGTTCGAAGGACCCAAGCAGTTCGTGTCACCCGCCTCGACGGTGATCAGTGCCCCGCCGCCCCGATCGTCATCCTACTCGCGCCTCGACCAGTTGCCGGGCCAGCAGTCTCTGTCGCAGGCCGGCATGCAGGCTATGGGCTCTGCCGGCTCTCCCGGCCGGCAACCGATCAAGAACCCCCCGCTTCACATCAACACGGCCAGGGCGCAGCGATCAATGTCGCCGACGTACCAGAATCAGCGCCGCTCGACCTCGCCCCTTGGCCCCGGCGTTCCCCTTCCCGGTTCAACCAGCTCTTCCTCACTGCACGCGTTTTCTTCAGCGACACCCGTGCCCAGCTACCCGCCCATGTCACCTTCCGGCCCTGTGCACGCGGCCCACATGATCTCACCGGGCCCCTCCTCGATTGCGACCCCCGTCCGTGCGGTCGCCCCTCCATCGCGAGTTAACCCGATGGTCGGCGCGAGTCCTCCGGCTATACCACCGGCTGCGCCGGCGCAGCCACCCAGCTTTGGTCAGGTTGCAGACGATGCCGGTCCTGCTACTCCTGCCGGTCCTGCCAGCTCTACCGGGCATGCTTCGTCTGGACCGGCCTCGCCGGCCGTTGGTCTCGCAGTTTCCGGTCCCGCGATTCCCGCCATGCTGGCGCAGGCCCCTGCACGCTCGACATCGCTTGACCCCCGCGCTGGACCGGCCACGCCCATCTCGCCCATGATCCAGACTCCGTCTGGGGCCATGCAGTTCCCATTCTCGGCGCTCAGTCCCAACCCGTCACCCAAGCAGACGTTCTCGCCCCTCCCTTCCGAGTCCCACGAGATGGAGGAGTACTTTGACGCTCTGTCCGTCGACCAGATCATACGCGATGCCCCCCAGGTCCAGAACGTCGAGCCCCAGTACGCACCAGATGTGCAGGGCCTCACGGCCAGCGTTCACGGGTACATCTCTCCCCTCCCGAGCCCGAGCCCGGAGCGTCCGGAACGCCTCCCGTACTTGAGCGGTCTGAGCGCAAGTTCGGAGCGCCTACCCTACCTCAGCCCCGAAGGCGGCAGCCCGACTCGCCACTCCCAGCAGTGACGAGCGAGACCCATGGACGATGGTAGTGCCACTCATTGCTCACTGGGATGGGCTGTGAGCGAGAGATACCCAGCCCGCATTGTAGTATATGGTCGTCTGTGAACGACCACATTTGGACATTGTTCGATTTCATGACATGCAAAAATGATGTAATACACTGCGTCTCTATCGGTCTCGCTCTGACTATGGTGAGGCGGGGGATATGGCTATGACTGGGATAGGGCGTTCTGCTCCTCGAGCTGGGTGAACAAACCATTAGCAATCTCGTGACTAGGCTCCGGAGGCTGCTTCGTGCGCGAGCTCAGCACATAGTTCACAAGCACCAACATCTGCTCTTTCGTGATCGAGGTCGCTTCTGGGGGCATCTCTGCAATGTCAGCGGCTAGTAGTACGCGTGATTAGAGGTTGTACGCACCTCGTCTGATGGGCGACAGAAACTCGTCGCGGAGCAGTTGCGGAATCGTCATGCGCCGCTCCTTGTCGTACTCGAGACAGCTGCGCATCGCCGCAATGGCCGATGGTGGGACAGTGACGGGGGAATGGGGTGGCGACTGGGCACTGCTTGCGCGCGGCGAGCTCGTAGACGGGTATTCGATGCGGTGCGACCGATCGGCGATGGCATTCATTTTGGCCAACGGACCTCCGGGAACGTAATGGAACGGCGGCGTCCCGTATATCATCTGGTACAGGATGCAGCCGAGAGACCATACGTCCGACGGGTACGACAGCTTCAGAACCTTTTGGTTGTTCATGCGCTGGATTGCCTCCGGAGACATGTAGTTCACAGTGCCGATCTGCTGATCACGCTGAATGTTGACCGTGTCATTTGCAATTGCTTTGGCGATGCCGAAGTCGATGATCTTCAGTCGACCCTTCACAAGGACAAAGTTCGCAGGCTTGAGGTCGGTATGAACCACGTTCTCGGCGTGCACTGCCTGGACCGCCTCCAACATCTGCTCCCAATACATGCCGACGAAGTTCATGTTGAGCGGTTTTCCTCGCTGTTCTTCCAACAGAGCCGCAAAGTCGATCTCGCCACACTCCATCACCATCATCAGCATTTTTGGTCGGTTGTTCTGAGAAAACGTGATTTGGTGATCGATCAGCTGAATGATGCGGTCGTGCCCTCGCAGCCTTCTCAGCAGCTCAATTTCGTTTGTGTAGCTCTGGTACGTTTCGGGATCGGCTCGGTCCAACGCTACTCGCTTGAGGGCGTAGATAATGCGTTTTGTGGGACAGAGAACCGAGTACACCTTGGAAGATCCTCCTTTGCCGAGCAATCCTAGACGTTCGTAGGGTGCACCATTGACCTGGTCATCAGATCTCAATTTGCAGTCTCGTACTCACGAGAAACGATCGCTTCGGGACGGCCTGCGGAGGCGCCGGCGGTTGGGTTTTCGCGGCCTGTTCCTGATGAGAATGACCCCAGCTTTGCTGCGCGAGTTGCGGAGAGTGATTTTGTGGGGGTGGCGCAGGCACATGTTCTTGGATATGAACAGAGGATACGGCAGGCGCCGGCCGGGATGCTCGCAGTGGTCGCACCTCTGGTGCAGGCCGGTTGGCCACGGATGGGAGCTGGGGATGGGGCCATGGTTCCGGATCGTCCACTTTCCGTTTCGCAGTGTCTGCTGCTTTGGGGTGAGAGGAAAGCCAGTTGTCCCTCCCAGTGTCTGTAAGAGGAGGAGGGGAGGCGCGCGTGGATTTAGACAGAGGTGGTGATGGCGGAGCAAGAGGAGGAGGGGCCGATATCGTTGCGGGGTCGTGGTCGACGGTATGGGGGTGCGCCAATGCTGATTGTTGTCTATCTGAAGCTGGAGCATGGGCGCAAGGGAGAGGATGCTCATCTTGTGCATCTAATGTCAGCTAATCCAATGCGCGTATCTTACCAGACATGGGGCTCATCGGCGCATTAGGTACCGGGCCCTCCTCTTCCTGTTCATCCTCATCTGGTGCCGAAACAACTCGTCGGGCGGGTCCACCAAAGCGAGAAAGTCGTGATTCGGAAGCGAGGGAAGCTCCCATAGTCCTTTGCGCGAGTCCTGGGGTCGTGTAGTTGATGGCGGGTTTTATCCTGCCCTCATGTCCAGTTTCAAGCCGATCGACAGGCTGAGGTCAGCAACATGTAAGGTCACGATGCAAACACACCGGATGTCCTGAAGCACTTCCAGCTAGCAGAGGTTCGGAGACAACGCGAGAACCCCGCGATCGTAAACCCAACGACGTCTCTTCCTCTTCAAGCACAGTTCGTCGCCCGAGGGCCGTTCGTAACTCATCGGGAGGCGTTGGAAGCGAATTCGCTGCAGAACGAGCGCTTATTTCGGATCGGGGAAAGCCCCTGCTACTTCCAACCGAAGATTCCAGGCTTGAGTTTGCACTCTGTTGCAAGAGAAGGGCCCTGTCATTGATTGGAGGCGTTGTGAACACCTCGTGGGGCTTCTCTTTCTGTTGATTCCTCCTCAATCCCCAATCAAAGTGGAAGTCGGGGATCTCGACAGAATTCTCCTCCTCATCCCATTGAACTTCAATAGACTGATGATTCTTGATCTTCGGTGGTGTCGTCGGCGAGCCCATCATGTCTTGGTCGTTTCTCCGCATCGTTGTAGGTCGAGGGGCGCTGTCTGGAAATACCAGGGCGATGTCGGATGAATTGGTGTCGTTCTCTTTCCTTCAGCCGTGTCAACACACGCGCACCCCGTAGGTTGCGGAGTGATAGATGTAGCCCTCGGACAGCAGGGCGAGTTGATCGGACAGATGCACAAGTTGACGTCGAAGTCGACGGAGGTGAGCGTAGGTTATTGTAGGTTATTGACAAATGCAGGTGCTCGTCAGCGGAGTCACGTGCCGGTCTGCATTGTTTACACAATTATGGGTCTATCGAGCGGGACCAAATCCCATCCAGAGACAATTCGAGTTCTGACGCAATGCTCCTCGTGGGAACTGATACCGATACCCGGACTGATAACGGGTAACTGATAGAGGACTACGGCTGACGGATGCTCAACCTTTACACACAGCGCGAAGGAAGTGGGGTTCGCGGCATGCCACGGGGAGCTTCAGTCAGCGTTCTGAGTCCTTGTGTGATCTTCTACACTGCTTTTCATCTCTTCTTTATCTGCTCTTTTTTCTCTACACGCCAGAGGGGTGGAGGGTTGCAATGTCCTCTGCAGCCTCCCTCTACGCCATGACGCCCGAGGATGCTCTTATATCCTCAGGGACCAATGTCGAAATCTAGTGTAAATAGGAACCAAGCTGGTTTGGATGATAGGCGGGTTGCTTTGATGGTGATTGCGGATGGTTGTGTGTGAAACGACAAATGGGGATCGATTATAAAATCGACCGAAAGGCTTGTCATACTCGCCTTTGGTGGGTGAAGTTAGGGATTACCGATCTGTAGTTTCAATGGTAAAAAGAAGGATGGTAGTTGGGGGTTATGGGAATAGTTGTCGGACAAAAAAACGGCGATTCGAAGAAGTAGGAAAGCCAGGCGTTCAGAATGCGGGAAATGCGATGGGAGTCATCTAGGCTCGTCCCATGTTTGTGACGGGGATGCAGGATAGGGGGTGGCGGGGCATGCTAATTATGAGAGAGTCGAGTACAGGAATCTAATATTAGCAGTGCTTGACGACTGACTCACAGATTGTTCGTCGCTGCGATGGCAATCGTGTTCTCCCGTGGGTGCCAGCTGCCGTGAAGCTGCCAGGTCAGTAATTATCCCACTGCACTTCAGACTCACAATCTTCTTAGCGAAGTCAATGCCCTCCGTCTGCAGCCCCTCTTTCTTGCCTGGAACCTTTCCTCGAGCCCCGCCGATCTTCTTCGCCTTGAATGCAGACTTGTCGGCCTGCAGAACAACGTCGTTGTCGCTGTTGACATCATAGATCCGGAAGTAGTTATGGTATGAGCCCGTCATGACTTGACTGCGAGCTGTCAGGGGGCAACCTTTGGGGAACACTTACCTTCCGTCGCCGCTGAACGTGCATTCAAACTTGTCGAAGATGCAATCATTCTCGTACAGGTCGCAAAGCTTCTGGCGCAGGTGGTCATGAATGTTGATAGTTTTCACGGGCTTGTTCTCCATGTTCATGTCCCAGATCTTGAGCGTAAGGTAATCTCGCGATAGAATATAGCGGCCATCACGCGAGAACTTGACATCGGAGATGGATGAAATGATCTCTGAGAAGAAGGACTTTTGAGAAGGGTCCTCCTCCTCCTCGAACACTGCAACGTCAGTACGACAGAATTCACGGAATCCGTCTCAGAACACTCACGTTTCGCGTGCTGATCACACAGGGCAGATTCTCGCATGTCGGCAAGCTTGATTGTACCCTTCGAGCTCGAGTACATGAAATGGTTACAGTTGATGGGGTGGAACTCGGCAGCCGTAATCACTTCAGTCAACTCTTCCATATTGACAGGCTTGATATCAACGATATCTGGATTGGTCAGCCAGTCTTCTCCTGACGGAAGTCAGTCCCTCACTGAAGCTCTGATCGCTGATGTTGAGGTTCCACAGGTTAATGCGCAGGTCGTCGGCAGAAATGTAGGTCTCGCCGTCCGAGTTCACTGAGATGGAGTTGATGTGATAGGCGTGAGCATTGGCGTAGACCTTGCGCGGGACAGCAGCTGTAATGGAGTCATGAGTCGTCATGCGGGGCAGACGAAGCAGAGCCTGAGAGCCGGGCGCGCCACCTCCGTACTCCGTATGGTTGTTCTCGGCAACGACCTTGATCTGCTTGTCGAAGACCTTCCACAGCTTGATGGTCTTGTCTAGAAAGCGTCAGTCTCGTCTCCTTTAGACAGCACCGATGGGGAATTGGCCCACACGGAAACGCTGCTTACCGTTGGTGCTAAGAAGGAAGTGCGCCGCGTTCTGGCGCTTACACCATCGAATGCGATTGATCTTTTCTTCTATCTCAAGAGACTTGAGGTAGTCAAACTCTGGCTCGTGTGACTGGAACTACAGAGAGGGTCAGCGACTTGCACTTCTAAACAATAAACAGCGATAGCATACCTCGGTGTAAAATTTGTACTCGCATCCTTTTTTCTTCACAGCGTCAGCAGTGTCTACGGCGGCATGGGTTGACATGACTAGGTTAGCTCCTTACCTGCTCATTGCGCTCAAAAAGAACGACGCGTCCACCTTTATCACCCGTTGCAAGGTAGTCTCCAGTGTGATCGAATTCAACCGTGGAGATGATATCAGCTGTTATTGTGCATCAGTATGGGCCCCGGATTTGACTAGGTATAGGAGCACGCACCTTCCGTGATGTCTTCGACTTCGCCTTTGTCACCAAAACATTGGGCAAAACGCCATTGGCTTTGCGGGGTCGCTTCAGTATCCATGCCCGGCAAATCTGGCCAGGTCAGTCGTCGACCGACGGATTGAACAAATAGCTAACTGATGGAGGAGTGATCGTTGAGCGACCACCGACAACAGATAGGTGTTGATAAGCGGACGAAAAGGTTGCGGAAGAATGCGCGGTGACGGTTGGCAGGAAAGAGTATCCAAGCTCGACGAGGGGAGAAGGGGAGACAGTCGGGTCGATACGGTGAGAGTTGACGATGACGACTAGATACAAGGAAATAGTATCAAGGAAAACAGCCGGACCGAGAGCGGACTGGTGTGAGACGGGTTCTGTCAACGGGTGGGGTTGATCGACTTTGAGGAGGAATAGGGACGATGTATGTGGATGGATAGAAGAGGAGAGGGATGATGCTCAGTCCGAGTGCAGTGGAGAAGAGAATTGGAGGGAGCGTGTCGTCACACTGCCAGGAGCAGGTGTGTTGCCTCCGCTCGGCCAGGAGGCCTGGGGGGCTGAGCTGTGAGGGCGACTGATTGTTGCCGTTGTATTCGTTCCTATTGCAGCCGTAAGGGTCGATTAACAAAAGTCGAGCCGGTCAAATTATTGGTATACTGACTGCTTGAGTGCTTCGTGTGGGTCGTCTGAAGCACGTTAACGGATTGGCTCGCATTCCCAATATCCCATCACAGCTGATGCATCGCTGATCTGGGTGCACCTCAAACTGCACCAATTATTCATCGCCCCTCAGGCCGCAGACCCCTGGGTATGGTGGGCATTCTGTTACTGGGCATGCAAAGTATCCGATTGCATACAATGGATTGAGGGTTGCTGACTGGCATGTCCATGCCGTATGTGCTCTTTGAGCAGAATCAGCAGACTCGTCTGTCGCAGAGCGGGTCTACATCTGCACGGAGCACGTGCCCACTGCGCGTGAAGGACGTCTGGGGCATCTGAGCGATTTGGGACCTTGGTGCATGGTGCAGCGCGCAACCGTCATGCGCCATGGGGAAATGGGACGGCTCGAGATATGATAGGACTCTGGGGATCAATCAATTCTATGTAGATGCAGCGGAACCTAAACCCAGTTCACGTTGCCCAGCCTCACCCAATGTACTACACTGATCCTGCAGTCCCCCTTCCTAGGGCAAGGCGCGAGGTAGCAGTCATAGGCTCGCGATACCCACCGCGATCCTATCATACACCCTGGTGTGTGGCATGCTGGTCAACTCAACGTCACCAGGGCCCGCATGACAGCTGGTCGCTGCCATCAGCAGTGAGATTGCATCCTCTCTCCCTCGACTCTATCGGCCGCTCCGTCCTAGTCAACTCCATTCCCAGACAATCAACCTCACACCCCGACGTCTGATCACTCTCTCTCCTACCGTCAGCCGGGCGAGATTCATACAAGATGCCTCCCAAGGGGAAGAAAACCAAGGCCGAGGAGGCTCTCGCCTTCCTCGATGACCTGGACAATCTCGAGGCTCCTCCCGTCCCCCCTGAGATCGACGCTCCCACCCAGCAGCCTACACGACCCTCAAACGACAGTACGCGCAAATCCGAGTCGGCGGAGGGAGAACCAGCGGCCGATAAGGAGGCAGAGGATGCTCTCGCCTTCCTCGAGTCGCAAATCAAGCAGAAGCGTTCCCCGCTGAGCGGACCCAGCGCTTCTCGTACGGGAAGCCCTCAGCTTGCCGGCCCTTCGTCTGTCTCCACTTCCAAATCAGTTGCGCCCGATGTGCCCAACCCCCCGCCACCTCCTGCTCCCCCGGCTTCTGGCTCGTTCTGGGGCAACGCCTCGAGTCTCTGGTCCAGCGCATCGTCCGCCCTTCAATCGGCTCAACGCGTCGCCGAGGAGCAGTACAGCAAGGTGAAGACAGAGGGTGTTTCCGGTCTTCGCGACCAGCTCGATCACCTGCAAGTGGGAGGTGTTGACCTAGCTAGGCTCCGGAAGGATGCTGAGGAGCGTATCGGCGCAGCCGTTAAAGGTGTCGGGAATGTCGACCTCGAAAAGCTTCGCAGCGACTTGCTCAATCAAGCCGGCTCAACTTTCACGACGTTGATCAACACGGTTGCCCCTCCTATCTCAGCTCACGAGACCATCGAGCTCTGGTTCTCGCATACCATGGTGGGCTACGACGGCGTCGAGGGCGTCGTATACCGCGCTTGGACCTCGATCCTTGAGCAAACCGAATCAGGGGAACTCGTCATCGTGTGGTCCCCCCCGGAGAGTTCATTGCCGGAAGAACGGACGCTTAACCCGGTCGATGGCTGGGAGGCGGGGTGGACGTCGGCGCAGGCGGAGACCGACGCCCTTCGAAGCCGAGAGGAGAAGAGCCTTCAGCACAAGCAACAAGAGCAGAAAGGTAGAGATAGCGGAAGTCGCGGATCGCTGACTATCAGATGGCCCGGTTACGACTATTCCGGTTTTCCTTCAACTGCAGCCCTTACTTGCTCCTTTGCCAGTTCCTCAACCTCCCCTTCACATTTCGAAATCGTCAAGCGGTTCTGATGTGCCGAAACAGTTGTATTTCATCGTCTCCCTAAGGGATCCCGTCAACGACATTCAATTTACCTCTGTCTCTCAACCTGCCCCTGGTGATTGGCTTGACGTCCCGTACGAGCGGAGCGACTGGGTTGAGGAGCGTCTCGTCGATGTCATCCGGACCAGTGTTGAGATCGTGGCTCAGGATTACGTTTCCACTCGCATGGGTCTCAAACCTTCATCGACGGTGCCAGTGACTCCGGCTGAGCCTGAGAGTGAAGGAAAGTAGGCGCAACAAGGTTAGTAAGAGCTGTCTGTAGTAACGAGGTACGACTGCAATCATGCAAGTGTTCATAGAGGATTAGAAATCGCCCAGATCCAAGGTAATGGTTCGAGCTACATATTGCTGAGGCGTCTCTCCCTTGCGAAGACCAGACACGGGCGGTGCCTCAGCGGCTACATGGTCCGCCAAGGCCATGGCGGCTGCCTTGGCCTTGAGGACTGCACCTTCCGCTTTCTTCTTTGCAAGAGCGGCTTCGTGTGCCCTCGCCATGGACTCCTTCGTCTTTCTCCGGTTATTCTCGTTGATCCGCTGGATCCGGAGGTCCGCCTCATTGAGCTCCTCTCCCCCCTCCTCAAGCTCGCCGGTGTTGGGGTCAGCTCCCAAATCCCTGATCTGCTGAGTGAGAAGTTCAAGAGCTTCAAAGTCGTTGCGACGAAGCGCGAGCTCCTTGGATCTCATGAGTGACGTGACCTCCAGCACGATCTTCGTGCGATGCGCTGTGGGCTTGTGTTGCTGCCTCGCCTGGATCTGACGGTTGATCTCGTCCTCTGTCATAGGCCGGTCTCGAAGCTTGCGGATCTGGTCATGCTTGTGTTTGAGCTCCGAGCGTCGAGGCGGCAGAACACCGTCGCCCTGACACGTGAGCATGAAGCGTGAGAACTCAGACTGCATAGTTAGTTATGCCCTGCACCCGATGCCCCCGACTCACCTCATCAAACTCGCTGTTGGAGACATCGGCGATTCGGTAAAGCCTCTGAACCTTTCCGTACGAACAAAGGAGCGCGCGGGTATCGGTGACCTGCTTTCCCTTATACTCGATCGAATACCGGCCGTGACTGCCAGAGGAATCTACGGAGACAATCTTGTGAGCTCGATACTTCGGTCTCCCATTGTCGTCCTTCTCGCCCGCCATGAGTCTAACGTAGGCACCTGAATGTTAGGACAGTAAGCGTACGATTTTGACGAACCGGTGATGACTTTTTCAAACTCATCCTTGTACATGAGGTCCACGAGCTCATATCTGCTGAGGCGAGCGGAGTCGAGCTCCTTGTAGTTCGCAGGCGTGGCGTCAAGATCGACCTCTCCTTTTTCGCGTCGCTCGGGGCGACTGGGAGGAGAGGTGGCACGCCAATCATCGCGGATTGAAATCTCACCCTCCTCAGAGGACGCATCGTCGTGACGGGCAGGAGAGGCCGAGCCTGGATGTCTAAGACGTCGTTCCGCTCGACGCTGCGCTCTCTCATCCTTCTGCTTTCGTCTGTTCTTGAGCTCCGCCATAGCCCTTGATGCCTCCGTAGTCACCGACGTGTGCTTTCGACGTTTCTTGGCGTGTCCATCGTCCGAGTCGTCCCCCTCCATCTGAGCCATCTTCCACATGGCGTCAAGTTGCATGGAGTCCTTGTACTTTTGGATCTCTTCTTGTCGCTGGGCGAGGATTTGCTCCTTTTCAATCTCTGGCAGACTCTCCAGACTGCAGTGAGCACTTCTGGGACTCTGTTCCACTCACTAGTCTCGGTCCTCCTCATTCCTGTACTTGCCCTCCAAAGGGTATGGATCCCCGGTCGCTCTCCCTGATCCTCGACGGGAGTCATCGTCATCCGAGTCCAAATCCATGTCCATGTCCTCTTCATTATCGTCGGAATCCTCCATAAAAGCTTGGCTCTTCTGCTTTCCCCGCTTCTTGCTGTGGTGGGGGTCGTTCTCGGCGAGGCCGAGCAGCTCGTCCTCGATATCGGACATGGCGGGTGATTCTCTGATCGGATGTGTATCGACAAAAAAGAAAGGAGAGACCTCCTGTGGCGTGCGATCTTCTAGCTCCGTGCAGTTATGGGGTAGTATCAGTCGATGCTGATGAAAGGAAAGATGCAATGCAACAAAACAATGGAGTCCGTTTCATTATCAGCGTCAGTCACTTACTGAGGCGGAGGCATATTCACCACGTTGCACTAATCGCTAATCGAGGTGCCGTCCATCGTGTGTGCGGGAAATTGCCTTCCAACTACAGTCAACACATCAACGCAGAGCTATCGAACGGCGTCCAGCACCACGATTCTCAGCATGCGCTTCTGGACATTAGCTGGGCTGTTGTTCGCACTCGGAGCATGTTTCTGCTGTGCCGACGGTGGCGATCGACATACGAACAACTGGGCAGTGATCGTATGCGCATCCAGGTACTGGTTCAATTATCGAGTAGGTAGTTCTCGCGGTTGTCGCGCTGACTCGAGAAGCACATGGCAAACGCTCTCGCTATGTACAGAACCATTAAAAGGCTCGGCATACCGGACTCCAACATCATTCTCATGCTGGCCGACGATGTGGCATGCGATGCTCGCAACATTTTCCCTGCTAGCGTCTTCGGCAACCGAGACCGCCAACTGGATCTATACGGCGACAGCGTGGAGGTGGACTATCGAGGCTACGAGGTCACAGTTGAGAACTTCTTGCGTGTTCTCACCGGGAGATTTGACAAGCATGTTCCGCCAAATAAGCGCCTACTCACCGACGCTTCGTCGAACGTGTTCCTGTACCTCACTGGCCATGGCGGTGACGAGTTCCTCAAGTTTCAGGACAACGAGGAGCTCTCTGCGTTTGACATCGCAGACACAGTTGAGCAGATGCACGAGAAGAGGCGTTACAACAAACTCCTGTTCATGATCGACACTTGTCAGGCGAACACCATGTTTTCGCAATTCTACTCGCCTGACATCATTGCCACCGGATCGTCAGCCAAAGGCGAGAACTCGCTGTCTCATCACGCCGATGATCAGATCGGGGTATCTGTCATCGACTCTTACACGCATTTTACTTTGAACTACTTGGAAGGATTCAACAAGTCCTCGAAGGCTACTGTCAAAGATTTCGTACGTCGCCCCACTAATGCTTGTGCTGATCCGGTCAGTTCGACAGTTACGATCCTGTTCAAATCCTATCCAATGCCGGCGTCTCCACAAGTCTGAGCAAGACACCACCGGCAGAGATTCTACTGACCGACTTTCTGGGTGGTGTCTCGCGAGTGGAGATCTCGGACGGCAAGGTCAGCGTCGGAGAAGATGGATGGATAGAATCGGAGACCGTTGAGGTCGAAACACTGCCACCGCCTCTGAATGCGTTCCGCCCCATCAGTGCCGCATTAGTGTAGCCAGCAACGGAAGTAGTGACAACGTTTTTCCGTATCTCGTTTGACGACTTCATGACATGATGTACATTATACTACGCCCAGTCCTGTTCGCTTATAGGGTCTTCTTGCGGGCGTCAGCGGCCTGGACGCGGCTGACAATGTTGCAGAGGCGTGCGCCCATATCCACAGCCATTGCCAGGGGAATGACCAAGAAAGGGACGTAGCTGCTGAGGAGCATACCCAGCTCTGTAGTGCTCAGAGGAGGCTTCGAGTATGGGTCCGTCAAGACAGCATTGAGAACGGGAAGAAGGGTAGTTGCGGTTGATGCCCCATAGGCGAGGAGAAGAGCTATCGCTTGATCAGTTTCCGGCATTGTGCATGAATGAACGTACGATAGACGCGCTTATCATCTTCACGAAATCAGCAAGGGCCTGGAATTGTGCACTTACTCTTCCACAGACCAATGCTTCCCACAACGAAGGAAAGCATTTGGAAACTTGCTTCCAAACAGAAGAACGTCCTCAGCCAATCCCATTCCTGGCCCCCGCGGATCGCGCCGATCAGGATCGGATCGCGGGTCAGCGAGATGTACCAGTTCAGAATAAGGGGGAAGGGCGTGCCTTTCAGCAATTCCGGAGGATACAGAGGTTGCAGATCGACAAACAGCGTCACCCACTGTCGCTGTCAGTGAAGTCAAGGCACCGTCTAGTTACGATATGAGTCTGTCGTCAGATGCACGTTCGTCAAGCAATCGGCTCACAAAGAGAAAGACAAACCAGACAAAGTCCAAGGGCCTTCCTGTAAACCTCCCCATGTCGCCTGTTGTGACGTGTTGCAACTTCAACTTCAACAGCTTGCACTTCGATGAGGGCCGCGTTAATAAACAGTGGTATTTGCCTCCGTCACAACGCATCGTCTCATGCCCTCATGCCCTCGTGGCAGCCGGTCTGTTCAATGCGGTTGAACGCAGGCGGGCCTCTACGAAATTTAACGCCGGCCCAAGCATGTAGCGAACTTAGATGCTATGCTAGTATGCAACCATGCTATGTTCTACTAAGACCTATCTACACTCGGCCAGAAGAGCCTCCAGGTCTGCAACAACATCAGACATCGTTGGCCGCTCAGCCGGATCTTGGTGCCACATTCGCTCAATGAGGTTGACTGGTTCAGAACCCCAAGACTTGCGGAGCCCTGTCAAGCTGGGCCGCTTGTGCTTCTGCCCGACGGCTTCGTAGATGTAGTGCTCGTTGTGACCTTCCCAAGGATATTTCTGTCGTCAGTCTTTCCGATCAACTGTTGACCATACCTTGTCACCCGCCCAACCAGAAAGCATTTCCCAATAAACCAGTGCAGCGGAGAAGACGTCAACCTTGTAATCATACCGGGGATTTGGATGCCACAACTCCGGGGCTTGCCAGTTCACAGTGCCAACGAGACTGCGAATCATCGACCTAGTTGTATGCTTGACACGCGCCAAACCGAAGTCGCCGACCTTGGCCACACCGCTGCGGCTGATGAGGATGTTGGTGGACTTGCAGTCCCGATGGATTATGGCCGGTTTACGCAGATGAAGGTATTCAAGTCCCCGCGCTATGTCGAGCATAAGTCGCAAAACTCTCTTGAGAGGGGGAGGGGGTACGTTGCGAATATAGTCGAACAAGTCACCGTTTTCGCACAGCTCGCTGATAAGCATGCAGGGTACTTGTGACGAGTCTTCCGGAATGCAGATTCCTCGGAACCTCACGATGTTCGGATGACTGAACTCAGCCAGGAGCTTGAGCTCCCGGATGTCCATTTCGCTCAACTGATCGCGGAACTCAGAGATAGCGACCTTGCGCCCCTTGAGTTTGCCAACGTAAACGTCCTTGAAGCCGCCGCTACCAATCTTCTCGAGCTTCTGAAGATGTTCAGACTTGATAGTGAAGTCTTCCAGACCGAGCTCCTGCAAATCCAAGTTGAGATCATTCTCAGGGTTCTTCTCCGTGTCCTCGTCTGACCTGGGAGGGGTTGCCGGATCGGAAGCATGAATGTGCTCGCGCAAGAGCACTGGGGTAGCCTGCCCATCCCGTATAGTGTCGGTGGCGACCTTCGGCACCACCTTCGGTGCAGGAGAGTTACCTCGGATAGTGCTCTGGGAACTAGCCGTAGAAACGCGACTCAGTGTCGCCTGTTCCTCATGCCATTCGAGCAATGCCCTTGCCAACTGAGGTTTTGTCCCACCAACTTCGAGGTTCCTGGATTCGCACAATTTGACCAGTTCGTCGCGGCGGAGCTTTGTCAAGTGGGACAGTGTGGCAGACGACAGATCGACCGGAGACGTTCCGTTTTGACCTCCTTCTTCGGCGTCTTCATCCATGAAGTCGTCGTCCTGGACGAGACGCATGTCGCCAAAGCTCTTGCCGGAGCGTGTTGTTCGTCCGCTTGTCGTGGCCGCGTCTGTTGGCAATTCGACATCCATAGCGACACTAGTTTTCACCGAATTACGCCGGGTGGACCGATGCGAAGATTGACTGCCTGAGGCTTTCGTTGACGTCTTCGAATGTGATTTGACAGTGTGCGGCTCTTTGGCGCCGTCGGACGCGATGCCCTCCTCCTCAGAAAACCAACTGCTGTCACTGTTGTTCTCTTCCAAGGCTTTCAGTGCACGGCGCTTAGCAAGCCGTTGATGACGAGCGCGTCGGGTGGCTGCTTTGTTGTTTCGTCGCCAAGATGTCGCCGCTGCCTCGTATTCCGTCAGGTCGCCATTGTCTTCGTCGTCGGCTTCGACTTCTGTAGAGGCACCAGACTTTGAAGGCCGCCGATTACGGGGGCGCAGCCGACGAATTAACGGGGTCGATCGAGATCCGTCTGCGGCGTCCTTTGGTTGGGACATCATGTTGCGAATAGGAGGGCGACGAAGCGGGGTATTGGAACCCTCTCCCGCTGAATCTGTAGTCGAGGAGCGACGAGTCAGCCTCGTTGCTAGCGGGCTCAGAACACTGTCCCCAAACCGAGCATGTCGGCCCTCCGCTCGCTGCATGGGTTTCAAGCGTGGCTTCGCATTGCGCCCCTTCGGCTTCCCACTCTTCAAAGGCTCCGTGGCCACGCCGCGATCGATGCACTCGGCACTGCGTAACGGTCGAGGGGTGTCATCTATATCCATGCCATCGTCGCGACGTCCACGATCTCCCTCTGAGGAAGTCGTCCCCAGCGACGTGAGTGTTGAGGTTGACTGGCTACGCGGTCCTCCCATGGACGGGGTTGTCGGCGGGTAGGGCGGCTTCGCTGGTGCAGAGGTGGAAGCAGACTCAGAATATCGCTTGCGCTGCCGTCAAGGATTGTCTAGGTCACCTACTCACCAGTTCCAAGAGTCCTGTCACTAGATCGACTTTGCTCTTCTCTCGAACCCTCCCTTCCGCCTCGTCATCCTCATCGGACCACATGCCAGCAACCTTCCAGAGCCGGACAAGTTCATCTTTCCTTAGACGGTGTAGCGTGTGTGCGGAGGCGACATGGAGGAGGTTTTGATCATCTGGATTGTCAGGTATCCCAAAAACGACACGATACCTACCTTCGGCGATTAATTGAGGCGTCTCATCTTCTGTCTCGATCCAGCTGTCCCCGTCTGACGAAGGAGCGGTCTTATCCGTTCGCTTCCTCTTACGAGGGCTCAGATCACTGTGCGCGTTCATAACGCGAGCTGGGATCTTCAAAGACAGCTCCGTTCGACGGGACTGCGATCCCGATCTCGTGCGGGTAGTTGCGCCATGACGCGAGGCTACCCGTGACAGTCGCTCGGAAGGCTGGTCAGAGTCGGAATCTGCAAAGAGACGGTTGCGTAGCCCGGCGCCTAGCTTTCTACGCTTCGGGGGTCGTCGAACAGGAGTGACTGCATGCTTTGGACGCATAGGAGAAGTGGCCTTCAGAGGGGAATCAAAATAAGGATTGGAGCGAGTCCTGGCGGTCGTGAACATGCTGGTTCGATGTGGAATATTGCGATGCTGTCTGTGGTGGAGGCGTTCGATATTGAGGGGGCTTCTAGTTGAGAGCGCTAACAGTCCCGGTGACGCGTGTCGATGTCAGTTGTACAGCGGCTGAGGCCTCTTAGGCCCTACAGCATTACGTGCGAAGACGAGTGAGTTTGTTGTTGATAGTCTGGTGACCTATGCCGGTCTCCAGCAGCACTAGATGCGTCGCTCCCTGCAGATCACAACAGGGATGGGAAGTATCACGTGACATCCTTCATGCGCGGGCCTATCTCATGTTTATCTGGAGAGGGCGTCACCCGATCACCCGGTTCGAAGCTCGCCACCCTCAACTCTCGATGCGCGAACTGGCATCACTCTATTGCTGCACTTAACGATACCGTCATATTACATGGCTCGCCGCAAGCAGAACATTCTTTCCGACGGTTCCGACTCAGGAGGCGACTGCGACAATGGATCTGAGAGCGATTTCGACTCGCAAGAGGACGAAGACTCCCGCGCTGAACGCCGCCTGTTCGAGCGTCGACAGCGCAAGCGACCTCGCACGGGCCGAAGCGGGAAAGACTCAGCCTGGGAAGGAATTTTCGGAGCTGACGACGGCGGATTAGACAGGCGATCCGGCAGTGGTTTGGGCAACAGGCAGAGAGGAGGTGGTAACTCGCGTAACGACTGGACCAAGTGAGTTCCCCTTCTCCGAAGACTGGCTGATTTAAACAGAGCTCCGACCTTTGTTAGCAGCTTTAACGCAGGTGCGGCTCGGCTTTCTTCTGGAATAGGCAGTCCCATGATCAATGAAGCCAATGATCCGAGCGCAACAGCAGCCGATGATCATGAGAGCGGAGACGAAAGCATCGGCAGCGACGGCGCGACTTCCTCTGTTGACTCCGAGGCCAGCACCCGCCCCCCCTCCCCACGAGTTCGAGAACCTGAGGACGACAACGATTACGGCGATGGCGATCCACCGAGAGGCATGGGCTTCGCGGGGATGAAATCCGTCAATTCCAGGTTGAGAATGGGGGGCTTGCAGCCGAGCACCTCTGAGCCATCGGAGCGAGAAATGGAGTCGGAAGACGGCCCATCAGCGTTCGGACGACGAGCTGCCGCGGTTCGTGACAGCGTGTCTCTTCCAGGAAGACCCAATTTCCAGTCCAGTCGCTCGTCCACGCCTACTCCCGCTGCTGCGAAACCGGCAGATCTTTCCACGGCTGACAAGGCTCACCTGAACAAGGTCTCCGGGTCGTTTGGTGCCAACATGCTTCGCAAGTTTGGCTGGGCACCAGGAAAGGGCTTGGGAGTTGGAGAAGATGGTCGGGCTGTACCGATCGCAGTCGGGATGCTCAACCGGGGTGAAGGAATCAAATCTGGTATCCGCACCGAAGACAGCAAGCGCGAGGCTCGACGAAAGGGCGACATAGTGGATGATGTCGAGGTGACTGGACGGAAGAAATCGAGAGCGAAAGGCAACCTTCAGTCTGCTACCGACGGCTGGAAGAAGCACAAGCAAGTGAAGGTCAAGGTCGAGCACAAAACGTACGAGCAACTTATCGCGGAAGACGACAGTACGCGCGCAGGCGTTGGTCTCGTTCTTGATGCCCGCGGCGGGGAATTGAAGACTGTCGAGTCTCTCTCTGAACTTTCAATCTCTGGATGGACACCTACAACTGACACCGGTCAACTGCCGGAGCTTCGTCACAATCTTCGTCTGATTCTCGACATCTCGAAGGGCGATGTTGGGAATTTGGTCAAAGAGGGCAAGTCTGTCAACGAGCGAAGACGATGGGCAACTAGGGAGGAGGAGCGGTCCCGAGCTAGGCGGGATGATTCTGCAGAGAAGTTGCAACGTCTTTCTCAAGTGCGTGTCTTGGTCTCTGAGATCGACGCCATCAGCAACGAAGTAGCAAAGTCCGGCGCCTCCTCACTGGAACCACTTGCGCCGTCATTCAACCGCCTGCTGACCGACCTCAAAGACGAGTATACGCGCCTCTCCCTGGACGAAGTCGTTGTAGGGGCCATCGATCTCGTCCTGAAGCCGTCATTTGACGCATGGGAGCCGTTCGACGTGTCCTCGGATGCGCTGCTGTCGACGCTTATGCCTTGGCGGACGGCATTCAATTTGGCAGTCGAGGGCATATCCCTTCCTATTCATGAGGATCGACAGATGACGGCCTGGGAAAGTTTGCTTTGGCATCGTTGGCTGCCGAAAGTTCGATCTACGATCAATAACGATTGGTCAGCGAGTGATGCTTGGCCTGCAGTTCACCTCGTGGAGTCGTGGTACCCTCTGCTGCCTGACTTCATCCGTGATAACGTCCTCAGTCAACTCGTCCTACCTAAGGTCATGTCTGCGATAGAGGCCTGGACGGGTCGAGGGAGAGGCGGAGATTCCTTGGCCTCTGTTGTCTTCCCGTGGCTACCCCTTCTAGGCGATCGCCATGGCGAAGTCCTCGAGGAGAGTAGGCGTCGCATTCGGTCGCTGCTACGGCGGTGGAAGCCGGCCGATGGTGTCCCACAAGAATTGGCGCGTTGGAGGAGCGACATCTTCTCCGCCCGGGAATGGGATACGATCATAGGAGAACACGTTTTAGGCAAGCTTGGAGCTGTCCTGAGGGACCTTGTGATCAATCCTCGCGATCAGGACATGTCGGCTATAGTGAACGAAGTTTTGCCCTGGCATTCGCTCATCCGCCCTTCGAACTTCACCCGCCTCTTCGAACTGGAGTTCTTCCCCAAGTGGCTAAATGTCCTCTACCTATGGCTCGTACACCCGGGGTACAATGGCGAGGAGGTAGCTCAGTGGTTTGAGTTGTGGAAGAGCCTTTTCCCTGCCGAAGTTCTCCATCACAAGGCTATTGCCCATGGGTTCGAGACTGGTGTGCAGCTCATGGGGGCGGCACTTGCCCTTGGGCCGTCAAGATCGCAAGACCTGCAGCGCCCTTCATACAGCCCCCTCTCTCGTTCATCGAAGTCGTCGGTGGGCGGCTCGAAGGCTCCTTCCACGCCAGCACCACATGTGGCTGTCCGGCACGATGATATAACCTTCCGCAACATCGCGGAGGACTTCATCGCCAGCAAGGATCTGCTCATGGTGCCCCTCGGGAAATCGCATTCAACGACTGGAAAACCCCTCTTCCGAGTCGGCAAGACCATCGATGGAAAGGGCGGCGTCACCGTCTACGTAGGTGAGGACGCTGTCTTTGCCCAAGGCGACAGTGGCAGCTTCCATGCGGTCACACTCGACGATGTCGTTCAGCGAGCTGGCGGAGCAGGTCATTTGTAATGGATTGTTGGTGATGACGTGTAATATGCAACCTTATCACGGATCACCGCCGAAGCTCTGTTTCACAATGACTTGATACAAATGATGACATATTGCGGGTGCGTATATTCTTGCGACCAAGCTTTCAGTACTCTTCCACTTTCACCGCTTTCAGTCTTGGGCAACGACACAGACAAAGAGCCGTCACCATGGGGATTCTGCAAAAAATCGAGGACATCGAGAGTGCGTAATGGAACCGGTCCTCCTGTCTCGTCCTATGCGATTAGCTAACGAATTACAGAGGAGATGTCAAGGAGTGAGTCTATGACGATGCTAGCCGACCCGAGCTTTCGCTGACTACCTCAGCGCAGAAGAAGTGCGTGTTGCGTTTGTAGCGAACGAAAAGTCAAAGCTTACCTGCGACCCCGACTCCCAACAGCAAAGGTATGATGTACTGGACTTGGTGATAGGGGTCAAGTGGCTGATCTTTAGCGACTGAATATCACTTGGGATTGTTGAAGGTATGCGTCTGCTCTGATACGTCTACGATCTCGACTGATGCAAAAACCGAATACAGGCCAAACGTAAGTTCGGCCGTGGAGTTAACGCTGACCACCAGTCGCTAAATACCGCGCACAATTACTCGAACCGGAACGCAAGTCGGGAAAGCCCGGCGAGGGCTTTGATGTGATGAAATCTGGAGGTAAGTTGAGGTGTTGCCAGGCGCTTACTGCAGATGCTCGAGTGTGTTTGATCGGCTTCCCCTCAGTTGGAAAGTCCACACTTCTTTCCAAAGCGACTAAGACGGAGTCCGCTGTTGGCGCGTACGAATTCACAACCCTCACTGTTCGTGCTGCAACGCCTAGCGCGTCACTAACTTCAGGCTATTCCTGGTGTCCTGGAGTATGAAGGGGCAAGGATTCAGCTTCTCGACCTACCTGGAATCGTTCAAGATGCGGCCAAAGGACGAGGTCGTGGACGCCAGGTTGTCTCAGTGGCCAGGACTGCGGATCTCATCCTCATCATGAGTGAGTGGCACGGGAGGTGGGGGTAATGAGCGCGGTCACTCACGCGATCCCCAGTTGACGCAACGAAGTCGGATGAGCAGAAGGCACAGCTTGAGTTGGAGCTGGAGGCCGTCGGCATCCGGCTGAATGGTCACGCGCCCGACATCGTCTTTAAGCAGAAGGCCGCCGGAGGCATCACCATTACGTGCACGGTTAAGCTCACGAAGACTGATGAGCGTACCATTCGGTCAGTGCTGCAGTCGTATCGCATCCACAACTGCGACGTCATGGTCCGAGAGGACGTCACTATCGATGAGTTCATCGACGTACTCCTAGGAACGCGCAAATACATTCCCGCCCTGACCGTGATCAACAAGGTCGATGCCGTGTCCATGGAGACTGTGGACCGTATGGCGCGGTCAGGGGACGGCAAGACTGTGATGATCAGCTGTGAAATGGATCTGGGTCTCGACTGGCTTTTGGAGGCTATTTGGAAAGAGCTGGGTCTTGTGAAGTAGGTCTGTCCCTCTCGACAATGCTGACATCGAAGGGTGTACACCAAGCGACGTGGAGAGCAGCCTGATTTGTCGGACCCGATCTGCTTGCGTCAAGGCGCCACAATCGAGACAGTATGTCACGGAATTCACCGGAGCTTGGCATCACACTTCAAGTATGCCTTGGTGTGGGGCAAGTCGTCAAAATTCAACCCCCAACCTCAGAAGGTCGGACTCACCCATCTGGTTCAGGACGAGGACGTCGTGAGCATCTTCACCAAGTAGGGTGAGGATAAGTTGTGTCGCATGTACAATATGAGGAGCAACAAGAGCGAAGTTGAGACTGATTACATGCAAATACGTAACAACACAGCGTGGTAGGAATAAACTACTTAGGGGAGTTGGGGATTATGGTATATTAGAAGGAGCGAGCGCACTCAGAACTTGAGGCCGAGCTGGCTGCGAATTCCCTCGACGCGAGAGTCAACCTGAGCAAACCATTCAATGGCACCACATGCCCGGCGAGCAGCCTCTTCATTCTCACGAACGATCTCCGTCCTAGACTCCAGGGCGCCTCTGAAACGTTCACGGAGGTCCCAGGCTGCGAGGCGCATAACCTTCCTGACCTCGCGACCAACACGTTGTGCTTCAGCCTGGTGGAAAGGTGTCTCCTCGCCCTCGTCCGCAGCGCCGGCGAGCAGGCTGGCGCGGATATGACGGCCGACGTTACGGGGGATGGAGCGGGGAAGCTCGTAAACAACATAGGCAACCGCTCCAATGACAAGCACGCCAAGCGCAGGGCCAGCCCACTTGCGGACGACAGGACTGGACGCGAGCTCAGAAAGGTGAATGGCACTCTCGAAGATCGTACGAATCGCCATAGTCTTCCCGCCAGCCATCGAGAAAGCGCCGATGGCTACCGAGGCAGCTCCAAGGCCAGACATCTCAGTGGGAACCGACGCAGGAATAAGGCTCTTCAGCGTTGATGATTTCTTGTCGACAGGTACGTCATCGCCAAGGAATAAGAGGTACTGCAGGTCGAAGATGTCAGACACCGATACCTCCTTGAGGATAGCGTTGTTGGCGAGACTGAGACCAACATTCGTCATTCCCGATGATCGGCGAGCCTTTCCATGGTTGAAAAACATTGCGTTGGCATTGAAAACGCGCTTAGATCGCTCAACGTCGATGGGAAGATGCTTGTCGCCAATAACGTTGACCTCCTTCACAGCGTTGGTGGTCAACATCCGAGAAGCGTCTTCGGCGTCGCGAACCGCTTTGTCCAACGAAGACAGCAGAGCACGACGGACCTCGAATGCGTAGTCCCATGCGCCGAGAAGGCCCGGATATCTAGGCATCTCGACATCTCCTGGGACCTCTCCACGGCCTACACGGTCGAGAGCCTGTCGAAGTGATGATTCGGCAGCGGTGATAGCGTGGGAAGTTGCCGATTCCTCCTCCCTGACGAGACTGTCTTCCAGATCGTCCTTCCCCTTGCGCATTTGGTCCAGTTCAGGCTTGACACGCTCCACAACTTGCAGGGCTGCGTCTCGCTCCTTGACGGCGACAAGGGTGTTGGCGGACCCCAAGAGCTCAACATCGGCGAGGAGATGCGTGATGTAATTCTGAGCAGGGCCCAGCTTCGACTTTGCGCGGTTCACAAGCACGAAAGAGCGCAGCGACTGCTCCAGCTGGGAGAAAGTCTCGTCCAGCTCTTCTGCTCCTTCGTCATCTTCGCTGAAACCGAAGGCGGCGGAAGCTGAGTCGACAAAGTGAACGAGATCGTCGGCATCGGCATAAGTTTCAGGACTCAGCTGCCTGAGCTGGTCCATCACCGCCTTACGACAACGCTCTTTGTCCTTGATTTGATCGAAACGATTCACTACGATGAAAAGGTGCGCTTTCTCCTGACCCGCCTGCCATATGAACTCCTTGGCGGACAGGGTGAAGTGGTTGGCGGCCGATACAACGAATACCACAACGTCGATCTCCTCCTGCCGAGCAAAGTTTGCCGTCGTCTTGATAGAGTCACGATTCAAACCGGGAGCGTCGATGAGAGAAATATCAACGGTGCCGTTGTGGAGGATCGAAGGAATGTCGGACTCCCTGTTCTTCAGGTAAACACGGAGAGGTGGAGCAGAAGCATCGACGTCAGGGTCCGTCGCAAGGCTCTCAAGCTCGGAAATGGCCGCGACAGAATAAGTCGACGGGTTGTTCACATCGTAGCTTTCTTGATCAAGAATGTGAACCTCCTCCTTTCCGCCGTTCTCTTCGGCGCTAGCAATCTCAACGAATCGGGTGGTCAAAGGCTGCTGATCGGTTGGCATAACCTCTGCCCGACGAAGAAGGGCGTTAACAAGAGTTGACTTGCCGGCATTGAGGTCGCCGGTTACCAGGACACGAGAGTGAGCATCGTTAACGCGGGCGTGGAGCAGGCTGAGGTGCCTCAACGCCGCGGAGAGGCGATTGTCTAGAAGTGCTGAGATCGATGACCGTTCCAACCGCGTGATAAGCGACTGAGCATGTCTAGTAGCACCCAGATTCAGATCCAGACTGAGGATGGAAAAATCATCATTGGGTTCGGCGACATTGCTTAAAGGCTCCTCCGACAGCTCAGTAAGGGGACTGTCGACCGACTCTTCCGAGTCCGTCAAGTTGCTGCCAGAGCTGATGTACGAGACGGAGCGGGTAAGCTGTTGGCGCACGTTCGGACGCGCAGTGACAATGACTTCGGAGGAAGCCTGGGGTTCGTCGACAAAAGTCATGGTTCGGCGTCCAATGCCGGGACGCGCTAACGATCAGCACCCGGCGCTTGCACACAAGAATTGGGGATTACGTGAGAACGTACCTCGGGGGCCCGAAGACGGAGGTGCAGAAGAAAAGTGAGGATAACGAATCTGCCAAGAATCGCCGTTAAAGTTCTTGAGATCAGCAACGAGGTGAGTGGTAGAGTCTATAGCCGTAGACAGCCTGCGAAGGGTAAGTCGCGGAGCATTGAGAAACTCAACCGCTAAAACCCACTGATTTTGTTTCGCCTCATAATCTCGGAGGGCTGCATTGCCAGCAATGATAGACTGGCTCAAAGCAGAATGATGACCGATGTGGGACTCCTTCTCCACAAAGGGAGAGTCTGCCGCTTGGGCGCGGTATGGCTGCATGATGGGGTCCTCTCGATGGTGGCGAAAAGGCTATTAACTACGCGGCCTTTCGTTTAAATAGACTCTGAAAAGAGGGAGCGCAGAGCTTCGGATGCTGGCGGTGCAGGTTATATGCAGCGGAAATGATGTCCAACCGTGACGTCGGGGCGGCGCGAAGTGGTGGGTGGAAAGCGTTGATGGTGGATGTGAAGTGTGTGATGCTGCCGAATTGAAGGTGGAGAACAGTGGTTGTAGTGTAGGCGGAGACGACGGGAGCAGTCGGAGGCGCAGTGGAAGCGCTTGGTCTCCTCCTGCTGTGCATGAGTGATCCAGACCCCGGCCCTGATAACGGAGCACAACCTCCACGTCATTAAAACACGTGGAGCGGGAGCCCTTGAAACGCCGCTGTGGCAAATTACCACGTGGCCCCACGCGCTTGTTTTGTTTGTGTCCATCGGTCGCAGCGACCATGAGCGTAATCGCGCACGGCTGACGGCCAGCGACAGTGAGATATAACAAACTACTGGTTCATCATCCACCTAAGACGCGCTCCCACCATTGTCAAGCAACTTTTCGCCCAGTCGACGTCAGCGATTTTGATCCGCCACCATGGCTGATCTGCTGGAGACGCCTTCCAGGCTGCTGAAGCGAGTTCAGCAATACGAAGACGTGGACTTGCCATCGCTCCCTAGCATCAGCCATGACGTTGACTGCGATCAAACCACCGAGTATCCAGATCCCGACGACAGTGTGACATCCGGCAATGAGGTACGTTGGGACAAGCAGTTCCACCATGCTGATGGTCAGGAATGGTCTACCCCTCAGGTGGGTCGCCCATTCCCCTCGCCACCCACTGGGCTCGACACCGCCACTACAGGCCGGGGCTCATACGCTCACAAACGAAGCCCCTTGGCCGTAAATGACTCGTTTTCAGACTTCCACTCGTCTCCCCAAAGGCAGCTCAGCGACGACGAGCCGTCCTTTCTGGCGGACTTGTCAAAATCACGCAACGTCCTGGACAGGTCTTCCGTGCCCATTACCTACGACTCGGACTTTTTGGAAGATAGTCTCGCGTCCCAAAGGCTTCCTGCCACCTCTGCAGATGTGGAGTCTGGCTCAGGCCTGTCTCTCCGTGACTCAACTGCTGAGACATCCACCACTTCGGTGATGGACACTCCACTGCCTCGTCACTACCAACGCAAAGCGACCTGTCAAACCCACTCGGTCGTTCCCGGTCTGGGGCTAGGACCTGAGACCCGTATCCCCAGCCTGACTCGCAGTGAAATGTCTGGCACCGACGACCAGGAGGCTACCACGCCAGACAGTCACGACCGAGTTCTCGATACCACTTCCGTGCATGCCCACGACCTTACAGCGGCGAGCACTGGCTCTCTCGATGGGGCCGATCTCAGTAATGTCGACCAGACGCAGCAATCCCAGGGGCAGGAGGTCAAACCGGTTTCCACTTCCAGTCGTACCGTTACGCCAGCAATCATGCGCTTCATGGACACACCGGATACCGCTGTGCGGGCAGCTGCCACACCCTTCGGCGTCGGAGCTGCTCTCAGAGACGTGACGCGCAGACATGCCAACAACGCGGTGGCCCCCAGCACTCCCTTCACGCCTACTGTCGACTATAACAAGACACCTCGTGCGGCTCTCGATGACGCAGAGCGTCGAAAGAACCACGTCTTGTCCGTGCTGGCTTCGTCGACTTTGCCCTCTCGAGTCAAGCGATTCACCCCTCATCCCCGCCGCCATCTATCAGTGGGCCCTGGGGCCGAATCAATCGCAGAGGAGATCTCGCTGCAGAGCAAGCCCGGAGACGACAGTCGATCGGGGAATGATTCCTTCATTTCTGTTGCATCATCTCAGGACCTAACGCCCGACCGTCGAGGATCTAGAGCCTTCAATCAAAGAGCCAATACATCTGTTCCCAACATCCTCTACTCGGGTGCGGTATCCTCGAGCCCCGGTGTATCACATCTGGACAACAGACCTGATACTGTCAAAATACAAAAGCACCTCAACATGATGAACCAGCAACTGCTCGACAACAATGCTGATCTGGCGAGGGAAGCGGAGGAATGGAGGAGCGAGTGTACGCGCCTTATCGGCATCATGCGAGACGCGGGAATCCAGATCGACGACGACGGTAACGTTCTGGGCGACCTACCGAAGCTTCGCGGAGATGGAGACAGCCTTGACCTTGCATCGGAAGCAGACACCAGCCGCCGGGCGGATGGGGATGCCCTGACTGAACTGAACAAAGTTCTGAGGGTTGAAGTGGAGGAGAAGGAAGAGGAGATTGCCAGGCTGCGGAACGCGATGGCGGCGCAAGGCGACGCGGTAGCTCTGAGAAGGGAGCTGGACGAATCTCGCAGAGCACACGATGCCCTCAAGGCGGAGTTTGCTCAGAAAACCAAGGACCACACCTCGCAGTTCACAGAAATCTGTACCGAGTTTGAAGCGCAGGTTCAGCAGCTGGAAGCTCAGGTTCATGAGCTAGCGACAGCCAAGGCTACTGCTCTGCCGGCTGAGGACTATGAGACCGAACGAACAGCCCTGCAAGAACGTATACAATGCCTAGAGGGGGATCTCGGACGATCAAGGGATGAGATTGCTCAGCTTAGGCTGGAGAGCGAAGGGCGCGTGCGCAAATCTCAAGAGGCGGACAAACTCGCCTCAGAGCTCCAGGAGCGCCTGTCCGAGCTGGAACATGCCAAGAGCGCTGCAGCCCATGCCTTGGAGGAGTCCGAAAGGGCACATGCAACAGTGTGTGCGCAACGTGCGGCCGCTATCGAAGAGGTCGAAGAGCTCCGACGTCACCTCGAGGACTTGAATCGTGTTGTGGCGACCAACCGGGCCGTCATGGAGGATCAACGCGAGTCGTTGAACAATCTAGAGGAATTGGCTGGCCAGGAGCACAAGGACCTTGAGGAAACGCAGAGGCTGCTCAAGGACGCCCGACGTGAGCTCAGCGAAATCAACTCTCGACTACTGGACAGAGATCGGGACATCGAGAGTCTCCGTGCCCAAGCCGATGTCGCAAATCTTGAGAAGAGCGCCTTCCTTGAAGAAGCGACGACGGAAGCGGAAAACAGTGTCATCGTGGCTCTGGAAGGCAAGTTGGAAGCAGCGTATAAGGAGATTGGCCGATTGAAGCATGAAGTCCACAGCGCTCCGATCCACCAGGCCACACTTGAAGCCCGTGACGCGCGCATCTCCGCTCTGGAGACAGAGAAACTGGCGCTGATGGAACGCCTGAAAGCCCAGGAGGTTTCCAGCCCCGCTCGTTGGTCCAACTCCATGATGACCTCAACCCCGATGCACAAAACCGTCTCTTCGCTGAAGTACCCGAACACGCCAGGACCCCTCAAGGACGTGAGTATCGAAATGCGGAATGCGGCAGAAGAAGAGAGCACTACTGACTGCGCAGATCTCCTGGCTTCAGACAACCATCGGGGACTCCAATGAGAGCATACTGCGCATGCAACTTGAACACTTGCAGCATGAGCTCGACATCGCGAACTCTCAACTCGATCGCAACTTTGGACGCCTTGAGGAAGCTGGGCTCAGTGCTGTTGACCTGGCGGAGAAGCTTGCTGCCGCGAACACCAAGATTGCCGTACTCCAGGAGGAGCTCGCGCTTCTGGCTCGGGAAAGCAAGAGCTCCACCGCCGCAGCCTCCGCTCATCATGACCGTAACGAGCGTCTGGAGAATGCGCTTGAGACACTCCGTGAACAGATGGCCATTCTGAAGGACGACATGGGTCGTGAGAGGGAACGCTTGCAAGACGATAATCGCCGCCTCCGGGTTATGCTCGCAGATCTGCAGTCGAAAGCAGGTGAGGAGATAGAAGCGTTGAGAGTGGAGATCGCGCAGGCTCAACGGGAAGCCGAAGATCAGTTTACAGAGTACCAGGAGCGCTTGCAAGCTATGCGCGATGAGAGAGATGGTATTGATGCGGTGAGTGACACAATTACAGACGCAATGGGATCTAACAGTGGCAGAAGCTGCGCACTGCGAAAGTTACCGTCGACGCTTTGCAACGCGACCTTGAAGACGCCCAGACTGCGGCAAACGGCGCGGAGGTTTACAAGGCGACTGTGCGGGAACAGACAGAGAGACTGGCGGGCCAGCAGAGCACCATCTTATCTGCGCAGAGGTCTCTGAAGGATGCTGAACAAGCGGCTGAGGAACTGCGCGCACAATTGCGAGTTCAAACCGAGGAGTTGGAGGGTTCGCGGAACGACGTCCTCGCCCTCGAAATCGAGCGATCTAAACTCGCTCGCGAGCTTCGTGACTTTACCGAGGACCTCAAGATCCATCGGCGAGAGTCTTACAAGTTCGGATCTGAGCTAGCAGCCTTGCGCGATGCACAGGCTGCGAAGGAAGCTACATACGCCGACGAGGTCGGAAGCCTAAATCAGCAACTCTCAGGGCTCCGAGAAGAGCTGTTGGCGGCCAATCAATCTGCCAACGAAGCTCGTGGTTGTCATGAACGTTTATCACGGGAGCTCGCGACTCTACAAGCGACATCCCAAGACTCTTCAGTGGAACAACGGCAAAAGTACAAAGTGCAAACGCGACGTCTCTCTGCTCAGATCGAATATTTGAAGGCGAAGTACACGAGGGAGAATACGTTCCGTAACGCTTTGGCCTTACAAAAGAGATTCCTCCTTCTCCTAGTTGGCGGTATGAGCCTAACGTGAGTTTCCAAGTCTTGCACGGCATCGCTGATGGTAGTGAACAAGCGACACTGAGAATCATAGCTTCGATGGGCTACGAGCGCCCGACACCAACGCGACCCAAGCTGCGCCTGAAAACGGTCGCTATAGCAGTGCTATCCGTGGTCAGGGCCAGGTGAGTGTAGTTAGTCGGGCTGTTCTAACGATCCAGACGAACTGCGCAGGAATGGCGTACTGCTCGAGAAAAGAGAGCCGTTGGCATCGCCCGCCAATGAACGATCTGAATGAACTACCATGTTTACGTTTCGAACTTGTTATATGTATCAATTTTGTAGGTTGGGCTCTGGAATGAATTCTATGTGACATCTGCATGAGAGGCAGGATAGGCAACACATGAGTTTGAGAGACAGACAGAGCATTGCTCGAAACGCGGCGAAAGATTAATATCAGACTACTGCAGAGGATTAGCCGGAGGGGCGCTCCGACACCTCCACACGTCATAACCACAATACTATCGTACAGCCCGAGGGGATGACAGATGCCACAACACACCGACTTTCGATTTCATCCATACCCAACAAGTGTTCGACTTTCGCCATGGGCAGTCGTGGGCCTATGCTCCCAAACAGGCGTCCAGCGCCGGGAGCCTACGACCTTTTCCCTCAAGAATCCGTCAGCTCTTGGCTAGATGGCTTGCAGGCTAAGATTCGAGCTGGACTGAGTGGCGAGGAGCCGGCCAACCCGAATCGCCCTTCATCACCACTGCGCGCGTACTCTCCTGGAACTGTCGATGACCCCGAAAGAGATACGACGGCTAATGGTTATGCGAGTGAGGCGTACAATCCCAGCGACCAAGTGATAACACGTCCCTCCGCTGAGGTCAGCGACGGGACGGCTGCGCCTGGCGTAGGACCGTGGGCGGTGGCAGGTGAGTCCTTGGTTGAAGCGGTCTGCTTACCGAACCGCAGAGTTGAATGGCGACGGCTGCTTTGAAGGGCAGGCAGGTGGCGATGACATGGTCACGGACGAAGACAGTGCAGTGGACCGCCGTTCTACCGGAGTATCGGCCTCGCCGACGTATGTAATCGAGCTCGGAGATTCCGATGAGGGGGACAACGAGGGTGCAGACAGCTGCGACCTACGTGCCGCCGGAAACCTTGAACAGCTTTCTGAGAAGAGTGGCGAAGACACTCTTCCTTATCAACGCCAGAACGAATCCCACAGCACGTATAACTCGTATGCGTCAGAAGCAAGCGAACACGATCTCGGGCAGGTTGATTCGTCAGGTTCGGAATCAGAGGGATCGGAAGCGGACCCCGGCAGTGCAGAGGACTCAACTCAGACCCATGAAACAGAGGAAGAGGACGATGAACTTGAGACCGAGGGTGAAGAGGACGGCGAGCGGGGAACTCCTGAGACGATCAGCAAGCTTCCAGCCCATGGGTCTGAAACGCAACCTATTGATCTCCTAGATAGCGACGACGAGGAGGCCGAAGAAGACAGCAGCGACTCTGAAACCGAATCACATCCCGACAGCGGCGAAGATAATCCCTACCCAACGCCACCTTTGCTCGACCCCGAGCAGAGTTCAGCGCCAGGACCATCGACCCTCGATCTCTCTGACCCAAACGTTTTAGCGGCAGAACCGACATATTCTGCACAGATACCCGAGCCATCCCAGTGGGCCCTTCCGGACATCTTCGCGACCCCTCCATCAGCCGCTATGCTAGGGGCCGTTCTCCACAACTTATCTCAGAACGTGCTGCAGGAGCCCCCGGCCGAGGCCTTCGCCCATGGATATCCGGACAACCCGCAAGCTCCGCCCATCGATCCCGAACTATTGGATGTTCAATCTCAACAGGCCGGCTCGGTTTTGGAGGTGTTTGCAGAAGGGTCTCATGTGCGCGACCTTCATGCCGACGTTGAGGAAACGGTGGCTGAGGGAGAACCTGGCCTCCAACACCATCGCAATGACGACTTTTGCGGCTCGCACGAACTGTCGATGCGGTCCCTCCCAGTTACGGATACCTTCGGAGAGCATCTAGTCGCAGACGCCCCGCTTGAGCCCGAGTCGGGGGATGAGAATGGACTGCAGGACTCGTCGATATACCATCCACCGGGATTCGAAGCGGACGCGACGAGCGCTGAGGCGGAAGGCGCGATGACAGGCTTGATTTCAGGCCTATCCAGGGATGCTGATACTGTGCCTACCTGCGGCCTACCAGTGAATTCTTATTCACCCTCCGTTCGCAATCAGGCCGGGACCACTCAGCCAGTGACCACAATCGGGAGTGAGCTCGTCCTGCATGTGTTCGAAGAGCCGAGACCACCCCCCTGTGGTGGTGTCGGTACTGAAGAGCGAGAGTGCACCGGTCCAGACCCTCGTCAAAGCCCTGCTCAAGTTTCCGACGGAGGAACTATCCCCAGTGGAGCCCTGTCCGAGACCATGGGGCCCGTGAATTCCTTGACGCCCGGTGAAGCCTCAGGGGGCTCGAAGGAACACGGGAGGGTTGAGGGGGCGGCCGACGCCAAGTATCAAACAGCAATGGTGGAGAGACTCGGCATAATGCCCAAGGAGGGCTATTCAAAAGTAGACCATGCGCAAGAGAGTGAGGAATGGAGTCAGGATGACGGATCTGACGACGACGCTGCAACGCCAGAGCTTGTTGTTTTCGATGGAGATGGTGAGACTCACGACACGGTAGGCGCTAACGTGCAGCAACGTCTCGGACAGGATCACCGTCACCGGAGACGGGATTGTCGAGAGGGCCATCCGCCAAGCTCCCCGAAACGCAGACGGAGCCGCAGGCTCAGGCGGTTGAACCGCAGATGAGTCTGCTGTCTGAATCAGACGAAGAGGTCCCGGCCGCCGTTAGCCCAACGTCTGGCCCTGTGGAGTCTGTCATCCAAGTGGCAACTGTACCCTTTATTCTCAATCAGATCGACACAGCCCCATCAGGGTCGCGCAACTTGTCACCCAATGTCCAAGATGCTACTCAGCCTCACACCGCAGGAGGACAAAGTGGCCCCGGATCGCCAATTTTCCAAACGCTACCGTCTCTGCCGCCGCTGCAACTGGAGAAGGACGTATCAGATGAGCAGGGCCTGGGGCAATCCGAGGGGCTCCCATGTAGCGCTGCCACTGCGACCGATACTTCTGATGTGCAGAATCAATCTTGCGAAGACCGATCTCCTGCAGGATTAGGGTGCGAAGATGATTCAGACGATGTCGGATCTCCGCATGGCAGAGCACTCTCAAGTGACCAGCATTCTGTCCATGGCGCCGCAGGCGAGACATGCAAGTCTCCTAGTGAGCCGCTCTTGCTTGATTCGTGTGTACCCGATGGCAACTACGAGAACCACTTGCACAGCGCCACCGGCCCATCTTCGTTGCCAGAGAGACACAACGTTGTCTCCGACGGAGATGCCGGCGGGGTTCTCGAGCCAGCAAATGACGGGGTCGGCGCCGCGGCCGCGACCGAAAGCCATCCCAAATCGTTGAATCCTACGGACACGGACACGGGCTCCACCGATGAATCCGAACCGACGAAGCCACCGCCATCAGAAAGCCCTCCTCTTCATTGCGAAGGGCAGACTTCCCCAGGAGAGAGCGGAGAAGTCATCGAGGAGCGAGGAGCGCAGGAAATAAGATCATCTCGGAGACCGACGCCCGACATGGCCGAGAGCCAAGGCCGGCCTTCCGATGTCTTGGAAGTGCGAGAGGGCACTCCTGAGTACCGACCGCTTCGCCACCATCATGGACGAGGACGGACGAATGCTACACCTTCGCCCGCTCTCAGACTGCCACGGCACCCATCGCATCAGGCTGACAGGTCTTCGCCTGTGCCTATCGAACCGCCCGTCACTCGGTCCAATTGCGGTTATCTCAAACTCCACCTTGTGGAGGGTGAATACAGTGCCACCGTACTCGTTCCACAATGCACCTTGGGGGACGCGGAGAGGCTGGAGGAAGAATCTGCGGCCCAACTCGGGATGCCTACGCTGGCGGAGGAACGTTGGGCGCAAAATAACATGCCCCCGGTGCGCCAACTCCATCCAGCTCTGCATTCAAAGCTCTCTCGCATCACGGGACCGACGATGCTACAGTCATATTCAACGGAGATGTCCCCTGCCCGTGACCGTACGACCTTCGCCGATTCTGAACGTTGGCATGTGTTCATTCTAGAGGCCTCGGAGGGTGCAATCGAATATGAGCGGAACATGCGACGCCCTTCTGTTCGGCCCCCGATACAACGGACACCAGAGCCAAACCGTGACCGCGAAAATGGCCCACTTTCGACTCCAGGGAGTAGACGGAAACGGTCTCTCTCAGCCGTCACCGAGGATGGCGTGCACCTGTCAACTGGCAGGAAGTCTGCTCAGGCAAAGGATGCTGTTGAAGCATCAGCATCGCCTCTGCGTCGCTCATCGAGGTTGCGAAGTACCAGTCAGGCTCCGTCCGAGGCTTCTGATGCGCCGGCGTTATCTCCAAGTGCCCCTGGGCCCATGAATAGGCGCGTTACTAGGGCAATGAAGGCGTTGGAAGCGTCAGGTACTTCAAGCTTGGGCGCCCCCAGTGCTACAGATGGAGATGCGGCACCCACAGAGTTATCAGTCGGCGCCGATGAGTTGTCCCGCGAACCTCAATGCAAGTTGGGCGCATCGACTTCCCCTGTTGGCACTCGGCAGCGCAAGCGGAAGTTAGAGAATCTGGCGGACGGAGACCAGGATGGCAATTCCGGGAACAGCACTGAGCGGGAGCACCGAGAGGCGCCAAAGCGCGGATTCGGCTGGTCTATTCGACGTTGGTTCGGCCGATGATTAATCACTTCCTTCACTTTTATGTATCGTTTTGTAGAGTTCGAGTCACAGGTGTTGCTGTTCGACTCCTTTCTTCTTGAACATGCATGCCTAAGTGCCTATGTGCGCGATTGGCATGAGAGCCGTCGCTTGGCGTCGGTTATCTTCGGCTCCATCGGTCTCTTGCATGACGACCACGTGGTAATCTTCCCAGTGGGGTGGTGGGCAACGGCTACAGACTAGCCGACGGCCTTTCGACTGAGCCACCTCCAGCTCTCCACAGTCAGTCACTGTCGTCCTCTCAACCATTGTCATAGGAAATCGAACTCAAGCGAGAAATCAGATTGACAACATGTCTCGTCCGGTTATCCATTACTTCATCATGCCCAACACCCGGTCGGACAGACTGTTCTGGGTATTGGAAGTGGGCTGCTCGGTGTCGACGAAATGCTAACACATTCAGGAGCTTGGAAGACCCTACGACGTTGTTCCTTACGCAGCCGCGAAGGGAAGACTTCCTCAGAAGATCACTCCCCTTGGCAAGGTAAGTGTTGGCTAGGCTTTTCTCATCGCAGTCTCCCGTACTGGAGATGGAAGGCAAGGTGCACACCGAGAGCGGATCGATTGTTCTTGGCCTCCTTGCCTCCCAGTATGTCGCTGGCCTGGAGCAACATCCGTCTCCCCAATCCATATATTGGTCGCATTTCTCGGAGGGCACCATGATGTTGCATCTTCAGCCAGCTCGTGTGCTCGGCATTTTCACGGATGCCATCAGCAAGCGTCTTTCCCCTGAAGCAGCCCGAGGCGCGCGAGCTCTCAACGACATGTTCCGCAGCAGATGGGCAGACCACAACATTCAGATCCAACTCGACACCGTCGAGGATTATCTGAGGAATAATGAGCACTTCACCGGTACCAAGGACATCGGTCTAGGTGACGTACGATTCCCATCATGCCCACATTCTCACCAACAGTTTATGATGCTCTTCCCTATCTCTGCAGCGCTGGACGGCTTTCGCAAGGGCGAATTCAGCATCGGACCGAACACACGCCGGTGGGTGGACGCGATGCGTCAACGACCCGCCTACAGGAACGCAATCGAGCGGCAAAGTGAGGAGGAGGCGAAGATTAGGGAGAGCGCTGCCAAACTCTGAGTGCGGGGAGGCAATTCAGCATTGTATGGAATGAAGACGATTTTCTGTTCGAGGAGCACGTAAAGAGGCAGGCACACTCTACTGACATGTGCGCTGTGATGAAGAAGTCGGTGCTTGAGCACGGTCTGCCCGCTCCCGATCGGATAGATTCAACCGTCGACGAACGGAGCATGTTTGCCTGGAGTTGCTTGAATGGGAAGCTCTCCGCTGCCCATGCGGAAGCGCTTTACCATCTCAGCAAGACTGCGTCAGGTCCAGGTTTTCATGTGCAGTTGAGCCCGATGCTGTAACAGTGGGGAAATGATCAGTGCCAGGACGGGCCCGAGGGACGAGGAAAGACTGGCGTGAGAGACCGGTGATGGCACGGCGTCCACTGGGTGAGCAACAGTGAGAAACATGCGATATCTAAGAAACCCTCAATTGACGAAGCCAGGAAGACGCAAGCTGGTTGGTGTGTCGACCGTGGGAAACCTCTGAGTTGCCAGAGAACCCCTACGAGAGGTCGGACAAGAGATCGGACAAGAGGTCGGAGGTGGCCTTGCCTAGATCCACACTTTCCCACGGTTGTCGGACAAGAGATTGGACAAGAGATCGGACAAGAGGTCGGAGGTGGCCTTGCCTAGATCCACACTTTCCCACGGTTGTCGGACAAGAGATTGGACAAGAGATCGGACAAGAGATCGGATAAGAGATCGGAGGTGGCCTTGCCTAGATCCACACTTTCCCACGGTTGTCGGACAAGAGATTGGACAAGATATTGGACAAGAGATCATACAAGAGGTCGGAGGTGGCCTTGCCTAGATCCAAGCTTTCCCAAGCAGGTGATGTGTTGCTGTGGGAAACCTTGAAACTGCAAAGGTCGCCCTCCGAGGCTGATTCAAAATCCGTACAAGCATGTACAAGCAGGAGCTGCGTCGACCGTGGGAAACCTTCTAATTGTAAAGTTGTCTCTCCAAGTGCAAGCATGCCCAAGCAGGTGCGCCTGTCGACTGTGGAAACTTTCATTCTGCTGAATTCTCTCTGCAAGGCTGACGCCAAGAAGGTGCAAGCAGGTGACATATCTCACTGCGGGAAGTCTTGGGTGTACTGAAGGCTCTCCACAAGGCTACATCCACCGTGCAAAGGATGCAAGCAGGGGCCACGTCGGCTTCGGGCAAGCTTGAGTTTAAGAGAGAGGGCCAACGTCATGGCCGCGTGAGAGAGAGGGCCAACGTCATGGGCTCATGGTCTATAGAGCTGTCCGAGGAACTGTTTCCAGTCCATATGGTGAGAACTTCACGGCACCAACTTCGGCGCATCGCATCTCACTCGTTTCTCCACCGCTTGGTGTGATTTCTTTGGCACAAAGATGAGCAGACATCGTTCTGCTCGCTCGCTGCACTACCGCTGACGTATCTGTCAAGTAGGTCTCAGCTCTCCGTATTCGGGCCTTTTCTGGGTACATTGTGAGAGCCTACTAAGTTTGTGGATTGCTGCCCCTTCCATTGGCGTCTACACCAAAATATTCTGTGAAATTCCAACTTCTGTCTATAGGGCAGTCAAACTCCATGAGCCCGCTCAGCCTGAGGAATTAACCACAATGAGTGCCGCTTGTTCTATGCAACTGCCTGCATGACCCCTCCCTGCGTTGCGCAGCGACAAGAACTGGCTGCGTGTTTGAGGTAGAGCATAGGCAGCGTTGCAGTGGCGAAACTCCGCGCACATCGAGGGACGGATGCCACGTCTTCGTTTGAGGGGACGAGAGCGTCTGCGAACGCGTGGGCTGCCAAACGCCTGGTGAGAGTTCGCTTAGCGCAATACTAAGCGTTCGGCTTATTGCATCAAGTGCACGCCCGTTCATCAACTTTTCGATGTCCACACGTTCTGCGTGGTCTACTTCGTTGCTGATGAGGTTCACAGGTTGGAAATCATGTTCACTTGATCCAGTCTCGTACCTTCACCGAGGTCGAAGTTGCTTTGTAGACGTAGCATACGGTGGAAGTGACAGCCCCCGACACACACGTCAGACAGAGTGTGCATTTCAAAAGTTCGATGCTGAAACGGTCGAAAGACGGAAGGCACGAAAAGCAGTGGTACACTGCATATTCCCGCATTTACCATATAAACTTTTAAAGAAGTGGCTGCATCCCTGAAACCGCAGCCTTGCTGTTACCTCCTTGGACCACGACGAGGCACTGCATCCCCTACGGTGCTCACATTGCACTACACCCACCTGCACGGCATGCCCGCGTTTCATGCAACTCCCAAATTACCGTAAAGACAAGACTTCCCTCAATTTTCTCCCCTGCAGTGACATGGCTTACGTGTTGGTTCATATCTGAACAACCGTGGCCGCAACCGAGGGGGTACGGCACCCCCCGACATACTGAGAGTGCTGACAGTACAGGCGGTTACTAGCGGGTTAGCACAGAGGGGGCAGTCCATCCTGAGTTCTGGCTGTCCCAAGGCTCCCCCTTGACAGTGCCCCCGTTAAGAAGAGCTCCTCCCGAGTCCCCGAGCGTCACAGCCGCCCAAGCTTTAGTGAGAGCCGTCCAATCATGGGACGAACGCACCGCAAGTCATGCATCGATAATCAGCAATGAAACAGCATTGAACTCTCGAAACGTGAGCGAGATCAAGCAGTGACAGTACCACAAATGAAGAGAGCGGCGTCTTCTCACTTATGTGCTCCAACAAGAAGCACAAACAAAGCAGAAAGAGGCGAGATCTGATTCCTTGAAGTCCAGGGCCCCGCATTGTAGTGGGCAGCCCTATCGTCCTTCCCGCGTTAACGCCCGAAACAATGCCCGTACTTCAACCAGCGCCCGTAGTCGCTCTTAACTTCACTATCATGACATCTGGCGGGCCTAGAGGAGCATAGAGAATATACACCCGGAGTTGCACATTCTTGAGCTCGAAAGGCGAAGACGCAAGCATGGAGAACGCTGGGAGGAGGAGGCTGACGCTTAAGTGAAGCTCCCCGTCGGTAGTCATGGCAGTAAATCTGAGTCTGCCGTCAGGAGAAGGCTCACGAGTTCCGAGGATTCTCACGGTCACACGAGAGCTGCTAGCAGATTGTACATAGCCTCGGCTGTCCTCGTACTTTCCCACGGTCGCAATCGTGGGACTGATCCCACTAATTATAGAGCTTCGGCTTGTGTCTACTACTTTCCCACGGTAGTCTCGACCCGACTCTGCAAGAGACACCGTTCCTGTACCACGGCCGTCTCGCCCCCGCCTTTTGATCGTGCTGAGGAGCAGGAGGGTGGGGCCCTAAGCAGACGGAGCCGACGAATTGAGGAACTGAGGGCTCGCCATCGGAGTAAGCCTCTCCTAGTTCCAAACTTTCCCACGATTGCCTTCATCACCAAAGAGCACGGCCGATATGCCACGTGTACCGCCTCAGGTATCCCACGGTCATCATTTGGCTTTGCCAAGGTGATAGCAAATTGAGACAATAAGAAATCAGTCGCGATCTCCCGGATCTTTTGCACCAACTTTATGCATCGACATGACTTCTGCTGACTCTTCTGCTGACTGACTCCTGTCACCTGCCTTCACCTACCATCCCACGCCCCAGGTGCCTTCCGCCGGGGGATAGAGTTGCCTGGAGAGAGCGCGTCGCCTGGACTTCCAGTCGTCGGCGCCTACATAGGCTCCGCACATGCGTCGTTCGCCGGTGAATGCCGCGCGACCGTGCATTACTCTCCAGTTGTCGATAACTGGAGCATGTAAGCAATGCCCTCCCATTTCAATTGCGTACTTACCAACAAGAGTACCCGGAGTCAACTTTGACCAGTATTCTGTGGAGGCGCTGGTTACGATGTTCTCGAACGCTCTGGCAGCACGGTACCATTCGCGGATCTCGTTGGGGGTCCACCCTTCACCAAGCACACAACGGTCCTCATTGTTCCAACGAGCTTGAATCAGATTACCAAGGTGATCATGCCGAAGCACGGGCTGGCTGATGGGAGGGCGCAGCAGGGTTCCTTCATTCCCCGACGCATGGAAAGGGACAGCCAAACTCGACAACGTCTCATAAGCCTTGGGGTCCCGTGCTTGAAGTTCTCTTGCAGCGTAGAAGGAGTCGACGAGCAGAGTTTCACCTCCCTCACCGTCCTTTAGACAGTGAAAGATCTGCAGGCCAGCTGGATCTGTAAAGTAGGCGGTATCGGTGTGCGCCGGCAAAGCTTGGTTGCTGTACGCCAAGTCACCTTTCGACATGTCGGCCGTGAAATCCCAGAAGCCGCCGTCTTCCTTTGTCAACAGTCGCACCGCCAACAATACTTACAGTGAGTCTCCCGAATGAATGACATTCGCCTAATCAAATCCTCCGTAGCCTCTGGAGTGACGGGAACACCGGTGACAAAACAGAAACCGTACTCATCCTAAGTTCAGCACTGCGCATCATGAGGAGACACCCACCACCTTGTTGAGCCACTGCAACACACCTCGCTCTGCGTCCTCTCCGGCAGTTTCAGGCATCACAGAGGCATACGTGACGGTCGGGGGGTTGGAAGCAATTGAGGCACCCCACAGCTTGTGCCTGAGAGTCAGTCTGATCACCCTCAGTGTAGCGCACTTGACGGGCCTCATAATGTTCGCACGGTCTTCCAGAGGCGGATCATACGACGCCTGGCGCAAAAACGACAATGGCAGCTCGGTTACATGTTCAGACGGTGAGTCCCAGTGCAAGTGAACGCTGTCGTTTCTGATTGCGGCCGACTGCAGAGTAAGTTCTGTCGGGATCTGCGGTCAGAACAGCTGATTTGACAAACATCACCTGGCCAAGGGTCTTCAGACGCTGCTTGGTTTGAGGATGGAAGCATGACGGACAACGACAATGATCAATCAGAAAGAGGTTGTCACTGCAGTTAGCAACAGCATGAGATTCGTACCTTACAAAGCAGATCTCTGGCCGTCTTCCCACTCAATCGCGACACGCTGACCATCACTAGACTGCTGAACAGAGCTCTTCCGCTCGTTCGTCATCCCCTGCTGCGCATGGGCGACACTCCTGGCCGAGAATGGGCGGGCAAGGGAGTGCTTCGTGGCAGCTCTTTGAACTCGGTGAGCAGAGGCCAGCCGGAGCGACGGCACTGATGTGCGGAGCACGAGGTTGGCCATAGTTGCAGTCGCTCGACTACAGAGCATTGTGTCTTGATTGTAGCAGTCGTGCGGACAAGGAGTAGGTGTAGACCAGAAGTGAGGATGAAGAATAATGCATCGACCATATGTCGGAGCTTCCGTGCACAGACCATCCTGGGGGATTGCGCTCGGATGTTACCGGCTCCAGCATCTTATCCAGTAGCCGCGGTTGCCTCGATTGCCTGATTTACGTAAGGTAAGATCAGATCATCAGCATGCGCGCTTGGTGGCGTAGTCTATCAAAACACATGTATTTGCTGATGGCTGCTGCTCACGAACTACCAGCATGAAACCATGCGTTCGTTTCCGCTTCACGATACCAGTAAGGTACAACATTCTGCATTTGGTATGCTACGGTTTGAACATGAATATGGAATGAATGGAGTCATGCACTTCAACGTGAGAAAACGTCCGTATCGCGACCGTTCTAAAGGCGAGAGTGGATCGAGGATGAGTTAGCGGAGTCAGCCATATACATGACCATTTGCGCTTCCTTGTTCTTAAAACTACGTTGTCAGCTCACTCTTCTTCGCATTCGCTTTGGTACGCACCCGCACTTCTCGTAGAAAGCTGAGATTGTTAGCGGGACTCTTTGCACATCGATATGAGACCCACGAATGTTAGCAGTGCTGCAGTCGAGGATGACCTTGTAGCAACCCTGGGTACGAGCAATCTCTTCCAAGGACTTGATGAGGTACAATCCAAGCTTGCGACCCTGCATGCTCTTGGAGACGGCAATATCCTCAATGTGTCCCACAACACCGAGGCCGCGCGTGAATTTGCGTTCCACGAAAACGGTACCGACAGCAACGAGCTGTTGCATGATCAGCTTCCGCGCATGGAATATTCGCCCACCTTGTCCGACTTCTTCTCCACGAAGACAGTCGTGAAGTAAGAGCCAGTGCAAGCCTTCATGGCATCGAAACGAGCTGATGATAAGCATGGGGTGAACCTGTGAGCTCACATTTATACTCTTCGCGAGAGCATGCGGGGGCATCGGTGAGGACTGTGAGCAGTTCAAAGTGGCCGCGCGCGTCATCAGTTGCAGCCAAGGGACGGATCTACGACCACAGTCAGCGCTGGAAGAATGCTGCGGGGGAGGGACCATTACCTCGATATCGTTTCCCACACTCTCTTGGACGGCGGCCGGGATGAGCTCGGGGTCGAAGAGCAGCTCGTCGATCTGCATGGTCATGATGAGGAGGTGTCGATGATGAAAGCGCAGGTGTTGAGAGCAACGATGAAAGAGGAAAGCCGTGTGAAGGTTATGACTGAGGGGAGTACGTTGAGCACTCCCGCACGGGCTGGTTTGTTGTGACCAGTGCACCGCAGTGCTCGCAGGGTTTCCTCGCTTCCACACAATCGGATCTCCGGCTACCGGCAGATCCCTTGCCCTCGATCGCTCAGGGCTTTCTGTTGCACCTCTCAAACGTGTCGCCAAGTTTGCGCGTCTTTGGTCCCGCACCTGGGTTTGATAGCGTCCGTCGGTGGAAAAAACACGTATTAGGCGATCGCTTGTATTGTTGTTGAGGCCAAGCACGACGTCACGACTACCACTCCGAAGTAGACAACGGCAACCGGTCACTACCCTCCTTCCGATCGCCAATCCAGATCATGCCCGCCAACGCACCAACACTGGGGAACTTTGACAGAGATCCTCGCGTTCACATTGATAAAGTTACTGGAAAGTATCAGTATGAAGATGCGGACTCTGGCACCGAATTCGAATGGACAGGTAGTACCTGGATTCCTCTGGTATGATCTAACAGCGATTCGATTATCTGACTTCAAGGTAGACGACAGCTTGATCCGCGCTCAGCAACAGGCTTATTCGGTCGCAGGCGTTGACGAAAATGTGACTCAATGATTGCTATGACAGAGCTGCAGAGCTGACCTGTGAAGACCCCCGCAGCACCCGTACTGGCAAGAGAAGACCGAATCAAGAAGCGAAAAGCTGGAGAAAAGGAGCAGCCTTCGAAAACTCCCAAACCTCTCAATCAATCCGGTCCAAAGAACACGGCGGTGTGGGTATCCAACCTCCCTCCAGATGCAACGCCTGAGCAGCTGGCCGCCGTTTTCTCAAAGGCCGGGGTGTTGCTTATCGGTGACGACGGTGAGCCGCGTATCAAGCTTTACTATGATGATAGCGGCAAGTTCAAGGGAGAGGCCCTTGTCATGTACTTCAAAGAGGGAAGCGTCGACCTTGCTATTACTCTGTTGGATGACACCGAACTCGAGTTTGGGGCAGGGTGCGGCAATATGCGTGTTCGAGCAGCAGAGTACCAGCACTCCAAATCCAACAACGATAAGAGACCTGAGAACCGACCGCAGCAACCTCCGCAGCCTACAGAAAAGAAGAAGCTCACCGCTGAGGAGAAGCAGAGGATGTCTAAACGGATGAGAACACTAGAAGAGTGCGTATTCCGTCGCTGCCAGTCGCTCATTACGCTCAGCAAGCTCGCATGGCACTCTGATGAGGATGAGGACCCCATCGGCTCCTCTGCCAGACAACCTGGGAAGGTTTTGCCCTTCAATCGTGTCGTTGTCCTCAAAGGAATGTTCCGTCCAGAAGATATCAAGAAGGAGCCAGAGCTTCTTCTTGAGCTGAAAGACGATGTCCGGGAGGAGGCAGAATCTCTGGGCGTGGTGACGTCCGTCATCCTTTACGATGTAGGTTACCCTCAGCTCACGATCTGACGCGCCAACAGAAAGAGCCTGAAGGTGTCATCACAATCAAGTTCAAGGACTCCACTGCAGCGCAGGCCTGTCTGCTGAAAATGAATGGTCGCTACTTTGATGGACGAAAAGTGAGACGTTCTCCAGAGGGGGTAGCTAATATTTTGATCACAGCAACCTTGTTCACGGGCAAGGAACGATATCGGAGATCAGGCGGTAAATTCGAAGAAGACGATGGGCTAGAGGAGAATCAAAGGCTTGATAACTTTGCAGACTGGCTGCTAAAGGATAGCGACAAGGAGTGAGCGTCGCTTCACGGCTAGCTTTGTACATCTGTCTATGTGTCTATTCAAGAGCCGACGAGGCGGGAGGCTTCCTGAGATGCGAGACCTACGGGTTGACCGGTAATCTCTCTAGACCATCTTCACCTGCCTTGCCTGCATTTGAGACCGCTGAAGCGCAAGTTTCGCTCAGCAAGAAGGCCGCAAAGTTTGGATCGCTCCAATAGTTGCCGTGGGCGGTGATCATGTCCAGGTAATCATTAACGCTGATAGTAGGTAGGTAGAAATCGATCGATCCACGCGGGTTGAGTGCTGCGAACCTCCTCTCAGCCAACGTGCCAAGAGGCTGAGCACTTTCTTGCACCTAATGTCAGAGCTCGGGTGTCGTTGATGCTTACTTCTTTCTGCTCCATTGAATTAACATCCTCGCATTTCTCTGTCGAGGGACTTGACGGGGGCTGCTTTTTCTTGCCTTCGCCGCCTCCTAAATAAGTAGGCAGATACTCCATGACTGCCGTCATGGATGGCATCGAAGGCATTGATGGCATTGATGGCAGGGGAAGCGACCAAGAAGTGACCGCAGGGATCGGCAATGGAGGACGTTCCCTCGCCAGCTTGACATCTACGGCGGCGTTCAGAGCGTACGCAATCGGGTCCGTTTGATAGAACACGTTGTACAGGGTGTCGGCGGCCATGCATCCAAACTGGCCGGTCAATTGCATCGCATCTTCGGGATCGGCATCTGGCAGTCAATCGTAATGAAATGTGCTGAACATACTCATAGTCCTCTCGCGACCATAGCGGGGAATGATGTGAGCTTGCTGCAGCTGCAGGAAGACGCCGAGCGGGCTACCGGCCAGATAGACGTTATGGGTGTTGAAAATGAAGCGATCCTTGGCATCATTCAGAGCGGCCTTAGGCATGTCCGACAACTTCGGAACGTGTGTAGGCTGATTCGACAAGATGTGAGCTGCTAGAGCAGAACCAAGCTGTTATCTGTCAGCGGTTCATCCCATTTCTCTTTGCACGACCTACTGAGTGCCCGACAATGTGAACCCGGCCGTTTTCCTCGAAGTGGGGGTGACGAGCCACCCAGAGACGATAAAGGCGATTAGCTTGTTGGCAAACTGCCTCGATCATGCGTTGCCGGTGATCCGACATGAACAGCGGAATGTCGAGGAGCACCGAATTTGTCACCTCTCGGACGTAAGGAATCGATTTGCCGATCGTAATGTCAGCGACCGTGAACACGTTGTCACGCTCGTTCCTTTCGCTCTCCACATAATCGTCGCTTTCCAACTTCAAATTGGCCCTCCACTGAACAGGAAGCACTTGGCAGCGACGCTTGTCAAGGAGGGAGGCAAAGCGAGGGTCCAGCGCTTGTTTTCGCAGACCGTGTCGGAGCTGATTGCTGGCGTAAATAAAGTTGAAAGACTCGTACTGAGCCGCCAAATGCTGCCCGATGCCGTGGATGACCAAGATGAGATCCGTGCATGGTTCGTCGTCATGCTGCGCGTTGACGACAGGGCCACTCTCTTCCTGCAGCGATTTCTTCTTCGTGTCAAGCTCCTCCTGCACCCGCTTGAAGGCATTCTGCACAAAGTTTGCACCTTTGTCCCCGTTATCATCAGCATGTGCCGCCATCTGCATATCAGCCAGATCGGATACGGAGGAGGGCAACTCCACTTCCGCCTGGGAGCAATGCTGATTCGACACTAGTTCGTCTGGCGCATGCTGAGGTTTTGTGCCGTTACCTTTGGACTGTTCGGACTCTGATATGGACGAAGCGTTGCTGTATCCGCGATAGATGAAAGTTCCACCTGGGGTCGTGCCAAGCGATGACCAAAGTGCCCTGGCAAAGTTGTCGAAAGTGCCAGATCTGGCCCTATCAGTCGACGGCTGAGGAAGAAGGACAACAAGGACTCACCTCAAGACGCGGCATTTGGTGTCATCGTGAAAGATGATGCTTAGGCCTTCACCGAATTTGTCGGGAAGCGCGTACTTCAGCTTTTCCTCTCCTACAGCGCCCTGGCTCGCAGCTCTTTTATACTCTTCCTCGTAGGCTTGAGTCCAGGGCCGAATGTGTCTGTGAGTAAGCACCTCACTGGCGACGTTTGAACCCACTGATATGCCTTCTCCAGCTCACGCGCTAACTCCCACGTGCAAGGTTTGCTGCTGTCGCCCATGAACCATGTCCCGCGAAGTACTGGGATACGGCTACCGGATTGCGGCCAGAAAACCGGATGGAGCGAAAGCGTATTCAGGTCTACTTCAAAGAGGGCATCCTGTCGTCAGCCAGACAGTCGTCCTGACTTTCTCACTTGGCTGACAGCGACACCCTCGACCACGTCGAGCTTATCCGGATCATGATAGTTACGTTCAATGATGGCTCTGTACTGTTCGTCCTTCCGTGGTTGCTCCTCTTCCGCATCCGACTCAAGGATCTCGGTGTCAGAAGGTAAGTCTCCTGCGCCATCGGGGTCCACCAATGGAGTAGCCGGTCTCGCGGGACTCTTGCTCTTCATAGACTGGCTTGCTTTCTCGGAACCTTCGCCATCTCCGCGGCCCCACTGCGAAACGATCTCCACACGCTTCTCCTGGGACAGCGCTTCCCAAGCCGCTTCGATGCGTTGGTTTTCAAGTTCGGAAAACGCTTTGTACTCAGTCTCAGCTACAGTGATGGGCGTTGGAAGCAACTGGAGATACTTGGCTCCCGTGTGCACCCAGCGTGCTTCCAAGGGAGGCATTGCAACCCCATCGGAAGTTAAAGGCGCAGGCGGGGGCCGTGAGCCGCTTGCGGTGCTCACGCCAACTGATCCGCTCGGCATGGTGGAGGAGCTCGGGATGAAGGATTTGGTGAAAAGTGGGAGATGGTAAAGCAAGCAAGTTTCCCATTGAGTTGGGTCTCTCCTCCACTGCGATGGTCGATTGGGTTGCGGTTGGGCCGGATATCGGCGTGACGAAACGGTGTTTTTGGACCCTCTATACCGGAAAGGGCGGATCATGGAAGCAGTCGACCGTTGCTGCTCCCTTATTTTAATGGTCCTCCAGGCGTTTGGAGTTTAGAGCAATCTAGGTCAAACGCCAAAGTCGCAAGGGTCGAAGCAATTGTCAACAGATGCCAGGCGGCTGGTGTACAATCCTGACCCGTGTTATCCACGTACAGGTTGCATGCGGAATTCAACTGAAGGGACACCCGAAAAGCGCTGGGAAGTTGTGATAGGTCCGACAGACTGGCGGCAGATTCCGGCGCGCATTGTTTAAAGCTCTAGTCTGGTCGTGACAAGTGGCAACGGGGCTCGTGATAAATCTACACACGTTGCATAAAGGCATACTTGTACACAGAGAGAGGCTCAATGATTTAAACATTGACGAATCGCTGCACGATCATCTAAAGCTGAGCCAACGACCTCCATTCACCGGCGGCTCGTGCCTCGGCGTCTACCACTTCCAAACAGCTGTCCACCCATCTTGGGATTCAACCCGTGCTTCATCCCCATGTCTTCGGACTGAGGTGGATGCAGTGCCCAGTGTTTGTCGGTCACCGAAGACAGAGTATTGAGTTGACCCAGCAATGTGGTAAGATATGACACCATCTGAGTATCGTTGTACTCGGTGCGCAGCTCTTTATTGAACTCACTGCCGTCCATGACAGGGAGAGTAGCTACTAGAGCTGCACACTGACGTAGAATTTCATGATCGGCCGGAGCAATGCCTTTCGAGTCAGTCCAATGGCAGTCACGTAAGGTAATCAGGAACTCACCGGCCACTACTGCCGACACATATTGCTGTATGACACGCACGCGGTCATGCAGCATGGCTATAGCATTCCTTTGACGACTCAAGCTAGCGATCTCTGAGCGATAATCAGTCTGAGTGTGCGTTGCCGGAACTCACGGCCAGAGGGGTCACTGTCACTTGCGCTCTCGTTCGCGACGTCATCCACCGCAATTCGTTCCGCTTCTCCTGCCTCAACTCCAACCTCGAGTTGCACAAACTTGCCCGCCTTGTCCGCTTCGGTTCCATCTGTCAAAGCTGATTCGAAGACAGCAAATGGCAATTGCTTCGCATCATCCTGAATGTCGGGATTGAACAGGAGAAAAATGGACGGTGACGCATCGACCAACTCGGAAACATGCGCGTGTACAGCAGAGTCGGCTGCGGTGGGTTTATTTCCGACAGTGTACCAGCCGATGACAGCTTGCGCCGGGAATACCTGTGAGACTTTGTGTGAGCATCCTCTGCGCGGCCACACTAACATTGGTCCCTGCGGGTGCGGAAGAATCCCTCGTCTATGGACCCGTCACTCGAAGGAAGTTCGAAGGAGTTGACGATGGACATGTTCCGGCCAGTTTGCGTGCCCAACAACACTCCCACAACTGGGACTGTTAGCTCTTGATCTAAACAAAACTGACTCTTGGAACTCTTCGTCCCCGCGTACTTGGCACGTGTAAAATGATCAGATATGTTCAGAATGGCGAGGGGATGGCTGGTATAAGTCAGCTGGCGACGAGAAGTAGCACGCACAGATTGATAATGAGCCCCGAGGTGGCCCCCGATGCGACTACAACGCTGGAATCATTGGACTCCATGCTGCTGCCAGCAGAATTGTCGAAAGGATGGTGAAGTGTCAAATAATCGAATGTGTCTGATGACTCATTCGAGAACACCTGTCGTCATGTCTGATGGTGGAGGCGGGGTATGGTATGCTCCCGTTGATAACGACCCCTGACGGCCTCAGACATATCAGGAGCTGATCAAGCTGTGGTCATAATTCCAATCCAGTGCAGCAATGTCCGGCGACGACTTCCCAGATGCGTGTTCATGGATGACCAGCTCCCCGGCTGCTCGAAGTCTACCGAACGATGCGAAGCTCGAGGTAGGTTGTCGAAAGGAGGATGCTGATTTGGGAGCTGTATGGCCTCTTCAAGTTCATCAATGCTGGTACCGGTCCATCGGGAGGGCGTCCAGGTATATTCAGCTTCGAAGCTAGGGCCAAATACGATGCGTGGACTCGAGCTGCGCACATCTACGATTCCGAAGAAGCGGCAAAGTTACGCTACCTGTGCATCGCGGAGAGCGTGGGCTGGAAGAGAGGCGCTGGTCTCAGCGAAGCGAGTGAGCCTGCGGAGTCGACGGCTAAGGGGACGGGCTTAGGTGTAAGCGTCAGTGTCATGTCTCAGGAGGATTCAGGCGATTAGTAAGCAAGAAAGCGCAGCTTGTGGAGACTCATGACAGTGCCCAGAGTCCTATACACGAAGCGGCTGCCAGTGGCGATGTCGAAGCATTGCGCATCCTGCTCGTCGATCCAACACTGCTGAACGCGGAAGACGAATTTGGATATACCCCCTTGCATGTCGCAACAGACAGGCAAAGGAAAGAGGCCGTAGAGTACTTGGTGTCTCAAGGTGCCGATAGAACTGCACGTGTAAGTCATTGCACTAATTCAGCGCGTGGTACTCATGGATCAAGGATCAAGACGGGCAGACCCCGCTCGATATCGCCCAAATTCTTTCCAACGAGGAAATCGCTGCAGTCTTGAGATAGGTCTGCCGCAAGTCATCCCGGAGTCTGCCTTTCATTGCACCTCCACTTCTCAAACAGACATGAAAAGTTGCATAGATACAACAGTCACGGTGCGAGCGGTTTAATCAATATCGCGCTATGATGTTGCCCAGACCTCCAGTCCCAGGCAGTCGAAAGGCTGGGCTTTCTCAGTGAGGTCCGAGCCTGAGCCCCCACATAATACCTCGTTCTGAAAGGCAGGCGAGGTTGCGGAAGAGTTTCGGCTGAACGTAGAATCCAGGAGCAGACCGTAGGAAGTTCCCCTAGGAAAGTCAGCCGAAGCGATGCGATAATGGTCCTCACTCACCCTCCTCCGAACGAGACGAAATTGCTTTCACAAAGGGCTATGTACTGGTTCCTTCCTGTCCATCGGAACACGCGAGGCTTGTTTTCCCCGCGAACGAACTTGAACATAAAACTCGACCATTAGCGCTTGGTCACGGTAGGACTCACGATTCCCCGCTGCCGTAGTATGTTCCCTCGCGTTTGAGGATGGGTTCATTGAGGAAGACTCCGAAAACATGACCCTCTGAGTCCTTTACTGCTAGCAGATTCCCAGTTGTCCGATGGGTTCGGGCGTAGACCTCGACCAGTCTGTACAGTGTAGAGAGAGAAGCGCCGTGCTGGTCCAGGGAGACTGCAGTCAGATGCTGGAAGATCAACGGACTTACAAAGCAGGCGCCACGAGTCTGACAACCTTTGGCGGGCAGGCAAGAGTGGGCGAAGCTGGAAGATTAGTTCAGAAGCCGATCCCTGCACAGGAAACAATGTGATAACTCACTGACTGGGCTTGCTGGATACTGAGAACCGGCTCCGTTGTATCGCGCCGCCCCTCCAGCGTTGTGGAAGCCCATTCGTCCTCATCATTGGCCTTGTGTGACGACTCGGACACAGGTCGAAATCCTGGCGCGCCAGAGGGCGCAACATAGTTTCGACCAGCAATTTGATCCACGGAGGCGAAGGGCGAGCTGTGATTGACATCAATGGGCACGGCCGTCTTGCTCGGAGGCTCCGGCTCCGACCGCAAAGGGTTGAGCACCGATCGTTTCCACCGCGAGGCCACTTTCGTGGTAGCCAGCGCATCTAGCAGAGAGTGCTGCGTGTGAGGCACCCCATTGCCTGGGTGGGGGGCCGACTTGGTCCGGTTGAAGTCGTCGTTTGACAGGCGACGGAGGCGTCGGAACTGAGTTGCCGCTTCATCCATGGAGGAAGGTGCATGAAACAGAATCTCAGAGCCGCTCTCTGATACTCGAGGTGGGGAAGATGGGCCGGGAAACGGCGCATTTATGAGGAATCTTGATCTGGATGGCGATGACTCCAGCGACGATTTAGATGTGCGATGTGATAGATTTCTCGAGTCTGACGGAGAGACCATGCTGGCGGTAGTGGATTCCGGCTCCTCTGTCAATAAGTCGCGACCGAAGTCAAGCAACGGGGGTGCCCGAGATGTAGGAGGTGCTGGACGGTTCGTCGGCATTGGGTCTACATCTTCGAAGGATCCCAACAAATCAGTGTCCGTGAGGTGTAGGCCACGCGTTGAGCAGCTAGCCGGAGGATCAAAGAAGATATCACCTGGCTTTGAAACCGGTGCAGAGTGGAAGTCGCCAAAATCTGAAGAGGACGAGTGGTGGTGCCCCTGTGGGCTCTTTGCTGTAGGGCTCCGGGAAGGATTGAATTGCTGTTGGCTGGACATTATCGCTGCTGTGGTGGATCCGGTGGAAGCATAATACCGCTATGACGAGCCTTGCGCTCAATGGTCAGCAAGATGTCCGAAGTGTGGTAGAAAAAGCTCACGATTAGTACACACGTCTGTAATCGAAGATGACTCTAGTTGAGTGATGATGGAAGTGATTGTGTTGGCCACGATGGACGTCGTAGACGTCATGTTCAGTCCGCCGTGCCTGACCAATCTGAACCCGCGCCACCAACACTATCACTTCCGGAGTGCATCATTTTCACGATGTCTACAACTAATCGCCACGGACGCGGGCAGTGCCCCCTAGGAGGGCAAACAAGACCAGGAATAGGGCGCTGGAGACAGAAGGCAGCAGGAACGGTCGACGTGGCCCAAGGATGAACGCGATTCCAGCAAGCATCAACGATCCGAGGTGGGCGACTCTACTTATCCTGATGTTATGTCAGGTGGGACTTCGGTGGTGCTTACCTGGAGTCCTTGCTCAAGGGGACCGCCTCGCGTGTCGACTGCTCGATGAACAGCAGGACAGGGATCAGAGGAAGGACGGCGTGATCCTCGTCAAAGGGATGTCCTATCTCTGCCCACACGTTTCTACCCCAGACTGCTAGACTCAAGCCGTGAAATGGCAGCAGGAATGTCATCAGCAGTAAGCTGGAGAAGAGTATCCGGTGTCTCGACGTCTGCGGCATATTAGGTCAAGCGTTCTTACCAGCACTCACTTGGTCCCGTCCCGCTGAACGACAAGTCGATACGAAGAGGATGAAGTAGAGAGCAATGAAGGCTATCCCAACGGGGACGATGAGTTTCACCAGCAAAAGCAAAATGACCCCAAACATTGCACGAGTCCTCCACGCGACCGCACTCTCAGCAGAGGACCTGAGCAGGTGAGCTTCTGAGCTTGCTTGTGCCTACTTACGATGGCGTAGCCGAGGTTCCAAGCACCTTCGTTCCGAGACGGACTGCAGCGGCCAGCCAACTCGCCACGATAACCGTCAGTCCCAAAGAGAAGACCGCCAGGCCGATTGCAGCTGGAAGCATACACCAATGTGCGGCCCCTATCAAGAGGTGAGGCGCTGTCCTCGGGAACAAGTATTGTATCAACATCGCGAGAGCTGAAGCAGCTGAAATCGACAAGAGTCCAAGCGGTATATCAGTTGCCAGAACGTTGACCCCACTAGGCACGACATCTGTGGAGAGGTGAGCGGGGCTCTCAATCTGCCTTACCGAGAGTGCGAAAAGCCTCTAGTTGGCGACAAAGAATGGCCGCAGACCATCCTAATGCCCATACGACAGCCGCTACGCGAAATCTGAGCGCGATTTTGGCGATTGATGTCCAGACATCGAATGTGAGGCGAAGCCGGTCGACGACACAGTCGGGTTGTTGATACACATGGACGTCGAGACCGTAGGAATACTGCTGTCCCTGGAATGGGGCTCCCGAGATGTGTGAATGCAGGACCATCGACTTGTTCGCCCCCATGTAGAAGCGCGACTCTTCCCGCACAGTGCCTTTTTGCACAGACCGGCCTTGGAAGAGTGTGATCGGCGGGCGGCCTGGGCATTAACGCAATCAACACGGGAGACTTACCCTCGCATGAGCGAGTGAAGATTTGCAAACGCCAAGCAAACAACGACGACATCAAGACTGACGGGTAGTGCAAACTGAGTTGGGTGGCATCGGTGAATGCAGATAAGCCTGTCAAAGGTCAGCAATGCGTGACAAGTCAAAGCCCACCACCTATCCAGCTTCCCTGGGTCCCGCGAATTTGCAGGTGGGCACCAGTAGCCAAGATTTCGAGCTGCTCATCGCTTGCTATCGCGATTGTTTTGTCTTTGTCGGCGTGGTAGACACTGATTGCAAAAGCCGACTCCTCGTTACGTATACCTTCCCCCGGCAAGGGAAACGGCAGTCGAGTATCGCGAGGATACGGGATCACTTGAGCTGAGGCTGCTATTTGCTCGCAAATCATAGATGAATCGCAGGAGAGTAATGACAGCGGTGGTTCAGCAACTAGCGTCGGTGTAGGATTGCGGAGACGAACGATGCACGTCACATTCTCATTGGCGACCGGGGGCAGCGTTTCCACCACCTGGTGCCGCTCAGTAATGCTGAGGGTTGGAGCCTCTCGGAGCCACTTCTTGGCTGAAGAGAGCTTTTCGTCTCGCGTGGTAGCGGCGCTCATGTCCAGAAGAATCCTGGCAATCCTCCAACGAACCTGATCACACCAAACGATCGCTTGATGTTCCACATTAGTCCAGGCTGCAGGCACCCCGCTGGAGAAAACCGTGAAACCGTTGTCCGGTCCAACGAAGTCGGGCAAAGCACACGTGTCTGAGATGATTTGAGTGTCAGCGACTCCTCCGCAGATGGATATCAATATTGGGTCGATAGCTGCCGGTGTGTTCACTTTCTGGTACAGCCTCTCCATGTCGAACTCCAAGTTCGCTGGTGGCAGCTGATGAGGAGTCGCAATGCTAACTATGGCATCTACTGGCAGATCAGGTGCCAGACGGATAGCCAAGCGCGCGACTACTCCACCCATGGAGTGTGCCAGGAGAGTGACAGACCGAGGTCGCAAGTGTGCTGGGAGGTGCTGATATTCCCCTAGAATCCTTGGAACGATCGACACCAGATATTTTGCCTGGTCGAGGAGAGATGGTGCATGAATAGCAGTGAAGTCTTCGTTGTAGTGCACTGCGCATGTAAGAGGATGAGCTGTTGACATTCCACGTACCAGTCCAGACATCCACGGGGTGCGGCCAATATGGTTTCTCGAAGTTTGTGCTGCTCTCGTCGCCGTAGAACTGCCTCGCTAACGAAGAGGCGACGGATCTTGCCTGCTTGTAGTCACCGGCATGACCAGGAAGAAAGATTACGGGGGACCCGGTCGGCTTCGGTCAGCGAGCGCATGCTTGACTGAACGTACAGCGTCTGCGTCCCACCCTCCTTCGCGGTAGAGGAAAGTGTCGTATCTGGTATTGGGAATTGGGGGATCCAGACGTTGATACACCGGAAACATGCGAGGAAGCTGACAACCCCAGGTTCCGGACCGGGCCTGGTCTGCCGTGAACGCAACGTATACCGCAAAGCACAGCACAAACCAGCCGATGAGGAAGAGTAGGGTGGCCGAGTAAAAGCGTAACTGGTTCAACCCACGACGAGTGGACATCGGCCGGGACTGGCATGTCCACTTCTCCTCGTCGCGACGCCCACTTCCTGTCGAAAGTCCAGGAAGTGGTCGTCGCTCAGTGGTGGCCATGGCAGCGGGGAGATGGTGGAGGGTAAGTGTCGACTTCTAATTGTTTCGTGAACAGGTGGCATGGAAGCCGCCGTGAACCTCCACCTGGCTCACCGTGTTCCATCCTTCGCTACGTGTCGATAGTCTTACGCATCCGCTTTGACTAGCTGCATTAAGTTCGGAGCACACACTAATCTCCAATGCTGCAAGCTAGGTGAACAGTAGAGTAAGACGATGCATGAAGCATGGTGAGACAGTGAAGAATGTATTACGTAATGTGTAAGGGTGTTCAGGTGTCGGTGTCACGTACTCCTCCTTATCAGCTAGCAAGGGTAGTTCGAAACACATTGCGCTTGCTTCTTCCACGATTTTAAGAGTGGCCATATCGGCGAGCCCGCCAGGCATGTCTAGGGACCCATATACGGATGCTAAGAGGTATGTTGCTCCTCAGCGTGGTTTGCTGACGCGTCAGTGAGGTGGAGGCCAACATCGGCAACTTGATAACCCTACTCGACTCGTATGAACGGATAAAGTCGACAGCACCCGGATCGACCAGCTTGTCGGAAACAGTCGAGGAGCTCCAGACGACACTGGGTTTGCTCGAAACCGATTTAGAAGACCTCGAAGAGTGCGTCAGAGTTGTTGAGGACCATGGGGATCGGTGGGGACTTGCCTCTGCCGAAGTTCGCGAACGACGGATATTTGTGGATCGGGTCTCACACAACGTTCAGGTGAGCAATGCATGAAGTTACGACTGATCGTTTCAGCGACTTCGCACTCAAGTAACGGCCGCGGCTTCTTTAAAGGACCTGAGCACTCGGTACCAGGACATCGAAGCTCAGAACGAAGAGGTAGACAGATGGGAACGGGAAGAGCAGCAGGTAGGACGGCAACCTCGTGTTGGAAGCTCACCACTGCAGATGCTCATGCGGCAGCAGGATAGCACCCTTGGGGTGATATCAGGCACGCTCAGCAATCTCGCATCGCAGGCTGGGCTCATCGGACAAGAGGTCAACGAACACAACGTGTCAGCCTCCTGCGCTATGAAGCAGCTGACAAGTTTAGCATGATCGAAGACCTGTCGTCGCATGTGGATAGCACTCAGTCTCGGCTGACTAAAGTCACGCGAACTCTGAATGACTTTATCCGTAAGAACGAGGGTGAGCCCCCGGCGACGAATCGCACTGATCCCAGACTCCCGTAGCTCGTGGTGCATCGCCATTCTCATCGTAATTCTCATCATCCTACTTATTCTGGTTGTTCTGGTCTAAGCTATAACATGTATTCATTACTGTACAACAAACAATCAAGCCACTGTGGGAACGACGATGCTAAAGTTGTTGCGACCTGGGCCATCGTTGATCAGCTTCTTCGATGACCAGCGCTTGAGAGTCTCTGGCGCCGGTGTTGGAGCCCATTGGAAAAGCCAATAGGCCACTTTACCCCCTTCCCTCCAGTGCTGCTTCACCATACGAAAACCAATAGCTGTGACTAGCTCGTTGAAGCTCGTCTCAGTCATGTATCGAGAATTAGCCACGCAGGGTAGGGGCAGGACAATGAAAAGGAGCGAGGACGGAATTGGTCTGAGGTGCTCTCGGCACAGCTGTAGCATTCGACCTCTGCATCAGTAGAGAACGGAGATGGTATCTCACCTCTGTCTCGGATGTCTGGTACAAAGTTGATCACCAAACTGCAACTGATCACGTCAAACCTGTCCGTCTCGTTCTTCGGAAGGGGCCGCAGTAGGAAGTCTTGCTCCAGAATGTCAGGATGATTGGATCGCAAGTCGATGGGGGTGTTCAGAATCCACTTGGAATAGCTGGCGTAGTTGTCAGGTTTCAAGGCTCCGATCTCGAGCATCCTGACGCGTCAGTGCAAGAATGTCGATGACTCTCACTTGACGGGTATAGAAACTTGCAGCTCTTTCAGCCATTTGATAAGCACCTTGGACGAATCGCCCCCGCGTTGAGATGATTGTCCAAGGGTACTTGCGTGCTGGTACGCCCCAAGTCCGCCTAGAGTTTCTATTTCAGAGTTGACCTTGTCAAGCTCGTGTTGTACAGAAGTTGTGGCTCCATTGCCGACTTTCCTTTCGAGTGCAGTTTTTCGCTTCAGCAGTGTATGAAACCTTGAGATGGTGGCTTGCGTGGCTTTATGGGACAAGGTCGGGGTAGCACTGGAGACCAGCGGTTGTTTGCGCGTTCGCTTCGCTCGCGGCATGATGAGTAGTGGATGAAGGTATATTCTGAAATCTTTCTGGAGAACCAAACAATGCCCGGACCCTTAGATGGGCATCTTGGCACGACCATTCCTCTGCAACGTGAGCTCACCATAAGTAGTACAATGATCACGATGAGCACTATCATACATCTCATGGACGACTGCAAGGTGCCCTGCCGGTCCAACTGCGTTATTAAAATGAGCGACCCTCGCAAGCTGTAAGCAGACGGACAGACAGCTGGTCCGTCATCAGAATATCAGAACTGTCAGGAAGCGGTGGAGGGCGAGCGTCACCAACGAAGTGCCACTCACCGGCGTTATCCCACCTCGCCAGCAGCCGGAAGCTCTCGGAGGCACTATGGATCCTCCGCCTAAGCGGTACGACAGCCAATGCCAGCCCAGGTGATGCACCTTTGAAAGTGCTCAAGCCGAGACCCCTTGCATCTACAACTCGTTCACCTTCACCACGCCGAAACGACTCACGATGGCCGCCAACGAGGAGCAGTCAACATCCCTTTTCTCGACCCTGTCGTCATTCTTCCTTCCGACGTGAGTGGGCATCTCGGCTAATCCGCACACCGAGCGCCGAAGGACTGACTCCGCAGCGCCTACGCCGAGGAGGAGCAGAAGGAGGAGGCTGCTGAGGACACCCCCGCCGAGGAGCCCGAGCAGGAGTCGGCCGACGACGAGGAGGAGGAAGAGGAGGAGGAGGAGGAGGACCCCGAGGACGTGAGTCGCTTGGCTTTCTGAAGGATATTGCGAGATGACTTACATCCCTCTAGCAGGCTCCCCCTATCCGCGAGAAGTGCGAGCAGACCGAGTGCCAGGCTGCTGCGAAGCACTTCCAGGCTTGCCAGCAGAAGGTGCGTCAAATTTCTAACGTACGTGGGGGCAACGCACTGATAGCAACAGGTCGAGGCTGGTCAGGGCTGGGAGGGCGAGGACTGTGTCGAGGAGGTGAGTTCCTGCCCCAAATGAGACAGCAGCGCTGACATAGTTTAGATGTTCCACATGATGCACTGTGTCGACGTGAGTATCCCAGCTCCTTTCTGAAGCGCGGCAAACGCACCGTTTTGTCCAACTACTAGCGGTCGAGAAATACTAACAGACTCAGGCCTGCGCTGCTCCCAAGCTCTTTGCTGAGCTCCGCTAAGCGTATCATATTTAGAATAACAGAGTAAACAACACTCTCCGACTACCGCCTGGATAGATACACGGCGGTTAAAAGCAGATGCAGCAATCAATGAAATCCAGTACGGGGTGTGCGTTAGTGGAAGTGAGGGTTGCCAGTTGCGTACGGATACTAGAACTTGTTTCCTGCCCATGCAAACCGCGGAAAACTTGTATCGGCACATTCATTCCGGTTGCGCTGAAGCGCTTAGATGGTTTCAAATCGCTGTGAGACGCTTCAGGTAGTCTGGACCAGGAGGACGCCGCTTGACTTTGTCTGCGGTATCGGTAGATAAGACAACGAGGTGGCCGACGAAGGATGCCTCAGTACCTCACACTAGTCACGTGATTTTGGAAATGTTGACGACTTTTGATGTCAGACATTCGCCTGTTTAGCCAGTGCACGAGTCACCATGAGTTCGCAGGAGCTCATCCTATCCTCCAGTGCGGCAGCAGGCGCATCGATACCGGCAACGCGAACACAAACGACCCCCGCGATCCAACTTCACGATCTGGCTACATCGAGCCATGTTCAGGCATTCAAGACCATCACTTGTGCTCCGAACACACTGACTTGGTGCCAAAGTCATGACAGTCTCGGAGGTACGGTGTGGGCAGTGCAAGAAGGGAAAGCGATCATTAGCATTTGGGCTTGGCAAAAGGTAGGAACATTCTCGCTGAGCATTAGCTTACATCAGGACCAGCAACACCTGAAGCTTCATCTCCCGGAAAAGTTGTCGTGCGTCGCCCTGTCGCCGAATGGCGTCTGGCTTGCTGCCGGATCCCCGAATGGCCAGATTTATCTCTGGGAGGTAGGTCTGCAACGTTTTAGGCACAATCTGATCGAAAGATAGCGTCGGGTCTAATGCTGGCATCCTGGAACGCGCACTACCGGTCCGTCACGACACTGTCGTTTACCAGCGACTCTGCTCTGCTGCTCTCCTCTTCCGCGGACGCCTCTGTTCACATCTTCTTGGTTTCGCGGCTCATTGACTGCGACGCGTCATCTCCTGTTGGTAAACCTTACGGCTCGCTAAGTGACCATACTCTTGGCGTTTCGGCAGTCGCTATTGGTAAAGCAACCGTCGACGGCAGTGGTCGCTGCTGGACTGCCTCAGAAGATGGAACAGTCAAGGTGAGAGAACCGACGAGATGATTGCTGACGAGAAGATGTGGTCCCTTCAGGCTCCTTTCGACCTCCTGGCGACTTTTGTCCTGCCTCCCTCCGTCTCGATAAGCTCTCTCGTGGTCGATTCTGCAGAGCGATTTGTCTACGTCGGTTCAAAGCAAGGCGATGTGTATCTCATCCCGCTCTACAACAGACCATCGCAGACAGGACTGGTCGAAGCAGTGAATGGGCATGGGCCTGCTGCACCTCCTGTCAAGATCGAAAACGCTTGCATTAGCGTCGGCACGCCCATCACGTGCCTCGCGCTCTCCTTCTCGGCCTCCCAACTTCTTATCGGTACATCGGCAGGAGACATCCACGTTCATGCCTTGCCCTCGCACCAACAGGTGCGGAGCATTCCCGCGCACGCTGGGCCGGTGTCCTATCTGTCAACGGTGAGCTCCCCGCCTGATCTCGTGGGCCGGGCGGGAGGTGCCGGTGATTGGCCAATCATGGAGATCAAGAACTTGGAGCGTATGAGGGTAACAAAGTCTGCTCGAGAGTCGCAAGAGGTGTCGATTCTGGCTCAGCCGGAGGCTCGAGAACGCTTGTCTTTGCTCCGTGGCGCAGCAGGGTTGGAGCGAGCGTCGGCGATGGCGACTGTTGGGGAGTCTGTGAGGGAGGACGATACAGCGGCTTTGCGAGAGGAAATCCGTAGGCTGCAGGGTGCTCTCGATAAGGCCGCCAGAATCAATGAGAAGATGTGGAAACGGAGTCGTTGACCTCAAACTGGGAGCCACACCGTAGCTCGCAAAATGTACTATTACATGATTGTTGCTGCTGCAAGTTCTATGCACACTCGGCGTCTATGTCTCCGAGGGACTCTCCATCTGCATCCCCCATGGACTCTCCGTCTACGTCCTCCGAGGACTCCCCACCATCATCCCTGATAGACTCCCCATCCACATCCTCCATAACATCCCCGTCTAAGTCTTCCTGTTCTACGCCAGCTGTAAACGCAGACCGATCCCGCCCTTCAGGTCCTATGCGCTTGAAGGAGGACTTGAATCCTGCACCTTTGCGTTGGCTCTGTGGGGAAGCGTCCACAACAGGAGCTGGGGTGGGTCGTTCAAGCTCCGCAAGGGTGATTTCGGCATGCAGCAACCTGTTTAGCCGCTCCAATACGTCAGACGTGAACACAAACCTGCTGGTCAGAACTCATTGCACCAAGTACCCACCATCGCTCCCACAGCTCAAGAACTGCTTCTACCTGTTGCCGGAACACATGGGCTGAAATAGTCCCCGCGTGCTCCAAAAGATTCCTGTGAACAGTCGCCAAGTGGTCGAAAACGTGGTTCAAACGCTTCTCAAAAGCTTGGCGGTAGCGCCAAACGTTCGGTAACGGTGAAGCCTGGTAAGTCAGCACAGTCAAGATTCCGACCTTACAGAGTTATGAAGAATGTCCGATATCAGATGCAGGCGGGCGATCTTCCGGGGAATGGGGGTCTCGTCGATGCACAGGCTCTGAGATATGGTTTCAACGACCTGCTGTTAGGACAATGAAAGACAGCAGCTTACTTCATCGGCGGCCTCAGCGTGCTTCAGAGCAAACTCCATGGCGCGAGCAATCTCGACACGCTTCCCCGTCATACCCCGCAGCATCGCCTCGAAACGCCGGCGGGCTAGCCTTCCTAGATACGCCTTGCCATATTCCTTTTGATCCCTCTCTTCTGCAGAATCGGTCGAGCAAAACGAAGCATACCCCTCATCCTCGAACGCGGCGATCCGAGCTGGGGGGAATGCGTAGCTGTCATCCAGAAAGTAGTTGAACACATGGTAATCTGCACTCTGCCTGTTAGCGCATTGCCAGACTCTCGCGGCCGCACCTCTGTATCAAACAAAAAGTTGAACTTTGGATTGCTACGTTCATTGTTGCGTAGCGTGTTGAGCAACCCTTTCCCATGGTCGTGTACCCTGTTGGCAACGGCCTCGAGAAAATCCTGCTGCTCCTTCCCAAGAGATCCCATCCAGTACTGCTTGCGCTCCAAGTTGTCGTACCAAGAGGGCAGCGAATCTCGAGATGGCTCGTCACGCGGTTCTGCACTCAATTCGAAAGGTGGCTGCTGATGCTTTGTTTCTGTGGTCAGTTCTCATACTGAGTGAGTGCCCTCACCGTATGCAGCTTGCCGGGGAATTGCAACGGGCTTGCTCCATGTGACACGCAGTGTGTTGCCGTTCCAATCGAAACCGTCGAACTGCTGCACTGCCCTCTCGGCATCTGGTCGCTGCATGAAACACACAAAGCCTGTCAAACCCGCTCTTGATCTATGGTGGTCATGTTCCCGAGCTAAATGGTAAGCAATGGCAAGCAGTAAGTGAGAGCAGTGAGAGCAGTGATAACGCACGCCACATGATTTTGACAGTGCCCACCGACCCAGCCTTGGCGAATAGCTCTCCGAGACTATCCTCCGAAACTGCCTGCGGCAGATTGCCCTGTGGTCAGTGATACCAGCACAGATTTAGCTTACGATGAAGAGATTGGTGCTCTGCAATGTTAATCAGCAAACAACGGCACGAACATACCTCTGCCTCCGTTTGTCGAATGGCGCCAGGGCCATCGAACGCTGCGAGAGAAGTGACAGAGCGGCCTTCCCCTATCCGGATTAGCTAGCTCTTCGGACTCGGCCTGACGACATACGTTGCGCTATCCGACCCAGCCGAGCTTCGCGACCTTCCTGATTGCTGATCGTAAGAACAAAGAAAACGAAGCAGCCCTCCACGCACCTCTTGATCTCCTCCAAGAACGTATCCATGGCCCTCTTGCCTCTAGGGCGAGTAGAGATGGACGGTGGTGAAGTGCGACTCAAACCACTTCGACTGAACTGTTTGTAAGCGGCTAGTTGTGTGATACAGCCTTACTGTAGGGGTCGACGTCGAGTTGGCTGCACGTCAGCAATGACCATATGCAGCCTCACCTGTGTTCCCGGCCTTAACAAAGCCTTTTGCGCGCCGTCCCGGTCCCTCCTTCTCTCCTTCAAACGCCTGCGCGAACTCCTCCAGCGCAATCCGGGCCAACCTGAAGATGAGCAAAGACGACTGTTAGGAACGCACTCTTCATCCTCAACGCGCTTCCTTTCAGCTTCTTCGCGTTCGATGTCTATCTTCGTTTTCTTTGTTACTCCATATGAGAAGGTCTTGGACTTGAGAGGGTCGAGTTCAAGAGCTCGCTGACATCAGTCTGCTGCGCTTGGGTGGTGACTCACCTTCCGCGGGGGGAGCAGTTCCTCCTCGTCTGAAGAATCACCTCTGAACTGTGAGAGATCAAGCTTCCTCGACATAAGGACCACAGTGACCGTGTCAACATAGACAGTGGACAAGTGTGCTGCAACAAGTATGTAGATCGCGTCATTTGCCGCCGCGGAGGTATTTCCGTGCCGCGGTTAGCTGTGTTGTTGCAATTCGACTTCACCACATCATCCCTTTGCGAGTCCAACATGGAAAGTATCGAGACATCGGGATCGGCTCTGGCCACTGGTAGCATCAACGCGCGCTTTATCTCGCAAAACAAGCTCGATGAAGCTAACGATCGCCGCGACCAGGAATGGAAGGAGGCATATGCGAGGTGGGTTGCCTTTGGAGTAAGTCTAACCGTAGGATCGGTCAGGAGCCGCCTCCCCAGATGAAGGAGGAGAAGCACGATGGTCGCACACTATTTGAGGTGAGCTAGTTGGGCTGCAGTCTGTACTAACTGATGCAGAGGCTAGAGGAGCAGCGAGTGAGTCACACATCCACTATTCACATCTATTTTTCGGCACCTGACGGAACAGTTGCTCAAGCAGGAAGAATGGGATAACAAGATGAAGCTGGGAAACCAATACAGAGGCCTGCACGCCGATGAATACGACTTTTTGTCCGAGAAAATGAAGGAGCAGCGCGATAAGGAGCGACGGGTGAAGGATCAGGACAACGCCGAAGTGATGGAGTACAGAGAGTACGTGAAGCACAGTGTTCTCATCTAACATACACAGTGCTCTGGCAAAGAAATATGCTGCCGAGGTCGCCGCGGCTGAGCCGTCTATACCAGCTGCTTCCCCATCTGATCTGAAGCCAACGACCACAGCCCCTGCTCCGAAGCGCGCTCCTCCGAAGTCTGGAAAGAAGGATATGAAGTCATTGTTGAAAGGTGTCGTTGTCAAGAAAAAACCTGGAACTGGCACTGTTGCCAAGCGTCGGACTGAGGGAGATGAGACCCCCGATAAGAAGCGCAAGTTGTAAGGAGCCTGGAGGCTTTGTATGTACATTCGATTCATAGTCCTTTTCAAACACACTCGGCTGCTGTTTACTTTTCGGGAACGGGGTCGGGCTCGAGCGACCAGATCTGCTGTCAGTGGTCTGCTAGCCATTCAGTTCTTACCGAGTCCGCATAGTCCTGGATCGAGCGGTCAGATGAGAAGTCGCCCATCGCGAAAGTTGTGCGGATCGATTTCTTCGTCCACTCATCCTGGTCCAGCCACAGCTCGTCGGCCAATTTTTCAGCGGCGAGGTACGAGCTGAAGTCGTTGGAAACGAGATAGTAGTCGTTGTCGTAAATCTGGTGTTAGCTTGACACAAAAGCGGGCTTACGGTCTTGAGGAGGGGCTCGTAGACGTGACCGTCGCCAAACTTGTTCGCCTCGATGGCCTTGAACACTTCGAAGAGCTCCGGAGAGCGCTCCTGCAGAGAGGTCTGATTGTACGAGTTGGCGTAGCGAACAGCCTCGACGTCTTGAGCGAGGTGACCAAACAGGAAGGCGTTTTCCTCTCCAACGTCTTCGGCGATCTCAATATTGGCCCCATCGACGGTACCGAGGAGAAGGGCACCATTCAGGCCGAGCTTCATGTTGCTGGTCCCCGAGGCTTCAGTGCCGGCAGTACTGATTTGGACACTGACGTCCGCAGCGGGGATCAACACTTCAGCGATCGAAACGCTGTAGTCGGGAATGAAGCAAACGCGAAGGAGATTGCCGACGTCGGGGTCCTCGTTGATGACCTTGGCAACGTTCACGATGAGACGAATGACAAGCTTTGCAATGTAGTAGCCGGGCGCGGCTTTGCCGGCGAAAATGGCAGTGTGCTTGACAAACTTCTTGCGCTCTTCGGGCGACGCCTTCTTAATCTGGAGATAGCGATGAATGATACCGAAGATGTTGAGAGTCTGGCGCTTGTACTCGTGAAGACGCTTGATCTGGCAAGTGAACATGCTGTCGACGTCGACATCGATGCCCAGGTCAGACTGGAGTACGTGGGCAAGACGAAGCTTGTTCTCGATCTTGATGTTACGGAACACGTCACGGAACTCCTTGTTATCGGCCATGGGCAGTAGCTGCTGGATCTGCTTCAAGTTAACCAGCCAGTGCTCGGAGCCCAGGGTGTCGGTGATCAGTTGAGCGAGGCTGGGGTTGCACTGCAGCAGCCAACGACGAGGGGTGATGCCGTTGGTGACGTTGGTGAAAAAGTCGCGGCCCTTGTACTCGACGAAGTCGCGGAAGATGGTAGCCTGAAGGAGCTGACTGTGCAGCTCGGCGACACCATTGACCTTGAACGATCCGACGATAGCAAGGTGGGCCATGCGGACGAACTTCCCGTTACCCTCCTCGATGATCGACATGCGCCTGATGCGATCGATGTCGCCAGGGAAGCGCTTGGCGACGTCGTTGAGGAAGTTCATGTTAATCGTGTAGATGATCTGCAAGTGGCGGGGAAGGAGGTTCTCAAAGAGAGCCACGGGCCACTTTTCCAGGGCCTCGGGAAGCACGGTGTGGTTGGTGTACGCGAACACCTTGGTGGTGATCTTCCAGGCAACGTCATAGGGAACCTCTTCTTCATCGATGAGGATGCGCATGAGCTCCACGATCGCAATGGTCGGGTGGGTGTCGTTCACTAGGGTCAGCACTTGGCCATGCAAGGTTACTCACTCTGAATGACAACGTACTCCGGAAGCTGCTCCCAGGGCAGGTCAAGCTTCTGGTAACGGCGCAGGATGTCTTGAAGCGAAGCACTGCACCAGAGGTACTGCTGCTTGAGGCGGAGTTCCTTGCCAGCATACATGTTGTCGTTCGGATACAGAACGCGTGTAATGTTCTCGGCCTCAGAGCTGCTCTGAACAGACGCTTCATAGTTTCCGGCGTTGAACGAGTTGAGATCAAAGCCTTGGATGGGCTTGGCGGACCAGAGACGCAGGTTGGCCGTGTTCTTGGTCGCAAAACCCGGTACAGGAACATCGTATGCGACGGCCAAGCACTCCATGCCGCCAGACCACACCGCTCGGTCGGTGTTGGGCACAGCCTCAACGTTGCCGTAGAAACGTACAGGGTAGGAGACATCCAAGCGAGAAATCTCCCAGGGGTTCTCGCGGTCAAGCCACGGGTCTGGAGCCTCAAGCTGTTCGCCCGTGTTCGAGATGAGCTGCTTGAAAATTCCATACGAGTAGCGGAGACCGTAACCCCATCCGGGAAGGCTCAAAGTTGCCATGCTGTCAATCTATCGTCAGCGCATCCTCAGGTCGACTTACATAGCACGCTGCGAGACGACCGAGACCTCCATTGCCCAGTGCGGCATCACGCTCCTCATTGAGGAGGTCCTCAAAGTTCTGCTGTTAGATTCCGATTCATCATCCACTCACGAAGCCAAGCTTTTGCGTAGCCGTCTCGTACGTGTTCCTGACGTCGAGGTTCAGGACAGCATTGTCAAGGGAGCGGCCCATGAGCCACTCAATGGACAGGTAATAGACACGCTTGGGGGCGCGCTTCGTGTGGTATGAAGTGGTCTCGTTCCAGCGATTGATGAGCCTGTCTTTCACTGAGAGGGCAGTGGCCTGGTACGCGGCCAGGTCATCGAGGTTGATGGCCTGGCGGGCGAGGGTTGTCGTAACATGGCGCACGACTGTGTTGGCGACGCCCTGGACGTCATCCTTGTCCACTTCTTCAGCCTTGAGAGCAGTCTTCCACACTTGGGGGTCGCCGATCGGAGATTCGTCGGTCTCCATAGCCTGGGAGGGGAAGTAAGACCCTGCAGTTAGGTGCGCGATTCTCATAGTGAGACCCACCAGTGAGGGAACGCTTGTGCTGCTTGGGACGCTCGCGACGCGGAGTCGTGACGGGGACACCAATCTGAGCAACATCGACGCTGTACGAGGGGCCGATGGCGCTGGGAGCGCTGGACATGGAGGAGCGCCTCGAAAGGGTGGGCTTGTGAACCGGAGGGGTACGGGACCCGGGGGACTGAGAAACCGTCGCTGGACACATCAGCTAGCTGCGTGCCGCTAACCCACTTACACATAGGGATCTTGTCGAGGTTCTCCTGGGTGAGAGCTGGCTTGTTCGTCATAGCGGAGTCGGCGTGCTGCAACGACAAGCTGAGCGACGCTGGAGATGAGAGTATGTCAGACTGCCAAGCTAGACCCAGGCCAATGTCCGACGTCGTCCTTGATCTACGAATGGACCGTGGGAGGATGGTGGATGGGAGCTATGGGGAGAGAGTTGGGGGGAAATGACAGAGGAGAGAGACAGAGAGAAGATGAAGGGGTTATGAGAACAACTGTGCGCCAGCAAAGCGGACAGCCCTCCGATCTGGCAATGTGCGCGATTGCGCCCATCTTGGCTACTTTGTGTCAGCGGCATTGCACGGCCGCCCGCACCAAACGTGCACGCAAGTCGTGCCTGATTTCCGTGGGTGGGGTCCCCATACGCGCGTCCTTTCACATGCCTTACCTCCCCGTCCTGTTCCGGCAGCCCAGGCCTGGCGCGCCAGGCTCCGGCCCCTGTGCCCGGAGCGGCATAAGGGATCTACTGACACGACCCCACTTCCCAACAACGAGTTGCGACTGTCACGAACCGCATGAGCTCGCGGCAGAACCAATGCATTATACGCGTGAAGCAGAGTGCTCCATATCGACACTCTAAAACGTAATCCATACTGTAAATATATATAAGGAATCTGTGCAACAACATGGGGTGGTCCGTAATGTAGAATCACTTGTCCGTAACACGGACAACGTCCAAGGGAACGGTGGTATGCGAATGGTTGTTCTTTTGGCCCTCGACACAGACCTCGACGGACTGCAACCATTTGTCCTTGAGCGCCTCGTCGACGGTCCACCTTGTCTTGGGGTCGGGGTCAAGCATGTGCTTGATGACGTGCCTGCACTCGCGAGGAACCAGGTTATTCAAAGGCGCGGGGCAGGCAGGGGCGCCTTCGGGCCTGGCACCTGACGGATAGTACTGCGACGTGTACGTCGCATAGGTCGCATCGGTAGGTTTGGCGACACGCCAAGGGAGCTCCTGGAACTGCATGCAGTAAAACACGACTGCCGCGGCCCAGACGTCGACGAGGCGAGCATCGTATTCCTTCATCTCGAACAACTCCGGAGCGATATAAGGCTCCGAGCCGCAGAGACCCTTGCTGAGATGTGTCTTCTTCTCCCAACACATGCGGAAGACGTCAGACACGCCGAAGTCGGTGATCTTGACGTGGCCACGGCCGTCGAGGAGAAGGTTCTCAGGCTTGATGTCGCGATGTGCTACACCCATAGAGTGCAGGTATTGAATGCCGTGCAGCGTCTGCTTGAATGTGCACTCGACCTCTGCGGAAGACATGCCGCCCTTCTTGATTGCTGCGTAGAGATCGCCACCGGGGCAATACTCCATGACCTCGCACCAATGCTGCTGTTCGTCCTGTACGAGGTCCACGGTTTCGACAATGTTGATGTGATGAAGGGTGGAAGAAATGCAAAACTCGGATGTGAGTTTCTTGACGTAATCCTTCTCAGTCTCATTCTTGCGCCGCTTGCGGAACTCCTTCACGGCATACAGCTTCTCCTCGCGCCGGTCCCACTTGTGGGCGAGGCGCACGACCGCAGTCGCACCCTTGCCAATGGCAGCGCGGTCGCCGATGCCGTACTTTTTGAGCAGGGAGGCCGTGCTGGCATTCTCGCCACCAGCTTCGCTGCCCTTGGTAGAGCCACGGTCCGACCCACGTGCGGAACCCTTCTCGGAGCCACGGCGCGATAGCTTACCGTCCTTGCCACCGCCGATGAGATCCTTGAGGGTGAATTTCGACGGGGCAGCCTCTGGAACAGCAGCAATGGCACCAGCGCCAGTCGAACCGTGCGACGTGGTACGCTCAGACAACCGTCTCTGGATACCAGAGGGCCGACGCTCGAGCTTGTCAGGCGCAGGTGGCTCCTCTTTGGTTCGCTTGAAGCTGGGAGCGCGCGAGGGCGGTCGCGACTGATCAGAGTCAGTGGCGTTGGGAGTCATTGGCGGCGACCCGTTCGCAGGGGTCATTTTCTCGACCTTGGAGTCGTGGTGGAACATCTTGGCCAAGAAGCCTTTCTTTTGACTGCTGGTCGATTGAGAGCGGTTTTGACGCGTTCCATTCTCGCTGACGTTTCGCGACATTGGCGCAGACGAAGGAGGTGGGATGTTCATAGCACCCTGGGCCTCCGCGGGCAAAGGGCGGACTGCAGTGTGAGTGCGGGGTGTAAACATTCTACTTACACTTGGCGCCGGGAAGGAAGGCTGACTCGGGAATCAATTCTGGAGTGCCGGCAGATCCTGCCTGCGGGGCGACAGAATCCTGGGTGGGAGGACGCTGCATGTCTGGGCGCTGCATTTCGCTGAGCGGGGTGGCTAGCTCCTTGACAGAGATGTTGCCGGGAGACACGGCTTCAGAGTCGGGAGTGCGAGGGGTAGAGAGAGGTGGCGAAAGGAGAGCGGGGTTGTCAGCGACCGCGCGACGCGCCTGGAGGGCGGCCGCAGCATGCGCATCAGCAGACTCAGATGCGCTGGGACGCCTTGCAGCGACATGAGCTTCGCTGGACTCGGATGCACTGGGACGTCTGCTATCTGCAACGGGCTTGGATGGTCAGCCAAGCTCTCCGACAGCACCTACTTTTGGGTTATCGCCAGCCATCGACTCTTCCTCGCTGGGCTCGATAGCTCCAACGGAAGACATAGTGATCGAGAGACGAGGTTGTGTTATACTAGGGGGTTCTAATAACGGTGTTCGCTAGTTTGCAGCCGACATAATCTGAAAGAGGCGACGGTTCGAGGAGCCATGCGAAGCAAGAACACGGGTCAACATGAGACAGGACACCGCACAATGTCAGCACTGACAAAGCGGTGCAGAAGGCGGCAATTCGGTGACTCACAGATTGCTTGGGCTGTACAATACGAATGCGCTGGGTCGGGAGAAGCTCTGCGGAGATGCAGACTAGGTATAGCTCCTCTGGCGTGCAGGTAACGTGTTGGGACTTGTCAACCGGAAGACGACCGGGTGGATGACGTGCTGACACACAGAACAGAACAGAACAGAGAGGGGGGTAGCGGGGGAAGAAGACCCTAGTTCACGAGTGAACTGAAGGGGGGTGTCTCGAGGACACGAGGCGTGCTGGGGGGAGAAAGATCGAGGGAGACCTTTTGGGGGTGGAAGGTGTTGAAGAGAAAGTGTCAGCGGCGACGGCAAAGTCAGCTTCGGGGGTGGTAGTTGGCTGGGCGGTGTTCGGTGAGCCTGAATGGCGGATGCTATGTGGTGGCCTGGTGGTGCGGGAGGGGTCGAGGGCAGTGGGACAGTGGGCTGGTGGGCTGGAGGGGCTAAGGTTGGAAGCTTCTGAAGGTGCCAAAGCGGAAGCAGTCGAGCCTGAGGGGCTGTGGGCAAACAAGGAGTTCAGCTAGTTCAGCTGGGCCCGTTTGGCGCGCCTGGGTGAAAACGCAGCTCGACAGGCTGGCCAGGGGGTTAGGGAATCCACGAGTGAATCATCCTTGAGGGCTCCCCTTAAATGAGTTCCCCACCTAGCGGCCACCACCCCCTGACACCCGCTGGAAGCACTGCCAGCACTGTTGCACCTCTGAGCTAATTATGACCCCGCCAAAGGTCAGGTGGGCGGACAAGTTAAGGAGTGTTAGCCTCAATTGATGAGACTGATACAGCCCTGACCTTTGTGCACTGTGTGAGCCAAGACAAGAACGACATCCCAGCCGCAGTACTGAACGACTGGCGAGCATTAAATGGCGCACGCACGGTTGACCATTGCCTCGGCGTGTTGAGGCGAAAGATGTCCAGCACCCATTTGGTATGGCCAACTGCTCTAACTGATGCGCATTTCGCGGACATCTCTTACTGTTGGAATGCAGTCTCTTCGAGATCGCCATGCCTCCCTTCACAAGTGTCAACGTCCCACCCTCTACTTCTGACGCTGACGCTGTTCAACACCCCTCGGTTTCTCTCGCCCGCGTGCCCACAGATATCGAACCGCGCGTCAAAATGTTACTTGTTCGCCAGCGCACGCTGACGTGCATCGGCTCTTCCTCCAGAAGTACGTGAGACTGAATGCACGGATGGAGCTATGGATAAGGCTTGATCCGACGCTGCCTGTGGCGGACTACTGTCGCAAGTCTGCTGCAGTGGGACACTATTCCGGTTTGCGCGATAGAAGCGAGAGCGGCAGTCTGTCAACCGAGGACGCCATTTGCCAGAACAGCGAGCCTTTCTAGGCCAGGCATGGCCGCTTGTGAGTGCAAGGCCATGAGCCAGGATGTGCAGACGGGTCTTAGCTTGGATGTACGATTCGGCACAATTCGATCATAGGGGACCTGCTGTTCCCCAAATGATGTACGCATGTCCCAACGACGCCCACAGAAGGGGGCCAGCAACACTGCACAGACACGCCGTCCGTCTCGATGAAAGTGGACCACCATTGTAGAGGGTCATCGTTGGGAACTATCTGCGTGTACGGAGGCTGCCTAAGAAGTTGGAGTCTACGCCGCGCGCAGAGCATTGACACGAGTGCTCCCTGCACAACTTTTTCAAGCAAGAGAGCACATCTGAATGATGAGCTGACGCGATGGAACGATCGACCATATTTGGACGGCTATAGTGATGGATCACCATCGGCTCTGGCTGACACCGTAGCGTACAGCTGTCGACGCTGCGCTCCGAAATTAGTTGGCATGGCGCAAGAGAATGTTAACGACTTTATCCCGCTGGGAATAGCCATCTCCTTTACGCTGTACAACTGCGAGATACCGTACTTCGAAAAGGGTCAGATCTCATCAGCTCCCTCGAACTGCGCGCCCGCAGTGGTGTAATCGATAGAGGTCCGTTGCGCTCTTGGTGTGACACGTTTCCTGGTTCGCTGTCCGGTCACATACAAACATCACGCCAAGCGAGGCAGCCCCTCGCCTTACGAGGCACATTGCCTCGCTTGGCCTGATGGTTGTCAGTGCCGATCGAGCGCTCGAGGCAGAACGTCTTGTGCGCGCCAGGTCGCGACAGGTAGCTTGAAAACATAAATGAGGCCGTTCCCCTTAGAGCGATGTGCCGTGTGCCGTGCGAGGCAGATAAGGTCAGCACCATGTCGTGCGATGCATACGTGACAGGGATCGAAAGCGACTGTGAGGCACTCTCTCCTGCGCAGCCTGAGATCAGGACCGCAGACTGACACTGCTGTGACGCGGAGCGGGTGGGTCAAATGCGATCGACGACCGACCATCGGGCTACCTGCGAAACACACCCCCGACGGTCGCTTCCCGCGGCGTGCCAGAGGTCTGGATGGGAAAGCGGTGAGTGCTCTCGTAGTCATCTAGTCATCAGTGGTCGGTGTGTACGTGAGTCGGGCGGTCTGCGGGTCCGCGTAGTCGGCGGGGGCGAAGCGAGTGCCGCGATGAGTGATGCACTGCCTGCTACGCAGGCTCTTGTAGCCCGACAAGTGGGTCGCGCGCGCTGCATCGGTCGGATCTGCCATAGATCACTTGTCGACTGTCGACTTCGGTCGCGTTGCAGAGCACAAAGGTCGTTCGTTCGCTCGCGAATCAAACAGAAGAAGGGTCCCGCCTCGAATGACTTCCACGTTAGCCGGTCTAGCCGAAGGATCGAGACGATTCATGAGGCGGACAGAGACCGCACCGGCGATTAGAGCTACCAGTCAGTCACCTGACAGGCTCCACCATCTGCTGCGGCCACTTATGCACGGCTTACGCAGCACGCAGCATTGGCGCATTGGGCGTCACCGCGATCCACCACTCAGCGTGGTGCTTAGGCCCGTGCATAAACGCCTAGAGAGCCGACCTTCACCGTGCACCTCATCACACGTGGGTGGTCACACTGTGCACAACGCTGCGCATGCTGCGGCATGTAACGTGCACGGTTCGCGAGACGGCGCCAAAAAGTCTAGCGATGGGATCGGCGAATCACGTGTTGTGACGGGGAGCGGATCCGAGAATGGAGGTGTGAAGACGCCGCCAACCGATACGAGCATGGGTCCAGCTGCACCGAGCCGAGATGTGGGTGAAGCCCGATGGCCACCTGACGTCACCTTCTCCAGAGCAGCCACCTATGTCAGCAACGGCTTCCATACCGAGCTGTTCGTTCTGGGCGTTCGTCATCTGCAGCGGACTCAGTGGTGCGACCTTTTCGAATTCCACGAGGCGTTCGATGCAGCGAAAGTTCACATTAGTAAGCGACGGCGCCCGTTCGCCACTGGGCTTGGACTGGGGTCAGTGACCAGGGAGTCTGGCGCTCTCAGGAACAAGGGAAGGGGCTCAGGCACACGTGATAAACAAAGTATTATTCCATCATATACCGGGCGTTACTATATTCCGCTACAGACTTTTCCCTAATACTGCAACGCCGAGTAATTCCAGGC